GGTCTGATGCAGTGTCTGACATTTCTGAGGCTGTCTGAGTCTGTCTGAGGCTGTCTGAGAATTCTATCTGACGAAGATATTTCCTAAAAAATCAAGATACTGAGGGCTGGACGTATGAGCCGATCTGATGCGATCTGGAGCGTTCTGAACGCTTATGAAGCCACTGATGGCACCCGTCAGAGGATTTGCACGATTTCCTGATGTTGGGATCTCCTGCTCAGGGATCTGGGATCTGTTTACTGATCCCACTGGTACAAGTGAGTCATGTTCAAGTCCAGTCTTACTGAGATTGGCCTGTTGCAGCAGACTTTGAATCCTTGCAACGAGAGGATTAAAACTGCTATGCAAACAATGTCTCAGTACCCTCAGCCTATGAGACATGTCTGCAAATGCATTTGGTGGTCATGGTGTTTAATCTGCTCGTCGAGAGGATTAAAAGGCACACATGCTTTGAGATGTCCCCTAGGCTGTTGTACCCTTAGAATGTGCATAGCTGCAGCTGCCTGTCTACAGATTCCTTTCTGGGACCTGCAGGTCTCTGCAGCATCCCTTTTAGGAGCTGCAGGTCTCCGCAGCTACCTGCAGCTACCATTTTGGGCGCTGCAGGTCTCCGCAGCCGTCTGCAGCTTCCTTTTTGGGTTCTGCAGGTCTCCACAGCTGCAGCTGTTCCTCTCACAGCTCCTGCTCTGGCACTTGGTGTGTGGTCCTTATATATGATACACTGAGGGCCAATCCATGTGCTATCACACTTGACATTGAATCTATGCGACGAGAGGATTCAAACTGGGATGCAAATAATGTTGCAGCAACCTCAGCCTGTTGGACATGTGTGTGGAGCATTTCATGGTGGTTAATGTGTTCACTGAGAGGATTCACTGGGATCAAGTCACTGTCATTGAGATTGTTTGCCAGATCATGAATCCTTGCGACGAGAGGATTAACACTGCAGTGGGAACAATGGCTCAGCTGACTGAGTGGGACATGTGTGCAATCATTGCATTGGGTGCTCATGGCAGTGAATCTGTGCGTCGAGAGGATTCACTTGTGCAGATTCTGTGACTTTGCTTCATGTTAGCAGAACTGCTGACTGAAGAGATTGTGCAATGTCACTCAGCCTGTGGAGTGTGCACAGCTGCGTGGCCTGAGATGCCTTTTTGGGACTGCAGCTGCTGCAGCATCTCTGCGCTTACCCTTTTGGGAGCTGCAGGTCTCCGCAGCTGTCTGCGCTTACCCTTTTGGGAGCTGCAGGTCTCCGCAGCTGTCTGTGCTTACCCTTTTGGGAGCTGCAGGTCTCCGCAGGTGTCTGCGCCTACCCTTTTGGGGTCTGCAGGTGCCTGCGCCTACCCTTTTGGGTGCTGCAGGTCTCCGCAGCTGCTGCTGCTGCTGTAGTCTGCCCCCTTTCTACAGGGAGTATATAACTAGGTCGCTCGCAGCTCGCTAACGCTCGCGTGCTCGCTCCCCCTAACCTAACCTAATCTCTATCACACTACATATGTCCATATCCATATCCTCATCTCCTTCCTCTCCACTGTACTTTACCTCCTACATGTACTCCCAATATACCCACTCCTACTACCCTATTCACATGGTTATGCTCATACCTAACCTCCAACACACTCCCCTATATGTACCTCACCCAACCTCCCTGTACTCTTTAATCCTCACGACGAGTAGATTCAACCAACTTCATACTGTCTCCTGTATTCATCTAACCTCAGCACATCACTACTTTCCTCCTCACCATTGTCCCTTTTCATACTCACCACATCTACACTTACATTCAACTATATCTTCACATGTCACTCCTACATCACACCACTCAACTCAGCACTGTGACATCTTATTGTATGGAAAATGTGACAGCACAGCTCCATCGCACACTCTCATAGCCAACTACCACAGCCACTTCACTTCTTTAATCCTTGCGACGCCTGGATTCAACACTGCACAAATCCACTCACCAGCCCATCTTGCATCTCCATATCATCCAGTCTGTCCCTTATGCCCATACACTGTCTGTCACACTTCAAGTACACCTTTCCCAATTCAATTCCCACCTCACTTCACAGTCACTACTGGCACTTGGCTACTACTCTACCCTCTTCAATCCACCCAATGGTGGAAGTGAGCTTCATCTACAGGGGTCCTCCCCTCAGTCTCAGGACCCTCCTCAGGAGAATGCCCAGGGTTGCTCTTCTCACACCCATAGCACACCCAAGGCCAGCAATTATACCTGGTGTGGCCTCTGAAGGCACAGTGCTCACACACAGGCCCAGTGGCTGGATAGTTCTGAATTCACACAGCTATTAGCCCACCAATCATCCACACTTTCATCCCTTGGGATGTCCTGCTCAGGGATCTGGGATCTGTTTACTGATCCCACTGGTACAAGTGAGTCATGTTCAAGTCCAGTCTTACTGAGATTGGCCTGTTGCAGCAGACTTTGAATCCTTGCAACGAGAGGATTAAAACTGCTATGCAAACAATGTCTCAGTACCCTCAGCCTATGAGACATGTCTGCAAATGCATTTGGTGGTCATGGTGTTTAATCTGCTCGTCGAGAGGATTCAAAGGTGTGCATGCTTTGAGATGTCACTCAGGCTGTCATACCCTTAGAATGTGCACAGCTGCAGCTGTTCCTCTCACAGCTCCTGCTCAGGCACTTGGTGTGTGGTCCTTATATATGATACACTGAGGGCCAATCCATGTGCTATCACACTTGACATTGAATCTATGCGACGAGAGGATTCAAACTGGGATGCAAATCATGTTGCAGCAACCTCAGCCTGTTGGACATGTGTGTGGAGCGCCAGATCATGAATCCTTGCGACGAGAGGATTAACACTGCAGTGGGAACAATGGCTCAGCTGACTGAGTGGGACATGTGTGCAATCATTGCATTGGGTGCTCATGGCAGTGAATCTGTGCGTTGAGAGGATTCACTTCTGCAGATTCTGTGACTTTGCTTCATGTTAGCAGAACTGCTGACTGAAGAGATTGTGCAACGTCACTCAGCCTGTGGAGTGTGCACAGCTGCATGGCCTGAGATGCCTTTTTGGGACTGCAGCTGCTGCAGTGTCTCTGCGCTTACCCTTTTGGGAGTTGCAGGTCTCCGCAGCTGTCTGCGCTTACCCTTTTGGGAGCTGCAGGTCTCCGCAGGTGTCTGCGCCTACCCTTTTGGGGTCTGCAGGTGCCTGCGCTTACCCTTTTGGGTGCTGCAGGTCTCCGCAGCTGCTGCTGCTGCTGTAGTCTGCCCCCTTTCTACAGGGAGTATATAACTAGGACTTATCCTTACCCATTATGGACTTATGTTCTACTATGCTACATATTACGTACATTCTTTTCGGATTTGATCCAGACCTGTAGCACATGATTAGATCTAGACCCTGATGGAACATTCCACCGCTTTCCATCATGTTCCAGCACATTCCTTGATTGCATCGTATTGCATCATTGAGCACATTGCTGTTCCAGTCCTTTCCATGACATTCCATTCATGGTGCAATATCGCCTCATCCTTGTGTATTCGCTCATTGCACCATATCGCTCCGTTATGACTCTATGCTGTTACGCTTACTGTACGATCATGTGATGGCTCTCTCATGTGTATATATACCGGGCTGGATACGCCCTAGAATGTAACGGTCTCTCCTCTCGTCTTAATGCCTCTGAGTCTTCCCTCTCAGCTCTTAAGAGATCTGTTGTAAGTCCTCCTTTACTACAGTGCTCTTTGTGCTCCTGTAGTATTCTTTTGTAGCCTTGCCTCAGGCTAGCCACAACACTCCTTGTTCATCAAGGAGATCGACGCCGGGGCCATCTTCGGTTTAGCCGGTGCCTTGGGACTGGACAGAGGTGTATTAGTCATTAGGGCCTCAAGGGGTGACTATATGCGTGTGTATGCGCGCGTATATGGACGCAACAACGTTCTTATGTCTTCTGCGGACTCGTAACGAGCTCTTGGTTACTGGTGCGGGGTTCAAAGACACCGACCAGGGCTCATAACCTGTAAGAGCTGTACAGCCGTCAGAGACTCAGTCAATGGTAGAACACGACTAAGATTGAGGTACCTGTACAGCCGTCAGAGACTGCACAGTACGTATCGTAAGTGTATCGCTCGGAGACGTAAGTAATGGTTGGTAGCTCACCTCAGTTGATGGTAGAACACGACTGAGGGAAAAGAAGAGAGGGGACGAGACGAACGAACCATCCCCGGCAGGGTGTCACGTGCTATGTGGCTGAGGAGAGATCGAGATTGGGGAAATGTACTCAACAGTACCCTCTCCAGGGGATCTCGTGCGGGTGCGCAGGATCCCCTAACACATGGCATGTGGTGCGTGCATGACACATAGTACTGGCATATGTCTCAGGGGATGTCGCGCCAGTGCACAGACCCCTGACATTTAGTACTGGATGCTGGTCTTGACGTGGTCCGCATAACTGGTGTTGAGAGGTGCGCAGGGGATCTTGCGCGCCCGCGCGAGATCCCCTGAGACGTGTGGGTGCGGCCCGAAGTCAGCACTTGCCTTATATGGTAATGGCCCAAAAAGGAATTACCATATAAGGCAAGCTGAGGGTACGCTGACCCCCCCTGGACTTAGGTGAAGGGGGTATAATGTGTAAGCCTGTAGCAGGATGAGTAAGGCGTACACACATTGTGTCATGATGATGCAATATACATCAGGAAACGGTATGTCTCGTGGAACGCGATGTACCTCAGTAAATGAATGTACAAGATACTGGGCTCTCAAATCAAAGCCCGGGAGATCGGAACCCTCGGCTGAGACTGATTCTCGGGAGAACTCAGCTGTGAGATGCATTCTCAGCATCGGGTTGAAATCTCACCAGATGCATCTCCCGAGTTCGATTCGTGGCGACGTTGCGTTTTCTCAATGTACGTCGACTTGGAGTTACTCAAGGCATTAATGCACCGTCAGATGCACTTCCCATCACCGCTGTTCAGCGGTGCCGGCACATTACAAGTCATGCAGATGTCATGTCTTTCATAGAACAAAGTAATACATGTGGTGATCAGAGAACGGCGTAAGATAAAAGCCAGTACCCTCATCCAAAACCGTCTCCGAGCTCCAGGTTAAATCAGCGTGCGGACCGAAATCAGGTACAAGAAGACAGCTACGGAAGATGCGGTCAAGGGGAATGACGACCCCTACACGCTGGCGGTTTTCATACGCTCGTGCAACCTTATATAACCGGCTGTACCGTTCAGGGATTGGAGTGAACTCGGTGAAGAGCTCAATATAAGCTAGGTGGGGGGTACAAGACGGTGGGCGAGATTGAGCGATCATCGGAGGAAGGTCAAAGATCGCTCGAACTTGACCAATCCGATAGCCTAGTATTTGCTACATTGTCAGAGTCCGACAGAGGTGTCATGGATAGCTGAAGCTTGTGCGCACCAGTTACTCCAAGACGTCTTGCTTGATCAGGTTTCGAGACAAAGAGAACGGTGCTAAAGGCTGCTTTGGCCTTTCCAGCCTTCCCCGGCGGTTGTGCCTTGACGATGTCGTGGAAGAGATTACGGCCGCCGGTGGGTCCGTTCAGCGAAGGGAGGTTCCGACGGAACAAAGGATACAAACCGAAGTCGTAGTTTTCCAAGTAAGAAAGGGGAAGAGACTCGAAAACTCGATCCTCCGACTGTAGGAATGTTTGGAGAGCCTGCGAAAACGCAACCGCCCCAAACTCAGACCGCAGCACTTCTGGCCGTGCATACCCTAGTCCTGGTCGTTTGGCGATTCGATAGGGAAGTGGTTCCCAGAGCTGCGGGGCCCTCGCCGGCGGATGATGTAACTGCCGCATGCCTGTTAGACCCACATGGCGTCCAAGCTGTAGATTGAAGACCCGGCGTACCAATATGCGAACCTCAACCTCATCCTGCTCTACCCCAGGTCCCACCGCCTCCGAACCTCCCCTGTGCGTTTGCTCTTCTACGTTTTCATCGGTATGCACAGCCGGTACTGCATCCAGCTCGGCATTCCTACAGATGTCTTGCACGGAGCGCGCTGTCATTGCCGTGACTTGGTGCACGACTTCGGAGGTAGCGGGAACATCGGTGTTGGAGGCCAGCGTCGGGCCAGGTGAGTCGATATCCATTGCTTCTTCCGGCGTGGCCATTGGTCGTTCATCGGCACGAACATCTTCAGTGACGTCAATTGGCCCAGGTGCATCAGACGGGGTATCATCCGAGTCATCACCGGTTCGCCCAAGTTCTGGATCATCCACACACTGGTCTTCGGGAGCGTCACGGTCCTCGCGCGTGAAGACCAGCTCATCGTCGTATGGACCCGATGTAGGAGGAGGGCCTTGCACGGGAGCTGCCCAGTCCAGGTACGCCCCAAACCAAGCCATTTTGTCCTGCCGTTCAAGCCATAGAACCATTTGCTTGAGATATTGTTTTCGGTTCGACGCACGATACGCGTTCTTCGCGAGGTCAATGTGTAGCCGCTCAGATATCTCGGTGGAAAGGCCGCCGCACGAACCAAGTGACATGATTGCAGCGACATAGTGATTCATCGAGTGCAGCTTTGGTATGTTGAAATCCTCGCGCACACCTAGATCTATGAAGACGTCTTTATTGTCGTGGAAATTTCGCAGCGCAAGCTTCATTGCTTCGAGGGTCGTAGAGGAGTGGGCAGGATAATGAGCGAGGAAGATGAAGTCCATAAGGGCACGCGCCGCAGTGATCACACGAGGATCGTCATGCACTCCGCACAAGATAGGGAGGAAGACCTTCTGCATTTGACGGTATTCGTTTCCCGTCCACTGCGTTACCTTCGATATCCCCCGTTGGAAGATGCGAAGACCGGGATAAGGCGGGACACGCTTGAAGCGTTCGTCAATCTCCACGGTATAACCCTCTGTCGTCCACTTCACAAGGTGATCCTTGAACACGCCCTTGTGAAGCTGGTGCAGAAGATCAGGTGTTATGCACCGGAAGATGTTGGCGTGCGGTAGGTCGGCCCAGAATGGTTTCTTGACATCTGAGAGGTTCTCATTGTCACCGTTGGCCAGGTCGCTGAGCGTCTCTGGCGGGGTACGGTAGTAAACCGTATCAAGCAATTCGCCTCGCTGATTAGGATGTACCTTGCAGATAGGGCAACGGTTCTGCTTGCAGCAACAGACAAGACATTGTTCGGGGAAGTCTGCTATGTATGCGGCAAGAATAGGGTAGACGTCCCGAACTTGCTCATCTGCGCAAGTCATTTTGACGCCGTTTTCTCCAGCGTCAATGAGGGGACGAAGCAAGATATCCATGGCGTAGTGAAACAAGCGGTAGCCCATCGCCTTCCGGTCTTTCTCCTCGAAACAAAGCAACTTCGTTACGGGCAGGTATCCGAGCAAGACGGTAGAGCGTTTGGATGGCTGTCGACGGGTTTCATTGTCGATGTTGCCTATGGTAATGTACACTGGCCACGCTTGCTTATCGCCGCTGAATACCGAAAGTTGTGTTTTGTCCGACGCAAGAATGATTGGTGCAATCGTGACGCCGGACGGGAGCTTGTTCTGGCAAGCAGGTACCCGCATCAGCAATGAACTCGGAGCTACTCCCAGGGTAGCACATGGTACGTATCACTCACGGTAATGTCCTTCCACCATTCACTATCGCACATCTGTTCATAGATCTGGGTCACGACCGTTGGGCTTAGGGTATTACCCCCATCTTGACTCGCATCCTGAGACTCTCCCGGACTCTGTTCATGGCGATGAGTGCGTGCATCACGCATCTGCTGCCACACTGGCAAACGGGGTTGTCTTTCGCCTTGATCAGAACCGTTCTCCGTCGCCTCGCCATTATCCTGCATCTCCACGTCCTCCGAGTCCGTGCTGCGTCCACACGCAGCGGCGCTGGCTCCCCCTTCTTCTGGCAGCGGTCCTGGCTCAGGGCCTTCAGTACTTGGATTGCCACTCATCTGCGCCTGAACGTTGACAGCCTCGTACGCAATATGGCCATCGAAGGGCTTATGACCAATTAGATCCTCAGTGATATGCACCGGGTCTCGACCCCATATGTCCAACACCTCAGTCATCAACCTCCCTTGTGCGTCACGAATGTTCCCGGTGACCTTGATCTCCGTATACGTCCAGGCTGCGCGCGGACCTGGGATTCTACTGTGCACGAAGTCGAGATATGATCGATTGTCGCAGAAGTTCTGGTATTGTAGCGGGAACGTGGTCTGTGTTTGACGGAACTGTACGTCAATGGTGAGTGGAAGTTTACTGCATGACTATCGAGTACAGCGTACCATTGAACCCTTCAGGAAGTCATCTGTACCTCTCTGTGACAGGCTACTCGTGTGGATCCACTGTGCTAACTCCCACTCCTCTCGGCTCGCGAACGGCGCCCATGCATCCAGCCCGCGAGTACGTTGTTGCGTCAAGAACCCGGTGAAGCGTGTTGGACAGCGACCGTAAGTCTTCACGCCTTCCTTCTGATAGTCCCTGATGTGGGTGTATGGGCTGCGTTGCAGGAACTGAGGAAGTGTCTTTGTCAGGGGAGGGCATTCGCGTGCAGCTACACGTCCTGAAGTACAAAATGTGAGCCGCCGCGTTGAAAAATGTTCATCTTCACTTGACACTCACTGTTAGATGATGTTGTTGGGGCACTGGACCCAAGCGGCGGGCCTGCCGGTGTATGCCCCTCGGACTGTCCACCGCTAGCATTTGGAGGTACAGGTCCTTGCGGACCACATGGATTCCGTGCGTATTTCTCACCGCACTTCTTGTTCCGTTCCCAATGTGTCTGCAGCGAGATGGTCTTGAAAGCGGTGTGGCAGAAAGGGCAGGGAGACGAAGGAATCGAGACCACAGAGAACGACTCGGAGGACATCGCAGAGAGAGACTCGGATGAAGGTTGCAATTGTAGCGCTGAAGTTGAAGGTGATACACGTACTCAGAGTTGATATGTTACAGTCACAGTGATCTGAGTGAACGGCTCGCCTAGCGGCGTTTCAATCCAGTATTGTCTCTTCAAACGACTGCGTCAAGACGACATCAATCAAGAACTTGAACCACTTGCTTTCCTTCGTTGAACATCCATATTACCCTCAGGCTCATGCTCATCTTCCTCTGACAAAGACTAACATATCATCCGTGCTCAACACCGCCGGGCTCGGAGGCACCTAATCTGCTCTACCAATTATGTTTCCGAGTCCAGGTCATTCTCGACAGCCATCCGATCACACTAATAGACAGCTCCCTAATCCCTCCGTACACATTCCACCGTCATTACCACAACCACTAATGCCTCCCAATCATGTCCGCATACAAGGGAACGCTGGCACTGGCCTCACGCCGGATGGACAACCCGAAGTTAGACGAAGTGCTCGACCGGTCTATCCCAATCCGCGTGTGGATCCTGGTGCGTCATGTGTCCCGGCGGTCTGTTCCTTGCCAAGTGATGACTTACTGTGTTACTTTCAGGGTTCGCACAGCAGCTTGCTGGTGATCGCCTCTCGGAACGGCAGCATCGAGCTACAGAATACTACCTCGATGAACGCTCGCCCATGTCAAATGAACCCAATGAACGTACCTGGCTCCATCAAGCACAAGAAGACGGAACGTATTCAGCGAGAGATGACAGCACATATGTTCCGACTGGCACTTCAACTGTTCGACGACCTGTTGGTGCGCGTGCCAGCGATAACCAGCAACGGCTGGATAATGCAGTGCGCCCGTCAGCCCAGATATCGAGTCAACATAGCTGAATACTCCTCCTAGTTCTCAGCAACCACACGTCCTAGTCATAGCCCATCACCGCCAGCGTACTCTACTACTCACCGCAACATGATGATGCCAGCTAGCCATAGCACGGTTCTCATGCGTGACGCTCAAGTCCTCGACCATATTGCGCCTCGAGCAGGTACGGCTTCAAGTTTGCAAACCGCCCCGTCGATCGCTTGGCCGCCCTCGTATAGTGCAAGGCCGCATGTCACGCCACCACCTCTGTCACAGTCATCCCGAGTCGGATCGAATGGACTTACAACACCAAGTCGGAACATGTCGCTGGAGCAAGCAGTCCCAATACATGCTGGTACGAAACGAGCAGGAGAAGAGCTCAGTGATGGCGAAGTAGCGAGTCAGGCACGAAAGCGAGCCTGGAATGAACGTCGTGTTACTTTCTCACACTTCAGGAATGACCCGGTGTTCCGTTCATCCTTGCTGAAGATCTACAGCCGTGCTCAATGCCACTTCGCTACGCGGGACCCTTTCCCACCCATAACAAGGAAGAAGCGTGACATACAGCGACAACGAAAGCTGGATCTCGTATTGTCTCTGTTCAGCGAGGAGGCATCGACATACACGCAGAATCCAAATGCACAGCCCTTGACTGACGGGATTGTTACCTTGGTATGTCCACTGGCATCGCTGATAACTTGAAACAGCTCGTCCAATTGTTACTAGCATTACTAATTCTTGGATCAACTCACGTCAGCTCGGAGGCGCGGATGGCTTCATCTACGGGCTTGTAGCAAAGGTGGCTGAAGAACTGGTCCCGAAGGCCTATGGTCTTCATCTAAGCCCACGGACGGATGTAGAGCGCAGCAACAACTGCGTGCTTGCGAAAAGGCTGTCCGACAACAATTGCTTTCATTTCGTGGTGAGTTCAGACAGCGGTCCAGTCAAAACAACAGGATCTGACAACCTATGATGTGCTGGCAGGAATTCGATGCAACAAGGAACGTATGGTCCAAGATGTACCAACACACCGTAATTTTGGCGATCATCAAGGCTGCATTCTTCAGCGACAGAGAAGGACTTGGCTGTCGCTTCCAGACCTACTTCAAGCCGATATCACAAGAGCTGATATTGTTGGTCTGTACAAGTGTACGGCAGCACAATCTGTTCGATTCCTCGTTGCTGATCATGAATCTAGATCAAGTATGAGCTTTCGCTCTGGCTAGCCGTGGGTGATCGTCTCCGCAAGCCGAAAGCCTTCAATAAGAGCTGGTCCACGGAATATCAGATCGTTCGAGCCGACCTCAGCCAGCTCGACAACAACCCTGACTGGCGTCAGCTACGGTTCATTATGTTTGACGATCTCCTGTGCGTCCCAGCTTTCCGTGATCCCACTGTTTTCTCTAAGCCGAAGTACGTTACTGACATTGATGTTTGTAGTGCCGCGTCGGGCTTCCATGCTCCGCCTGTCGACCCTGTGCACTTCATTCAGCCGCTCTCGCAACAGGACATGGCACACGAACAAGCTTCAATCAAGGCAATCCTTCAGGGCCGCGTACAACCTCAATCCTCTGAGCCCCAACAGGCTGACTGTGAGAGACGGTGGTTTCGTCTACTCGCAAAGGTAGGGAACGGGCTGCTTAGCGGCTCGAACGTTGGTGGTCGCTTCGCGACCTGGTCGTAAAGGGAGTCGTTAGGGTCGTGTGCTGGCGAGGAGCCAGCCGGGAGCTGGGTGCCTGACCGAGGCGAGGAGCCAGTGAGTCACGCAAGCTGTCGTGTGCTGGCGAGGAGCCAGCAAGATACGAGTGGTCGAGTCTAAGCGAGGAGCCGACGCGACTAGTCGTGGTCGTGCGAGGGCAGATGGCCAGCGAGAAGGGGGCGTGCCTGTAGCGAGGAGCCCAGGGGACGAGTGAGCGAGGAGCTGTACTCGAGGCAGGAAGTGGCGAGGAGCCTCTTCCCCAGAACGGCGAGGAGCACGCTCTGTGCGTCGAGGAGCGAGGAGCTCGCACGACTAGGTAGCTTTCTCCCAATTCGGACGGCGCGGTATCGCACACGGACGAAGGAGTAGGAGATCAAGAAGCTAGCGTCTAATTGCTGGACGCGCGTGAGGTAACCGTGAGCGCGCATCTAAGTGATTACAGTAGGTTTACAAATATGTACTAATTAATTATGGACGAGGAACGAATACTTGCGGGTCGCGATTCTCGTAGGTGTTCCTATACACGTTAGCGTACGCCGCTTTGATGCGTTCTACCGCATCCATAACAGTGCCCCCCATCGCGAGTCGCAAGTCTTGAGCGATATCCTCCCTTAGGTTCCATTCGAGCATGAGACGTCTGATTGCGAACCAATGTCTCATGCGTACGGCGTCGTCGTCACTGTCGAAGTATCGTGGTTCATCGACAGCGGGGTACAGCGTTGCTCCCGCCCCCCATACCCGTCGTATACGGTCCCGTACCCCGGCCCAAACAGCCCCCCTGGCCGCGTCCGTGGTGGCAGCTTGTAGACTCGGTAGCAACCTCGCAGCCAGTCGCTCGAAGTTGTACCTGAACAAGAAGGTCCTCAGCCTCCAGATTTCATTCTCCCTCTCGTTCGGAAGAGGGTTGCGCAACGGGCTAACAGCGTCGTCCGGCAAGGGGCGCGTCGAATCGTTCCTGGCCGCTCGCACCAAGTCGGGAGGACCGCGGAGATTAGATCTCCATTGGCGGTTGTTCCGTAGTAACCAGTTCTCCGGCTTTCTTTCCAATCGTAGGAGGCACGGCCCTCGGTTTTGTAGCCAGGTTATCGTAGCCAGATAACCTTCATCGCCCTCTGCTAGCAAGAGTTGAGGGGAGGGTACCGGGGTCTTCGCATCCTGCGTAAAAGTCGGCGCCGGGCCCAGTTCGTCCTCTCCTTCAAGTCGAAGGGTATGTCCACCCCCGTCGCGTTCGAAGGGATGATGAATATACTCGTCCACCGCGGCGGCTGAGTACAGAGGAAGCCTGGTCCTCAAAGGAACTCCCGAGGGCAGGCTGACCGTGTGTAAGTCCGCGGGGGGTAGGACGACCGGAGGTGCGGGGGGAGTGAGAGGAGATACGTCAGTGATCCGATTCTCGAGGGGTAGTCCCAGTCGCTCGAAGAGTGACGCTCCGGCGCGGGCTACCACTTCGCTCGAGTCTCCTTCCACGGGGGCCGTACTGCTCGAGGGGCCCAACCTAGAGAGCAGGCTGGCGGCTTCCAACCTCTCCAGTAGGGGTCGTCTGGGCGGCTCCGAGGTAGGAGGGGCCAGCCTCTGCTCAAGGGGTAGCGACGACGCTGCCGGGGGAGGACTCGGCGGCCTGAAGGAGGCCCGGGGCTCGTTGGGCGACGCGGGGCTGCGCGAACGCCGACTAGGCACCGGACTCCTTTCCCGAGTTCGTGCCGGGGGACGAATCACCTCCTCCCTCCGATTGGCTCGACGACGTTCGTCGAAGTCAATCCTTTGCGAGGAAGGGGGGCGGTTCATCCAGCGGGGAGTGTACCGCACCGGGGAGAGGTGTAATCTCCGGGGTGATCGAGATTGCTCGGACCGACGTTCTCGAGGACGTCCCCGACGAGGAGAGGGCGAGCGGGAGCGGCGACGAGAAGAACGCTCTGAGGGAACGGGAGTACGTTCGCGGCGCGGGATAGGAGGGGGAGATGGGTGGCGGCCTGGAGGGGAGCGATGGCGGCGAGGCGAGCGGGGACGACGAGTAGAAGCCGGGAGACGGGGAGGGGACCTTCGGCGAGGAAGTGGAGGGAGCGGCACGGGCTGGCTTGGCGGTGGAGACGCTCGCCTCTTGCCTTTGTCCGGCTGGTTTGGGACCGTCGATGAGATCCTTTGCGGGGGACGCGTCGGGGACTCGATCCTCTCTCGAGGAGGAGGGGAACCAATGATCATGGGCGAGTCGACTCTTGGAGGAGGAGTGACGATCATCCTTCTGTTACGATCGGGCGAGCTCCTCGGGGGCGAGGAAAGCTGAGCATGGTTGACGTAGGACTGGTTGACCCATCCTTCCTCTTCGGCGATGTTGGAGAGGGCGGCGAAGGGATCGACGGTAGTCTGAGGAGCGGGGGGACGCGTCGTGGGAAGGGAAGGTCCAGCGACGGGAGGGGGTCGACGCAGACCATGGGACTTTTCCCAGTCAAAATCCGAGTCCTCCTCCGCGGACAGGAAGTCAGCCTCGAGCTGTTTCTCGCGGCGCGAGGATTTCTTATTCTTTTCTCGAGGAGGGCCGTGTTCCTCGTCGTCCCATAGCTCCGTCGACAGTCGTTTATCGAGCGAGCTCACTCGCAGGAGCAGTTGGTTCGAGGGAGGGCCGTCGCGGCGGATGTACCAAACCGGGATCCCACACCAGACCAGACGCTTCATAAGATCCTCGTCGGAGCTACGAACCCAGCAGCCGATACCCGTGAGGTGGGGGGAAGGCGTCGCAAGGCGTCCTTCGTTAAAGGTCTGCAGGAGGTAGGACCGGTACGAGTAGGCCCTTAACTCCAGCAGGTGGCGCTGGATGATTGCCACATTGCCGCGGGCCGTTTCGAGGTTGGAGTCTATGTACTCAAACTGGTACCTCGCCTCTTTCACGTCGTCGGGTCGGAGGATGAAAGAGGACGGCGGATCCGGGTCCTGGGAGAGGAAACCTTCCGCTTGCTGGAGCTCTGCGTCGTACAGGCTAGTCAGAGCCTGTATGAAGGCGGGGTCCGACTTGCCTTTCCCGCTCTGGGAGGAGAACAGGCGGAAGGTACCTTGGAGGCTTCCGCGCTTGCAGTCCAAGAGGACGTAGGCGGGATCGATGCCTTCCGCCCCGGGAGGGACGCCGTGGATGAACGGCCAGTGTCCTCTGGCGCGCCTCCATTCCTGAGGGTGGTATCCCGGCTCAAATACTCCTCGTCGCCCGTTGGAGAGGATTTCTTCTCGATCTTGGGGACCAGGAGGAGGAGAGGGAACGTAGTCGGCGTTGGGAGAGACGGCGTAGGTTCCGTCACCTAGCGCCGCCATGACCCGGACCGCTCGGTGACCCGTATACAGCGGCCAGTTCGCATCTCGCACCTGCAGTCGTTGAGGGAGGACTTGGTAGTCCATCGGGAACCAGAGAGACGAGCGGAAACGGGGCAAGTGCGTGGTCGACCTGGAAGGAGGAGCCATGACAGCGTTCGAGAGGTTTGATATCAAACACTCCCAATGCGGTGCGAAAGGGACGGAGAGAGCAGGACGAAGTTCGAAGATCGAACACCCGTCTGAGGAAGGCGCAGAGGTTCGGAAATTTCGAACACTCGCGAGTGGTGGTTGGAGGAAAGGGAGGTAGCGCGCTAGAGACGCTGGCCTTGACACCTCCGCGACGCGGTCACGTGGGAGTCCCCGGCGCGTGGTACGCGTATCGAGACGCGAAATCCGTCCTCCACGGTTATTCTATCGTACTATACTATCAGCTGCTTATCTACTAGGGTGATATTACAGAGTTGCGAGAGTCGTTCAGATGACGAGATTAGCGCGTCAGACGGTGTATCGCCTTGAATTCGCGGAGAATCTCGTATGCGTTTGAAAGGTGAGAGGCGGGCTCCCAGGTGTCATACACGGGGCTATATCCCTTCCAACGGATGAGGAATTCGAGACGATTACTCTTTGACTTGTTTCTTCTCCAGGCGACGATCCGCTCCACCTCGAATTCCTCGGCTGCCAAGATTTCCGAGTTGCGAGGATCCGGTAGAACGGGACGCTCTACGCCAGTTATTGACTCGGCGGGTTCGCGGTATCTACGCAGATGTTCGAGGTTGATGACCGGGTTCATAGGGTAGGTGTCGGGCATGGCTAGTTTGTACACGAGAGGGTTAACTTGCTCCTGGACTAGGAAGGGTCCCAGCATCCTCTGCACTAGCTTCTTTCCGGTGCCTTTGACGTCCACCAGCTCTAACGAGTGCGGGTTGACTAGCACGCGGGAGCCTACCGGGAAAGTTTCGGGACGGCGTCCCTCGTTGAAGAACCGGGCTGCCTGTTCTTGAGCCATGGCTATGGCGTCGCGAGCTCTTTGCCGGTGAAGTTCCATATTCAGGACGAATTCGGTGGCTCGCTCGCTAACGAGCAGCGGGCGCTGCTCGTAGCGGTTGGTGTTGCCAATGAAATCCGCGGACCCTTTCGGCTCGAATCCATAGAGTAGGAAGTACGGAGAGTACCCGGTCGTTGAGTGAATTGAAGAGTTGTAGGCGTGGGCCAGAGCGGGAAGCCACTGTGCCCAACCCTGTCGGTCTCCCTGCACGTAGGCTCTCAACATCGTTTCTAATCGCTGGTTGACGATTTCGGTTTGACCGTCGTGTTGGGGATGATGAGAGGATGAGAGGGAGAGATGTATGTTCAATTCTGCTGCTACGGATCTCCAGAACTCGGAGATCCATCTGCCGTCCCGGTCGCTGATGATATGGTCGGGGATGCCGAAGCGGAAGATGACTTGTAGTACGAACAAGTGAGCGAATTCCACGGTGTTCATGGTGCCTCGACAGGGGATGAACAGAGCGTATTTCGAGCATCGGTCGACCGCCACGAATATGGCGTCGAATCCGTCCGAGAACGGTAGGCCGGTGATGAGGTCAAATGAGATCCATTCGAACGGGCGGTTAGGCACGGGGTTTGGTCTTAAGAATCCGGCTTTCGCTCTGTGGTCGGCTTTCGTCTTCTGGCAGACGTCGCAAGACATAGCGTAGTCTTTGACGTCTTTGCGTAGGGTTGGCCAAAAGAATCTGGAGTTGATACGCGTAGCTAACTTAGCTGGGCCCTCGTGGGCAGATTCGTATGGAGAGTCGTGGATCCTGGCGATGAGGGGGAATACTTCCGATCGAGGGACGCACAATCTGACTGGGTCTGAACCCGTCCGCATGAACAGCAAACCCGAATCGTCCGTAAAGAAACATTGGCCTGCGAACTTCTCTAGCCCTGGCTCGGAAGCTTTCGTCCACTTCGTTTTGAAGAAAGCATCTTTAGCGTAGCCCTTCACGAACTTCTCGCGGTATTCGCTACTGAGTTCGATGAGAGCTGTAGGGGGAGAGACGTCCTCTGGCGGCCCGTAGAGGGAGCTAGGATCCGCAGTTGTGGGAAGGGACGGATTAGATCTCGATGCTTTCGTCGCGGTCTCCTTCCTCTTCTTCTGGGTAGCCACTACGGGGGGACGCCGATGTTCTTTGAACCTCGTTGAAACTGGGGCCGCTAGTTTATCCTCGCTGTCTACGCCGTCTCGGGCCTCGTCGTAGTTCGGAGTACTCGCGCAGATCAGAAAATCGATCATGCTCCGAGTATCCTCATCTCTCGAGCAGATCGGTACTTCGATCATGCTCTGAGTATCCTCCTCATTCGACCTGTATCCGCCCCCCACGCTGAGGCCCGAGTCGTCGATGGGGTTGCCACTGAAGGGGCTCCATGCCGGCGAAGCATCAAGGACATCCTCCCATGATTGGATGAGCGTAACGGCCGCTGCCATCTTCGCCGCTGGAGATCGTTCCGCGGCTGACTCGGCCGCTGCGGGCTTGACCTGGTCTGTGATGATTGGAACTGACGGGTCTGATAGAGGCGAGTCGTGGGCTGGGGGTTCTCTAGGAAGTCGTGACAGTGGGTCGACGTTGGAGTGTACTCGACCCGCTCGATGCACGATATCCAAGTTCGGCAGATATGCTGCAAACACGGCCCCCCAGGCCGCTAGTCTGCGATTAGTGTTTTCGTAAGTCCTGGCCCACTGAAGCGCCGCGTGATCGGTAACCAGGGTGATTTGTTCTCCTTCTATGAAGGGCTGGAACCGCACGAGACCGTCCTTCGCCGCTAAGGCTTCGCGTTCCGTGGCCGAATAGTTGCGTTCGGCGGGTTTGCAAGTTCGACTCCAGTATGCGATGACCCTCTCCACGTAGACGGTGGTTTCGTCTAACGTGGAGGCCCACTGACCCGCTGGGGGGCTATCGTCGAACTTGCTGGATATTCGCGAGGTGAGGCAGGGGACAGGGGATCCTTCCCCAAAGGCCTTGCTCAGTCGATCATAGGCTCGCGTCCCCTTGAGATCGCCAACTTGGATCGGTTGCACTTGCTGCAAACAGGCTCCTAGGGCGATGTCTGACGCGTCGGTATATAGTCGATATGGGCTACCAGCCGCGGCGTGAGCAAGGACCGGGGCCGACTGGAGAACGTCTTTCGCGCGTTGCCATGCTGATTCGCATTCGGCCGTCCAATCCCACTTATGATCCTTCTTCAATAGTTCGAATAGAGGCGAGACAATGAATGAATAATAAGGGATATAAGTGGAGAAGTAGACGGTCATTCCTAGGAAGGTTTGCAGATCGGACACACGTTTGGGACGCGCTAGTTCCAGGACGGCTCGCACTTTCTCGTGATGCGTGGAGAATCCTAGGCGGGACACTTTCTGTCCTAGCAGCAAGATCGATGTGTAACCGAAGTGACACTTGGGCGGGGACAGCGTGATGCCCGAGGATATGATGGCTTTGAGTACCTTGTCCAGGTGGTCGATGTGTTCGTTCCAAGAGCGGGAATACACGACGATATCGTCGATGTAGACCAACGAGAACAGCCAAAGGTACGGAGCTAGAACTCCCTGCATGACACGCTGGAAGGCCGAGGGGCCGTTGCGCAGCCCGAAAGGTAATCGTTTGAACTGGAATAGCCCGTGATGAGATCGGAATGCCGTCTTTTCCCGATCGTTTTCCGCGACCGTGAGTTGCGTGAAACCGGATAGCGCGTCGAGGGAAGTGAGCACTTGCGCGCCCGACAGGGCTTGAAGGATCTCGTTCTGCCTGGGGATGGGAAATTCGTCCGGCACGGTTACCGCGTTGAGGCGTCGGTAGTCCACGCACAACCGGGGTTTACCGTTCCGGTAAGCTATTAGTACGGGAGCCCCCCAAGGACTGTTCGACGGTTCAATCACATCGAGGTTCAGCCAAGCTTCGTGTTGTTTATCGATAACTTCCCTTTTGGCGGGTGAGGCCGAATACATCGGTAGCGACACAGGCTTGGCTTCGGGCTGCAGTTTGATTTCCACTTCGGTCGGATTATGACCCAGTCGACCGTCGAAAGCGAAGGCGGCTTGATTCACGCGTAGCATGCGGATAAGTCGATCACGTTGCTCTTTGGGCCACTCAGGCCCAATGTCGAGGAGTTTCTCCAGTTCGCTCGACGGGTAAGTCTCCGGATCGGGGAGTTCGGCTGTCTTGGGCCCCCACTGATCGTCCAGATCCTCGGACGAATTCACGACATTATCTTCGGTCGGAAGCACTCCAGCAGCCCCTCGTATGAACGTCTGGACTGTTGAAGCTTGCACAAGTAGCTCGGGGGTGGACTCGGCGAAGTACCCCTCGGGAGCGTGAAGGAGACCCAGAGTCTCGCCTTCTCGGACCATGTACGGGCGATCCGTAGGGTTGGTCACGGGAACAAACAGGTGATCGGAATTGATCAAAGTTGGAGTTGTTAACAAGAAGGTCCCGTCCGATTGACCGAGCACTGTTTTCTCGATAAACCACTGCGTCTGAGAGCCGAGCGGAGGTCTGATAGGCACCGGACGACAAGAGTGCGGAGCAATTCGCACATCCTGCGCAGCCAGGGCAGAAGGGCGTTGGGTTTTAATGAGCTCTCGATGTCTGTCAGCCCGACGTCGTCGATGGGTTTTGGCGCGAACGAATTTGGAATCGACCGCCTTGACCACTACTTTGAGGCTCGGCCTTTCCTTACGCACTGAGGATGATGCTTGAATCGAATACCCCGTATTCCCGACTCGTATAGCAGATCCTTCTGTTACGCTGCGAGTGACGCTCAATTCGTAATTTACGTGGAAATCTTCTCCCAAGAGCAGTGGCGCGGACATTCCAGGGACCACGTAACATTCAGCCACCATTTTGAGGACGTGACCTTGCTCCGTTTCGACGTATACTTGGGTCTGGATGTATCCCGATATGCGGAAACCTCCTGTCAGTTGAAATAGGTTCATGCGAAGCCCTTGTTTGACCTTAGGGCGAGAAGCGACGGGAAGCGACTCGAGGTATTCTTGGGAAATCAGCGAGATGTCGGCGCCCGAATCTGCCCTACAGGTTACGGGAGGATGGGACAAGCACCCTAGGCGCAACGGAAAGGACAGGGCAGCTACCCCAACGGTGGAATGCCCTGCGGGCGGATCACGTACTCTAGCGAGGGGAACGATTAGGGGATCGCCTAGTTTAGGAGGGGCGTAAGCGGCAGGGACGCTGTCGTCCACTGCGGCTGCGGTCCTCGCGAAACGGTCCGGATGGCCAGAGTAATGCGAGGACCCATCCACGGACAGAGCCTCGGCTAACATGTCAGTCAGGGAGTCAGTCGGGTCACGCCTGAGAGTCTCGATCTCTTCGAGGAGGTGCGGATGGTCGGTAGGCAGCGGATGCAAAGGGCGCGACGGATCTTCGTCGACGTCCTCGCATGTAACGCTCAAGGAACGCTTCATTTTTACCGATGCTTCGAGTTGTTCTCCTTCGGCTCGGCGAACATCCGCCCACAAAGCGTTAGACAGTCTGGCATTGTTCATGTTACTACAGATATAGGCGACGAACGCCTCCTCGTACTCCTCGTTCTCATGTTCATCACAATTGTACTCGGCGTTAATTAGAAGGGCTCTTCGGCCGATGTCATACTCGTTCCAATGGGGGCAATCCCGATCCCAATGGAAAGGACTACCGCAAACTCGACAATCTCCTGGAGGAGGCCGTTTGCTCTTGACGGAATCATCTCGAGGGTACTTATGACCGGCCGGAGGCGGTCGGCGACTGGCTCCTCTCGTGGGACGAGACGGGGGAGCCCTCGACTGAGTATTGAGAGCGAGAGCTTCGCGAGCCGCGTCCCCATTCGCCGCGGCCGGAACGGAATTCTCGTTCACGGTCGGGGGAACGAGAGGAGGATCGTCTTCCTCTTCGAGATCACTAGCGAAACCTCCCGAACGGCCATCCACTGCGAAGGCTCGTCGAGCCGTAGAGAAGGTCCGCGAATCGGTTTTCGAAGAGGGGAGGTGGAGCCGTTGTTCGTATTGCGAGGTACGCGCGGGGGCCATCGACGCGAAGGCTATAAGCTCGTCCGACTTGTCCGCCACTTTGGCCATCAGCGCGGCAACGGTCTCGATGGAATCCAGCGAGAGGACCGTGGACCAAGTGGGAGGAGCGTTCTGCATCACCGCTGCTATTTCGAAGGCTGGGTCTTGCAACGCGCTGGTTAGATGTCGGTGGTACAAGAGTCTGCGATCTACGAAATCCATAGGGAGTTCCTTGTCATGTCCGGACTGACGGAAGCGTTGCCCATCGTACTGGGTACGTAGAGACACTTCAAACTTGTGCGTGAAGAATTGGATCTTGATGCCTTCGTAGAGCTTCCACCAGTCGGAGGAGTATAGCTTCTGGGTCTGGAAGTCGAGGAGTTGCCACCAACGCTCCGCGCGACCAGTGAACTTATCCGGAGCGGCTGCTCCGAGGTCTCTCGCGATGGAGTCGTTCTTTCTGGCCAGGTTATTCATCTTGTGCAGATAGATGAGGATCGTATTGTGACTTCCGTCCCAACTAGGGATGGAACTTCGCGTAATCTTCTGGTCGAGCCTAAGACCTGCCTCTTTAGGCGCAGGGAGTTGTTGGATGATGATGGTGGGTCGATTGTCAGGAGAAGAGTTTGGCGCGGCAGTTCCCCCGTAAGGAGGCTCTCCTCCTGGAGGGCCGCCGTCACTCCCTCTATATCGTCGTCGGTCGTAGGGATTTCGAGAGGGAGAGCGGTCGCTTCCGCCCGGTCTACGATTGTTCCCATCTCCGTCTCCACCTCCTCCATCTCCTCCTCCTCCAGGGGGACCACCAGGTCCAGGAGGGCCACCGGGGGGAGGACCTTCTCTTCCTCGGCTGGAGTGGCTTGAATGAGATACGCTGGGAGACCTAGAGTCGTGACGATTCTGTTCTGCCTTGTTCGGAAAACCCGACGCAGGAGGGACGTTTCCTCCATGCGCCGGATGACCGGAAGTGCGCGACTCGTAGACGAAGGTCTTCTTGCCATCCGCACCAGCGGATTGACGCGTTTGTTCGTAATAATGACCTTCTAAATGAGGCGGGGCGTCTCGTAACGGAGAGTTCTGGCGGGAGGCGAAGGTTGGAGGTCGAGGAGCGGAAGAAGGTCGAGCTGACGGGAATACGGCGTCACGTACGGTCTGCGCGGCCGCGGATTCGGGAAGAGCAATTGAATGCCCGCGCGGCCAGGGCGCTGAGGATCTTCGCTCAGATGAACGAAGTTCCGGGGCAGGAGTTCCTAATCCCGGAGCGGCCGAGTCCTTTCGGGAGTGAGGGGGGTCTTGAAATTGGACTTTTCTTCCTACGTCTTCCGCGACCTGAGGGAGCGTGAAGTCGGAGTTCGCGTGACTCGACCGATGGGAATAACGCGGGCGCGTGTCCACCGTAGGAGGGAAGCGAACACTTCCTTTCGTCATGATAGGAGAGGAAGGTTCGGAAGGTACGGAAGGAGACGCTCGAGTTATGTCCAACTCGACTCGCGCAGCCGAAGACGTCCGTGAAGGATGCACGGCGCTTCCAGCCATCGACACGGAAGCTCCGTGTACTACTGGAGTGACGAGCAGCGAAAGCGGGGGCCATCGGAACCGCTGGTCAGGAGGGATTTGCAAGTTTGCTAATTCCGGGTCAACGCCTTCCGAGTTCCCTAGACGTCTTAGAACGACCGCTTGATATTCGGGAGTCAGGTTCGAGAAGATATCGGGGTGGTCGAGCCATTTGTCGATCATCATACGCTTGGAGTTCGAAGCGCGGACGTGTTGGCTAAAGTCCGAAACCGTGGACTTGACGGAATCGGGGTAATTCATCCCGTCGTGAAGGGCCCGTCGCTGATGGATCAGCGTAACCGCCTTAGCTGCACGGTATTGGACGACTCGGAAGGCGTCCGAGATGAGCCCACGAGAGGCCGAAGCTCGGAGGGTGCTCATGAGTGAGCCCGCGTGATCCGTCTTCCACTTGCGATTCGCATCCTCCAAGCGCAGCATTTGATTGACCAATGATTCGAGACCCTCCACTATATAGTTGATGCGCAGCATCGCTCGGGCCTTGATTCGGTACCGAGATTCCTTTCCTTCGAGGTCAGCGGCGTCGATGATGTCGCGAGGGTCTAAGTCTTCGGCAATGAAGATGTTAGTCTCCTCGAACAACGTTCCGAAATTTCCTATAGCGTCCCGAGCGTTGAGGTCGTTGAAGGTGGCCTGAGCTTCCGCCGGCTTGCGGAGGTGAGCCTTGAATCGACCGGACTCGTCCACTAGGTCCCGGAGGTGGACCTTATCGACGGCCTCCTTCGCGGCTAGCCTAATTTCCTCGGCCGAGACTGAGGAGTTCGCAGGAGCCGAGACCTCGGGGGAATCATTTGACTTCCAAGGAGTGGACGTGGCGACGGGCTGGGGGACGTACACGGGTGCTCCAGAGGTGCTGACCTCCACGGGGCAGAACCAGTCGGCAGGGGAAGGAGTGACCGGAGGCGAGTGCTGGGCGCTCCATCCTGGCGGCAGCGCAGTCTGCGAGCTGTTATCAGCTGGCCGGGGGCGGGGCGACTCGACAAACGTCGAGGGTTGGATTTCGCGTGGAGGTTGCACTCCGGAAGGGGGATCATTGTCCAGAGTTCCTGGGACAAGCAACGTCCGTGGAAAATCCGGAGAGGCGACCGGATGGGAGGAGACCGAGGAGCGGGCACTATCGCTCACTCGGCCTTGGGAGGGGAGAAGGGGTGTAATGGGCAACTTACCGAAGCCTCCCACATCCTCTACGTCCTCAGTCGTGGCGACTCTTCTTCGTGCCGTCCGTTCGGGAGTTGGGGCCGAGATGTGCGTGAAGGGCGAGGCTGATCCCGAAGGGAGAGCCGACGAAGGACGAGATGGCCGTGAGGCATCGCCGAGGAACGAAGTACCGGCAGCAGGGGTGCGCGCGGTCATAGCGGCCGGTCGGAGAGGAAAGGGAGGTAGAGAGTAAAGGTTACGAACCGGTAGAGCAGTGGACCGTTCCCCTGAGTGTCCACCAATGTGAGAGACGGTGGTTTCGTCTACTCGCAAAGGTAGGGAACGGGCTGCTTAGCGGCTCGAACGTTGGTGGTCGCTTCGCGACCTGGTCGTAAAGGGAGTCGTTAGGGTCGTGTGCTGGCGAGGAGCCAGCCGGGAGCTGGGTGCCTGACCGAGGCGAGGAGCCAGTGAGTCACGCAAGCTGTCGTGTGCTGGCGAGGAGCCAGCAAGATACGAGTGGTCGAGTCTAAGCGAGGAGCCGACGCGACTAGTCGTGGTCGTGCGAGGGCAGATGGCCAGCGAGAAGGGGGCGTGCCTGTAGCGAGGAGCCCAGGGGACGAGTGAGCGAGGAGCTGTACTCGAGGCAGGAAGTGGCGAGGAGCCTCTTCCCCAGAACGGCGAGGAGCACGCTCTGTGCGTCGAGGAGCGAGGAGCTCGCACGACTAGGTAGCTTTCTCCCAATTCGGACGGCGCGGTATCGCACACGGACGAAGGAGTAGGAGATCAAGAAGCTAGCGTCTAATTGCTGGACGCGCGTGAGGTAACCGTGAGCGCGCGTCTAAGTGATTACAGTAGGTTTACAAATATGTACTAATTAATTATGGACGAGGAACGAATACTTGCGGGTCGCGATTCTCGTAGGTGTTCCTATACACGTTAGCGTACGCCGCTTTGATGCGTTCTACCGCATCCATAACACTGACCAGTCACCATTGAACAGTGTTTCTGGCGACGCCTCCGCTTCAGCCACGCCTTCGTGGAGCTCGTCTACACTGCTTCAAGTATCGCATTCATCGCCGTTGGCGTCGCCGGCGCCACTTGAAGTCCCGTCCGCTTCAGGTCCATCTCCTTTGTCACCATCGCAGATGACTTGGACACGATCCGAATCGCCCGCCCTGCTCTCTCCCGGACAGCTATACAATATGCAGCGAGCGTCGTCGCCGTCAGAAACTTTCATGGCATATGCTCCAGATGCTCAGAGACAATCCAAGTCATTGACGGCGCAGTGATAGATACAGGTCAAAGTCTCAGCATTACTCGCCCGTCGACTACACTGTCCGAGTCTGTAACGCGCCTGGGTACTGCGCGTCGTCTGTCTGTTCCACACATTCAATCCTCCTGCAGTCACGGTCATTAACGTAGTAATCCACTAATTCTATTGTATATATGCGATGACTTTGCGACAATATGACTCATAGTATGGATCATTCCCCCGAACTTGAAGTGGTACTGCCGACTTCAAGTTGAGCCTGTGGACACGCTCGACTGTCCCGCCGCCGGGCACTGAGAGTCACAGTGACGCTTTGGAGTACTGCACAGGTGTAGCCTCGGATCACCGGTTCTCACAGACGAGACTCAATCTCCGCTCTGAGGCTGGTATCATGGAGCTACTCTATATGAGTGATTTGAGTTACTCCAGTTTTCCTGATGTAGTGCAATGAGCAAATACATCAGGATGATGCGACATGGCACTATAGATAGAACGTGCTGGAAGGCACTGGAAAGGACTGGACAGGCCTAGATCAATGATGTGATCAATGATGTGAAGTGATGTGATCAAGGAATGTGATGGAACATCAAGGAATGATCTGGAATATGATGGAACCATGTGGAATGTTCCGTACAGGTCTAAAACAAGTCATGTGCTGCAGGTCTGGATCTAGTCCATCAAGAATGTACGTAATATGTAGCAATGAAGAACATAAGTCCATAACGGGTAAGGATAAGTCCTATCCCATGTGATAACACTTGAAATAGTCAAAGTTCAACACGATCTACAGTTAGAGTCGGGTTTGTGCTTAGTGGCATCCTCAACTATTGTTGTAACACTCTATTCACTATAATCGTAACAGACTTACTTCGATCAACCAAGTTTCTTAGCTTCACTAAGAACGTAGGCACTACTGTGCCACTCCAAACTTAGTGCTTGAACTTGTTGAGCAAAATCGATTCTCGATTGACTAATCCTCATAAGTCGATCACTCAAATTGTTGTGTTAATCCTCTTCACAACGAGATAATCCTCAATTCATTTCTTAACTAAGGCAACTACGATTACGTAGCTACTGACGGCTGTTACTAAGTAAGTACTCGGTAAGTTAGCAATCCCAGTACATAACAGGTATGAGCTAAAGCTGGGCAATGGTTGAATACTACATGATGGGGTCCTCTGAGGATATTATTGGGTTGAACATTGTGTTTGGGAGCAACTGACTCCCAACCTACACAGCCAATGTGTAAAGAACATCACTAATGGACCTGTACTAGCATTTGCAGCCATGACAAAGATACTGCCCTCAATTTGGAGGTCGAGATAGGCAGCAGGGGGGAAAGCAGTGAGAGGGTGATTTGAGGGCTGTATCGCTTTATTGGTATGATTCTGGACTGCATAATGGACAATGGCAGTGTCTTTGGATGATCTTATTTGAGGAAACAATCAAAGAAGATAAAAAGGGAAATTCAGAACAAACAGGAGGTCAGGTGGTTTGAGCCCCTGCCAGTGTTGCCCTAACATCTACGTACATTGGGACGTCCTGCTCCAATTTCCCATCATTGCCAAACACAATATACAGAGTATTCTTGCTGGTTTCCTTGACATCCAAAATCTCTGCGGCAAGCCACACATACCCGAACTCCTGCACCACCAGCAGTTTAGGGAAGCACACCATGCATCCCCTCTACACAAGTGAGTCCTCCAGCACCCATCCAAGTTGGAGAGCTAGCTCCATGCCCCTTGTGAAGTCTGTTTGATACCATGGGCTGACTGGTACCACTGGGTATGGGATCCCCCATACAATATGTAGGGTCTGCTGCCCATCCACTTCAATGTATGTTGAAGGCTAGAGCAACAATAGAGTAGAACACACTAGCAACCAAAGTTACCTTTGAAGACAGATGTATTGAGGCAAGCAAGCATAAGAGATATACTATCATAATAGAATGGTATACCCATGGCGCAAGTATCTAGATCAACCAAAGAGCCAAACAGCAATCATACCTGAAGAAAGTCTGTCCGTAGTGAATCTGCGTCCCCTCTATGTTTTGCACTGGCCCACAAGACCGGGCTGCCCGTCAGGAACTCGCGCACACCGGGGCCCTTGACTGGCGCGCTGGTCTTCCTCTCACCGCCTCCGCCTACAGGCGTCCCAGCCCGAACCGGGACAAGCGGGCCGTCGGGCGCCATGAGCGGTAATGTCGGCGGAGGGCGCAACGGGACAGCAGCGTAGCCGCCCCTCGAGTCTGCAAAGACGTACCCGGAAATGCCGCTCCCAATTGCACTCCCGCTACCGCTTGCGGCATGACCAACGCCGACGTTCATGCTCGCCAGGCTCGCGTCGCTCATCTCGAGGTTGACCTGGGATGTGGAAAAATCCCTGGAGCCAGTTCCGAAGGGGTTGTGGAGCGAGAAGCTCGCGACGCTCTCGCCACCGCCGCGGTAGTTCATCATGATCGTGCCGGTGCGGGCGCCGCGGCCTGAGATGGCCTCGGAGAAGGCGCTCGACTTGGGCGTGTTCGGAGGCGGGGCGCCGAGGCGAAAGGCGTGTTCATGCCTGCGCTTGCGGCTGTAGAGGTGGCGGAGGAGGGCCCAGACGCCGAGGAGGATGAGCGCGACGCCGAGGACGCCGCCGAAGACGCCGGCGAGGATGGTGGGCACTTTGGATGAGGAGGAGGACGAAGTGCTGGAATTGTCAGCGGTGGACGGCCTGTGGGTAGGGGTGAATGAGTTTGCATGAGAACGACATGTGTGAAGATTAGCAAGACGCTCGGACGGCTTACGTCGCAAGTCCGTTGCCAGCCGAAGACGTAGATGTCCTATAGGGAGACGGAGACTGTCAGTTCCTGACTAACGTTCCAACCTGATTCGGAAGCAGCCCGGAACTGAGAGCGAAGGAGAGGGGCGGAGACGTAAAGCATCCCGCGGTGCGATCGCGGACTGGGGATGTCATACAGTCCGCGTGTATAACGGACAGACACCGAATGGGCAGCGCGACAGAGAGCCGGAAACGCGGCCCGAGGATCGTCAGGCACAGGAGGCGATGGAGAGCGCGCCGAGTTGGCCCAGCCATGCCACGCATTCAGCGGAGCATATGCGGCAGACGCGACGGGCCTGGACGCGGCGTCCGTGGCCGTTCACTGCCCAGTCATAGCTCCGATGTCGCGGGGAGTGGATGGCGGTGTGCGGGCTGCGCACGTCTGAGACTTGTGCGGACGCGGAAGGCGTGTGGGCCATCGCGGAGGGTGAACGAAACATGATGTGCAACAGTTGGATGAGCGCCGCCTCCGTGAATGATGCAGCCCGAGCGGAACCACAGGGCCGCGACATGGTGTGGAAGGCGAAGAGGAAGACGGCAGATGTGGGGACTCACTCGCTTGATAGATAGGGTGGTGTTACAGTCGCCACAGCGGCGGTGGTCGTCGCGCCGTTTGTGAGACTATGCGTCGCGTCAGAAGCGAAGGCGTCATTGAGAGGCAGAAACACGCACTTTCCGTCCGTAAATGTCAAGAAATCTACATCCAGCCAGTTCCCGCGATCCGTAAAGACGACCTTGAGAGAGACAAAGTGGGTGCCGGCAAGGTTGTCGGCCGAGAAGTCACGCTGAAAGAGGAGTTGCTGAAACTGGGTCGTGGCTGCGTAGGCGGACTGGTTGGGAAGGACGGTGTCATCAAACTGAATGGTATAGTCGGCCTGGAGTAGCGGCGTAAGCGACGGACAGGCTCGCAGTCGAAGGTGAACGTACGTGGCCAGGCCCAGTCGAGCCGTAGATGGCTACGGCAGACCCGCTGAAGGTGAGGTTGACGGTCGCGCCGTCCTGCTCGGCGACGTGATAGGTACGCTCAAAGTACTCATCGAGGTCGGCATTGTCGGAGGACTGGACGCCCCACCCGGAAGAATAGACAATCTGGCCGGCGTCGTCGTCGAGGGTAAAGTTCATGTGAGACGGGGGGAGAAGGAAGGCTAGCAGTTGGGAGAGTAGCGTCTGCGCCGGGCGCGCATGAGCTTGAAGACGAAGGAGAGGCTGCGAAAGGACGGTGGGCAGAAAGGAAGGACGAAGGGGGAGTGAACGCGAGAGACAAGGAGTGGGCCGCAGCGGAGGACAGCCTGCGACCCACTGATACGCGCGCCCTGATCGTGCCTCGTCCCGCCCAAGTCCGCCCGCTCACCCCTCGCCAGCCGCCGTCCAGGCAAGCCACGAGTGCACGCGCCAACCGCTGAGGGCGGCGAGGAGCAGCGTGGCCTGATGGGCGGCGGGCGGCAGGGGCTGATGGCCATAAGAGGCAGGTTTTGTGGGTCTCTCGCGGGAGGATCGCCTCGCAGAGGATAGCCTCGCGGGTGCATGTGTGCACGGGCGAAGGCGAGCGACGTCGCTATGGGCGTCGCTGGGCGCAGGTGGTCGCCCGTCCATGCGACGGCAAGCCATGCTGTGTGCCCCACTGCAGCGCGGAGAGTGTCCACCAGCCATCTTCGCACCCGGCTGTCGCGCCCCCGACGCTCACCTTCATCGCTGTCGAGAAAGCCGTGTAGCCCTGGCGACCTTCCCCCCTCGACGGCGATGCGGCCAGCGCAGTGATCCGACGTCCTCCTCGATTGCTGCTCGATCGGCATCCTGTACCTCGTCCTGCAATCGACGCAAAGTGAGTGCATTCTTCGATCAGCCCTGACCCAGTTGTTCACGACCAATTCGACCCCCCAGGCACCGTCGTAAAGTCGGTCCGGGTTTGTCAATGAGACCATGGCATTCCGCGAAGCCATTGTATCGCGGGACTGTGACGCTCCCGTACGATACCTTGGAGACTGAACATGCTATGTCTGCGCCGCGCAACAGATCACTGACCGCACCACACATGCATTGACAGCGCGAACGTCTCGAAGTTCAAACGACGATATGTGGCAAAGCGATTGGTATTGGTATACAGTATCTCCCTGCGCGGGAGCTTCTAGTAGCCACAGCAATGTACACTACTTCGTATTTAGAGCACAGACAGAGACACATAACTGGAACGTACACAGCAATCAGGGCAGCTAGGGATTTTGTGACGCTCGCCGAGGAGCGCCGCGCAACAACGTGCAAAGTACGAGGCAGAAGGGAGACGCTATAAACAAAGCAAGTGCGTGCGAGGTCCAATGCTTGTATGGTGCGACGAAAGGAGAAGGGGTCACCGCGCCCGACGACGATGATTAGAAGCTGACGCGGCGTGTAAAATATCGATGAGTCTGTCGAGGAACGTCACGGAGGGATACATACACTGTGATATAAACACCTGCAGTTCGTGGACATTGGGTAACATCGGCGTAGGCTGCCAAGAATCAGAAGAACAAGAGCAGGAAGCGGTAGCATGAAAAGAAACCAGATAACGGGGAAATTGCAGACGCACGATTAACCGTTGCCCTTACTATAGCCGAGACACGGCCGCTCTCCTCGCGAGCGACGGACAGGCCATGGTTGTTGGCGCACGAGACGTCGCGCGCCGTCTGGCCTCTCGCGCTACCCGCGTGCGACGTCTACGCCCTCATTCCAACGGTAGCGGGGATTCGTACTTGATCATTCCCTCGGGACTCTGCCCCGTCGCCCCCGCCGCTCCCGAAGCTCCGTGGACTTCCAGCGACAGATCCAGTTGATCCGGCCCGTCCACCAGGTGATAGGCCCCGTCCAACATCTGCTGGTGATGCTGGTACTCCTCCGCGTCCCCATCCGCCAGCGACAGGTGAGCCTGGTCCATTACCGGGTAGCCCTGCGTGTAGTACGGATGACCATCCTGACCCAGCTGCACCTGGTGCGTGTCCAGCGGGTGCGGACTCACGTTGGTGCCATACGTTTGCGCGATCCGCTGCATATACTCCTCCTCCTCCTCCGAAAAGCGCCGATTCGCGAGGACCTCCTCCCTCTCGCGCTCGCGCTCCTGGGCCGCCTCGTGCTGCTGCCAGCGCAAATGCTCCTGCTGCTTCCGGAGCTGCTCCTCCTGCTGCCGGCGGAGCTCGAGCGAATACCGCTGCGCCTGCGCCGCGGAGAGTCTCGGTCCCGTATTCATACCCGCCGCCAAATTCTGAGCCTGCTGCTGACTCTGGTGTGACATCGCGGTCGACAAGTGCGAGTTGTGATGCACTCGTGACGAGTCCGGAGGTGGTGGGCCGCGAGAAGGCTGATGGCGAGGTACGTTCGCGTGCTGCTGCTGAGCCCGGGCCTGATGCTGCTGATAGCGGTAGAATTGGTCGAGCTGATGCTGGTCCACCGGCATCCCCATCTGGCTCATTGCAGAGCTCCATGACGGAGAGCCGCCGAGACTGGGGGCGAGACTCGCTGCCGTACTCGTGTTCGACACCTGCGTAAAAAGCATCTGCTGGTCCTCCCCGGCTGCGTGAGCCTGGTGGAGCATCATCGTCGTCGGATCCCGAGAAAGGTCGTTTCCGAGGATTGCTGTACGGTGCGGATGGTAGTGCTGCTGCATAGTCTGGGGTGAGTGGCGCTGTGGCTGGAGCGTGGAATGAAAACGGAGAGTCGCTGTACCCTCCGACGGGAGACGTCGGCTCGCGTTCGTAGTAGCCATCGTCTCGTCCATCCCAGCCATATCCATCGCGAGCTCGTAGGCTCTGGACGCCCCCATGACGTCCAACTGCAGAGAGGCTGGGTAGGCCGACGGCTGGTGGAAGCTCTGCGCGAGCGCCCATCCGTTCAGCTCCGGGGACACCGTAAGCATTGGATGCGGAGTAGTAGTATGCGGCGGGAGCGGTCCCTGGGCGAGCTGCGGTGCTGGGCCGTCGCCCAAGCCCGACGCTGGGTGTGGGTAAGGGAAGTACATGTGACTCGGTGAGTGGCCCTGTGCTCCCGGAGACTGGCCCTGGGAGATAACCTGCGCCTGTGGGTGTTGGTGGGGGCGGGAGAGCGATGGAGGAAGGGAGGGCGGCGGAGACGACGGCTGCGAGGGGTGGGAGGACTGTGGCTGCTGATGCTGGGGCGGCGTCGTGCGGGGCGCGTGGCGGACCACCATGTCCTGCGGGAGACCCGCTGACGAACTCGGAGACACCGAAGTTGAAGGCGGCGGCGGAGGGGACGAGAAAGGACTGGCCCGGGTGCGCGGGGTGGGCAGATGGGTTTGACGAAGCGGCAGGCATGGCTGCAGGGTTACGAAAGGACTGGCCGGGGTCACGAAAGGAATGGCTGGTCGTCTGGCGCATGCTGGGCCGGTCGACGTCGGACGTCTGGACGTGCCAGGGGGTGCCCGCGGCGGAGTAGAGCGCGCCGGCGCCCTCGTAGCCCGTGCTGGTGCCCGGACGCTGGTGAAAGGCCGGGAGGACGTGGATGCCGTCCTCGCGCTTGATGTCCATGGTGGGGACGGTGCTCGAGGCGGCGGCGGCGGCGGAGGCAGCGGCGGACGTGGCATGGTTGCGCTTGCGGGCCCCGCCCTTGGTGGCGGCGGTCATGCTGGCGTGGAGGGAGGTGAGGTCGTGCATCATGCGCTCGTTCTGGTCCTGCTTGTCGGCGTGGACGGTCTGGGCGTGCTGGCGGAGGTTGTCGAGGCGCGAGAACTGCTTGCCGCAATGGCACGTGAAGGGCCGCTCGCCGGTGTGCTTTCTGGCGGGGCGCGGCGGCGGTGAGGGCGTGCGGGGGCGGGGTGTGCGGGGGACGTACCTGATGTGCCTGGCGAGGTGCTCGCTCCTGCTGAACACCATCCTGCAGTCGCCGTAGCCGCGGCACTGGAACGTCTTCGCGGGCGCGGGGCGGTAGCGCTTGTTGACGCCGGCGGCGGGGGCAGCGGTCGGCGAGGCGGGGGCGGCGGCGGGGCTGGCGCGGTCGGCGGCGACGGGCTGGGCGACGGCGGCGGCGGCCATGTTTGGATCGTCGGCGGGAGGGACGTGCGGGGATGGTTGGCTGTCCATTGGCCCCGTCGAGGGCGGGTCGTTCAACCTAAAAGGTGCCTGAGCCTCTCAATTAAGGCACGTCGGAGTTCCAATTGCTACCGCCCCCTCGGCTCAGGCACGCCGCGACCCCGGCACCGATTCCACTCTTTTCCTCTTGTCGATCCCACCGCCCGGCCTCATTCCATATGCGGCGCCGCGCCGGCCGCCCGATATGGACAGCAGCATTCGCCCGCCCCGCACGCACCGCCCGCTGCCACCATCGCGCGTGGCCGATGACAGCGTCCCCGCACCCGGACACCGCCGCCTCCTCCGTGGCCCCCTGCTGCCAGTGCCCAGTGTGCTGCAGTCGAGGCCGACGTGCCCGCAGGCCAGGCCAGTCCCTGCCTGATCTGATCCGGCTCAGCTACTGCTCCCATCGTCCGCCTCGACTTTGACCCACTTTCATCTATCACCCGCAGCCACCGCGCCACAACGCCTGCACTCGTTGTTTCACGTCCACCCCGGGGCGGGCGCGCGGTCCGCTTCCCCGCCGTCGTCGGTCGTGCGCCCCACGTTCGATGCATGTGCGCACACACACGTCCCAATTGCATCCTGCATCTTGTGTACGACATCTCTCCCCGTCTTCTGATCTCAGTGGTGCGTCGACTATTGACCCCGATGTGTTTGTCCCAACCCCTGAATACTCGCAAAACAGGCAGCTATGCTGTCATGCGCCCCGCGCAACCACCTCCCGGACATTTCACGCGCAATGTGCGCTCAGATACGACAGACGCGGCTGGGTGTATCTGCAGCCTGTCATGGCAGACTGCAGCCACCCCCTGTAAATCACCCGTCCATCCTATACCGTGCACTAGCGCTGCATCGCAGCGACGGGCGTCGGGCGATACGCTGCCCCTGATCGGTGCGGGCAATCCCAATCGCTCGTTCCTCTCGCGGAACACCTTCGCGCTGAATCGCCGACGCCGTACACACACATGCACGGGCGCTGTTTTACGCCCAGCATCCGTGTCCGCCCCTCTCTTTTGCTCTTGCGTGCTCTCACCGCCACACCTATCGCGCACCGGCACACGGTTCTGCCCTGCAGACGAGCCACGATTTCTCCGCACAAGCAGCGTGCAGTGAGTGTACAGATCTGCGAACAATCACCGACTGGCGCGGACCGTTACACACCTGCGTCGCGCGCGTCTGCTTACGCTCCCGGCGCGATCACGCGCGCGGTATGTGTCACTGGCTCGCCCGGTTCTCACTCTCTTCGCTGCCCGAAGCAGCGGCGGAGAGGCACCGAGAGTTGGTCCAGACAGCCCGGACGACGCCCGAGAACCGCAATGAATGAAAGGCATTGGGATTGGGACATGCCCCGGGAGACTCGTCCAGACCGTGGCGACGCTCTCGGGCGTATTGCCTGAGACGCGGTCTGTTTACGGAACTTGGACATGCGTGGCGTTGGGCGTGTGCGTGCGTCGTCCGCGTCGGATAGAGCCCCGTGAGCCGGAGCCTGCAGCGAACAAAGCAGAGGCTGGAAACGGATAGATAACGGAGGTGGCTCGTCCGGGACGAGTGAGCAGGCTGACGAGGCGCCGGAAGATTGAGATTGACAGCGTTCATGAGACGTGTGCATTGCATCCGTGCAGCTGGCTAGTAGATGGGTGGCTCTCGTTAAGCGTGCAGACGCGATGGAGCAGCTGTCAACTAGGGGCGGGAGGGTTGTACTCGCGGGCCAGCGAGCGGTCGCCCGTAGCGCGCGGATTACCGCGACAGTACTGAGTGGCATCTGCGCCCTGTCGCGGATCTGGAGGGAGATGCGGTCAGGAAGGATGGGCCGTCGCAGTGCCTGTGCGTTCATACACGCGCGTTTGCGCCCGCCGTGCCTCGACTAACAACCACCCCCACGGACGTGAATCTCAGCCACCTCCGCACGCGCGGTCACGGTACGACGACGCGTCGCGAAGCGTGGTGGCTGCCAGGTGGCTGCGGCGGACATGTCCTTCTCCCACCGCTCGCGCGTCTGTGGCTGCTCGCCTGGGCTCAATGTCGCGTCAGCTGGCTGGCCAAGAGGGCTCGACGCGAACGTGAAACGCAATATGGACGGCCAATGGAGGACGTACAGCGGAGGTCGGCAGTGGGAGGACGCGTCCAGCGGGCGTCTGAGGTGTGAACGCCCGGGTCGTCGTGGTCCCGGATAAGCTGCCCAGATCCCCAGATAGCCGCCCGAGCACGCCAGATCACATCGCCACGCGACTGGCCTTTCCGGGCCAGGCCCTCCCGGACCCTGCCCCGGACGCACACGAGAGATTAGATGCCGGCGGTTGCGTATTAGGTAAGCCGAGCCCGGAGAACCACGCCGGGCGGTCGACGGTGATTACGCCCAAGATGGCAAGAGGAGCGGGCGCAGTGGCCAATGGGAGGCCACGATTCTGGGCAGCGAGCGATCCTCCACAGCCGCCGCCGGGAGTGAGTGCGAGCAGGGTGTGCTGTGCGTGGGCCTCGGTCGCTCATGGCTGCGAGGATGAGAAAGCCGAGGGCGACGTCGCCCGGATAGGCCACGCTTCGTGCATGCACTGACCCACTGTGTGTGTAGTGGCGCGCTCCACCGTCGGCCTCCTTCCCCTATTGGATACTGTAGTAGTTCGTGAGTACACAGCCGCAACGGGCTGTGCTCCGTCCCGCCTCCCGTCCCGTTCTAGCCTCCTCGAAGCACCGAACAACGCTGCATTCTCCGCCAGATTACTTCATGCTGATCAAACACTCCTCTCTCTGCCACTCAGCGTACAAGGAGAATGAATTGCTTGGAGCCGGCCTGAGGCGCGAGCGAACCTCCGAGGACGTCCACACCCAGACCGTCGTACTGTAACCTATCACTCCACCATCTACAGCCAATCCTAACTGGCAGCTAGGGAGCATCCTGTCCTGTCTCTCCATCCGCTCCCGTCGTGATCGGCCCCGTAGACAAGCCGTGCCAATCCTGAATGCCTTCATCGCGGCCGATACCTCCCTGACCATTTCAAAGTCCAGCCTAGCCTTAAGGCGGTGTACTGTCCACACGAAACTGAAGTCGAACGTGTGCTCAGCTGTCTCCCATAGGCTGAACACTCACCATAGACATGCAGCCGCCATGATCGGCCGTGAAAAAAAATTGCGCGAACGGGACGTGAACGATCAGTATCGCCGTTGAACCTACTGTCTTCCCCACAAACATGCGGGCTTCTTGAGTCCAGACAGAGTGCCTGAACGAGCCGATTGGCAGGGAGTGTGCCGGAAGGAGCAGTCTGCTGGACGTCCTGACCTGCGCGCAGCCACTATTCCTTGGTCGGCCGTCCAGTCGATGCTGATAATCGCGTTGGATTGTGGGGCCTGGCTCCTCCTGCTCTGCCTTCCCGTGCAATTCTCGGAGCCCAAAGCTGCTTCTGGCTAGATTGCCATGGCGAGGAGGACGGCGGACTGTGATCGTGTATCCAGTGAGGCGGCAGGAAGGTAGAGCGGGGCCGTGCGGCGTATTCTGGGCGCGCACAAGTCGGGAACTTGCCGTCCTGTCTGTGCGACTGCCGGCGGGCGGGCGTTGGGTATAAAGTCTTGGGGCCCGCGGTAGGAACGAGTAAGGGGTCGGAGAGCACCCACTGCCAGTAGGTCCCTCAGGAACGCAGGGACGGACTGGTAGGCACGTAGGTAGGTCCGCAGGTAGGTAAAATTCGCGATAATGAGCTGAGTGAAGTGCTGGCTAGCGACCGGCGGCCTGGCGCAGGCGGGCGGCCTGTTGGGAGGCGGGAAGCGCTCCGCTGGTGACTGGGTGGCGATGGTGGTCGACCGTGCCGTGAATGAGCCAGTTGAGCTCATGGAAAATTAAGCATGCAGGGGATGACTCACTGGCTGCTGCGCTAAGCGCATGGCATCGATGGGCGGCCTGTGACGCTCGTCGATGGTGGGGGATCGAAGGCGATGATGCGCACAGAAAATATGCAGACGCGGTGCTCTTGAGGGTTGTTACACTCCTCGACCTGTATGGACGTCACTGACCTAGGCTACAGACTGCAACGCACCGTCTGACTCCTCGGGCTGCCTCTCAGTCGGCACCATCGGTGCGTGGGTCTTGGTCGTGTAGTACAAGGTTGTCTAGGGGTCATTGACTATTGTCGCTATTGCGACGCTAACAAGGCCAGTAAGCTCAGAGACCTCCAAGGTTCGCGATATCCTGCTCGTTGGTGGGCGAACGATCTGGTTGCATTTGTCCTCGATGCCCCGCCTGTCCCGGAGGCAGGGTTTCCGATCGCGCCGCTTCATTACCGTCCGCCCGTCCGCCCGTCCGGTCGGTCGGTTGGCCGGTCGGTTGGCCGCTTCACGGCCGAGGAGGCAGCTCCGCGTTAGAAAAATAATAAAATAGGGGGCGGCTTGCGCAGAGAAAGTTCGGGGGTGCGGATTCACTCGGTAGTCTGGTGACGGCGATGGCTACCGATACTGACACAGTGCAGGGAAAGGATCCGGTACCCGTGTACGGGTCTTTCCGAGGGTGGACTGGGGTCCGTGCTTCCGGATAGGATTGCGGCGCGCGTGCTTGTCGCCCGATCAAACGACAAAGGGAGGGATGAGCCAATGATTCTGGTCGCCGTTGTACTAGGCTGCCCTGAATTAAGAAACAGGTGAGACACTCGACCGACCAGTGGCCGCCGCTGCACCTTTGGACGGTTTAATGGCGTGCACGGCCATTGCATGCGCTCACCCCTTTGCGGGGAATGTGCTCTCTAAGCAATCTCCCCCGCGCCTGACCCAGGTGTTTCATTTGATTTGATGAGGGCGCTGCAGCGGACGATGTTGCAGCGTTGTTCTTGCCATTACCTCCCGTCCTCCTTGTTCTCTCCTTCGCTGCGGGCCTCCCCGGGCTTCCAGTTCGTCTAGAGCCCGACCATAAGCTCCACGGCACGCGATCTGACGGGGAGACTACGGATGGGTGTCAGGAACTAGGCAGGTCGCCTCCATGATGCCGGAAGAATACGCCCTCTTGACAGATCGCTACTACAGACCGGGCTATGGTCAGCGCTGTATGTTGTGATTGAACTACAAGCCACGGGACACGGGACAAACAGACAGATAGAACGACTTCGCTATCCGTCTGAGGGCGCCGTTGAGGCTTCGTATCGCCTGGCGAGCAGCGGCCTTCCGCGAATGGGTAGATTACCATCCGATGCCAGCGTGTCAAATGGGCCATGGGAGATGCGAGCGATGCGAGATGCGGGTTGCAGACGGGAGATGGGAGGCCACTGACGCGAGGTGAGGTGATGACGTCGACTCGCACTAGCTCCCACTCGTGCTCGTTGCTACTGATTCTGGGGTCGTCCTCGCCATTGAGCGGATCCCTGGGGCCCAGCGATGCGCCCGGTTCTCGGTGCCTTCTCCGGATACCTCGCGAAGCCCGCTGCCTCAAGATTCAGGAAGACGGCGCTCCGGTGGGACATGCGAAGGTGGGACGGGTGACGCAAGAACGCACGATCTGCGCGCTGGGGAGTACGCCTGACGTTCGGGGAGGCATGCAGCCCACAGACCCGTCCGTTAAGCTCATCGCGCACGATACTTTCCGCGCCGCGTGGTATTTCACGAACCTCGACCAGGCTCGGTCGCCTCCAAATGTGTCTGTCTTCTCGTGGTCTTTTCGTGGTACATCCGGTATCCCGCCTACTCGGCGTCGCGCGACCCTGCATTGCGGTAGAACCTCAGACGCGGTTCTATTTTCTCTCCTGAGTGTATTTATGATCAGTTCTAGCATTTGGTGTCGTGAAATGGGTCCCACGAACAGAAACGACTGCATGAAACACATGCTGGATCGGACTCGGCCGCCAAATTCTTCATTCCGCTATTCCTTCTTTACGCGTGTTCCGCTCCCTGATCTATAATTGCTTCCGCACTGAAGGTCTTTATCATGTACTAGCACGTCACCGTATGTTCTGGCACCAACTCCGCGAGCCGCTGTTTAATTTCACCTGATTAGCACTTTGCTTGACGGCACGACAAATAATGAGATCACTTCCTCAATGACATGCCAGTGGCAGCCAGAAGCAATTGTCAAAATCATGGCATCGCACGTCCGTGTACGTGTACGCGCCCTGATAAGCGGTTTAATATGACAGTAGATGCCTGATGGAAAACGAAGCGGTAGCGCGATTTCACGGACGACGACAGCTGAGGGAATGAATGAATGGGCATGATGGCGAAGGCACGGACGGTAGCGCGACAAACAAAATCAATACAGGGAGGACTGTCGGAGCTCGGAGAAATTGCCGATAATTACAAGCACACTGGACATGGAGCATCACCGGAGGCGAACTCTGTATGGCGCAGACCATGCATGCATCCTACGAATCCACCTGATTGTTGGCGTGTGCGGCTCGTCCGTAGCATAGCGAGATTGGTTTGTGCGTGTCATGCTAAGTGAGTCAGCGCCACCCGGTGAACTGGTCAACAAAAAGCTGCAGACGTCATAGGAGCATGTAAATTTGTATAAGGCAGCCAAGGTTATGGGGCCTCCACGCTATCGTGGGTCGATCTTGTTTTCAATCTCGAGCATCGAGCAAAATGCTTGCGTTTGAGGATTCGGATGATGTGGAGCTACGAAACCGTATCGATCAGCATGGTCCGTAGTCGTAGCCCAAACGGTGCGACTGTATATGACATACGTTGCTGTCCTTGTTCGGGATTGCCAGAGTCGGTCGCCGGGTTTGGCGGCGGCGCCGTTACCACGAAGGCCTGGCACTCCTCCACCTTCGTCGTCTTGACGTGCTCCTTCACCCATGCAAGCTCTTTCTCAACAGCCTCCCGCGCGGCACTCTCTTCAGGATACATCATTTGGCTCGGGCCTGTGGGCATGTACGAATGGAAGGCGCGCGTGACGGCAAGCCACTCTGGATCAAACGACAGTACTGGTGCAGTCTGCTCGCCTGCAACGCTACTTTGGTGTTCTGCTGGCTCTGGGATGTCGACGATCTACGTTGGCAAGCACAGAGCAGAAATGCAATGAACAGTGATATTTTGTATGAACACACGCGATTCCTTAATGCGAGGACCGAACGCACCTCCAAAAATTGTCGTCTCGGCAGACATTTGTCGAGCGCAACGAAGCGCGTCGCTCGCTGCGGAGGTGGAGGTGGTGGAGGGCTCGCGACCTGCTCGACCTCGTCATCTAGCATGATCTCGTCCGGATTCACGGGGGCGGCTGGCTGCGTCTGGTCGGCCGCGTTCGCAACCTCCGGCGCGGGGGTTGACCTGGGCCGCTCAGATCCTGCTGCTTCTCCTGCACCCTCGCCACCACCGTCCTCGATCGCGATTTCGTCAGGATTCTCCCCAGCTGCGGTAACACTACTCCCGCTCTGCCCGATACTCTCCGCCTGTGCCGGTGGACCGTGCATGACGCGCGCCTCGAAGCGACAGTGCAGGTGTGCGGCGAACCACCAGTCTGGCTTGAGGGTGTGGAGGAGGTCCATGAGCGGCGGCGAGCCGAGGATGCCTTTCTTCACGTCGTCGCGGAAGTGGGGCTTACGCCGGAGGAGGTAGCGCAGATCGCCATGGTGCTCGATGCCTTGGGGCCAGTCGTGGGACAGGAAGACTGTCGGTGATGAGAGCTGCAAGGAAAGTCAGAGTTCGATGGTGCGAGATAAACACTGGATATTCAGTCGCATATACGAAACGCTTATTTTAAACATCCGGAAGCGACAACGCGCGAAGGGATGTGAGGGCACAAGAATTGTAAAGCCTGAGCCGATGAGAGCGAAGCACACTCACTAATGATAGCCTTCGGACGTTATATTCGCGTATGTGGTAGATGCTACGCATAGTACCATGGTTGTATGGTACCCTCTCGTAATGGCCTGCCGAACCACTTTAGCTCCGCAACTGGACTTGGACTGTTCTATGCGCACCACGTCGGAAGTCTTGCGGCTTGAAGATACCTGAAGCGCCTGCTATGCGAATGCCGTTCACCTGAACACATCCTGCATGGCCGAGGAAGTAGATCTTGGGTGCAATCCAGCCACCATGGTATCTGAGTAGTTTCGGGTCAATTGATACATTTGGTTTACGATGTGCGTGTGTGACATACAGCTCCCAGAAATAACTGGACGCCTCATGATTTCCGCCGATGACGAGCGTCAGCACGGGAGCCACCTTCTCTCCCGTATAGTACCTTGTAGGCAACGTCAGTATTCGCCTCGCAGAAGTAGCGGATGACATCAGAATTCTGGGAGCTGACCTACTTCCAGAACTCGCCTAGCTGGCGGTACTTGTCCGGGACGGCCATGCATTGGAGATCACGGTAGTTGCGGATAGCCTGGAAATCGCCACAGATGAGAAGCACGTCTACTTTGTATCCATTGCGTTGTTCGAGGCTTTGTATCTCAGAGTATATGGCGTCAAGCTCGCCATGGCAGCAACCTTCGATGGCGACCTGACATCCAGTGTAAGTTTCGCGGCAGCCACACGGTGTTCGACACCGGCTCATACCTTCATGACCAGCGATTTGACTTGGGCTTACTGTCTCGTTTGCCTGGCTTCGCACCTGCGTAGGAGAAGTTAGTGTCGGTGTAAGTGGCTGAGTGCTCCGAGCCGAGTGGGCATCCGCTCGTCCCACGTGATCGCCTCCCTGGGATAGATCTGAGATGGAGATCGACCTCTGCGACTTTTCCTCAGCCACACCGCCCGTACACCCATCCCCGCCTCGCCATGTTGCGCACAATGTACGTTTCCGGCTGCACAGTCACAGTTAATATCTGATATATGAGAACACAGAAAACCAAAGAATGCCCGCTCCAAGCGGGCCCTCCAAGCACGCGAATCCAAGGAGGTCGAGGACCCGCGCACAGCGATCTTCGTGAAAGGCACCCACACAGGCGAGAAGGTGAACGCTGCAATGAAGGAGATGGTGCGTCTTCACTTCTTTGCACATACTTAATTCCTGTTGTTCACTTACACTTATTCTCCCCCAGATGGCCCTGAAGCGACCAAACGCCATCTCCTTCTCAAAAAAGAACACCGTCAGGCCATTCGAAGACGCCTCATCATTAGAGTTTTGGGCCCAGAAGAACGATGCAAGTTTGTTCGTTGTGGGTCAGAGCACGAAGAAGCGGCCGGACGGGCTTGTGTTTGTCCGTATGTACGACAACCGGGTTCTGGACATGTGCGAAGTTGGCGTCGAGAAGTGGGTCAGTATGAATGGGTTCAAGGTGCGTCTTCCTTGATATTTCGTGTTGTGCTAGACTGACTGACAGCTGTGTCTCAGACTCCGAAAGCGACACCAGGACACAAGTCATTAATGCATTTCGCCTCTGAGCTGTTCGACACCCATCCCCGGTTTGTTCAGCTGAAGTCTTTGTTGATGGACTTCTTCAACGGAGAGGTCATCGACTCCATCTGCCTCGCTGGTCTCGAACACGTTATCAGCGTCTCCCTCGGCCCTACCCCAACATCCCTCAATACAGCTACCACCTCCAACCCGCTCCAACCGTCCACTTCTACCGACACCTCAGACTCTGCGAACCTGCCGACCGTGCACGTCCGAGTATACGGTGTGAAGCTCCTCGCTTCCGGAACGCGCATCCCGCGGGTCGAGCTCAACGACATGGGCCCGTCGATGGACCTCGTCCTGCGGCGGCACACGGAACCCGACCAGGAGCAGCTCAAACAGGCGCTTAGGCGGCCGAAGGTGCGGAAGCAGGACGTGGAGAGCGGGCTCGGCAAGAAGCGGAAGAACATGGAGGTCGACGAGATGGGCGACCTCCGCGGCAGGATACACGTCGCGAAACAGGATTTGAACAAGCTGCAGACGCGCAAGATGAAGGGATTGAAGAAGGGGCGGGGGGATGCGTTCGACGAGAGTGGGGAGAGCGAGCACGAAGCGGACGAGGATGCACAGCCCAGGAAACGGAGAAAGGATTCGTAGATAGGACGGTATCCGTCCTGGCGGCCTTTTCTTGGCCTTACATGCGATCACGGTGGTTCTGTTCTCGTCGGATCTCACTCAATGCTATGGCATCGCATGCATCTGTGCGATTCGCACCTTGCTAATTCTTGTGACCTACTGAGCGCGTCATCCGAACGTAGGTCCCATCAGCGAGTATTTGTTGATGTCTCAAGACTGCAAAGTGGAGGGTAGTTCAGAGCTTCCAGTGGACGCCGACAGCGCAGTAGAGTCTACGTTACATTTGAGACGGAGAAGGGACTCCTCCCTGCACAAGTTGCGCGTTGCGGTGCACGCATCTCTGTCCAGACTCGAGACCCAAATTCTTCCCCTGTTCCGTACAGTGCCGTGCAGCAGTAAGAATAGGAACAGTGGCTGAAATGCGCCCCATGCGGGTGTTGAATGCAGCGATACCTCGAGGAGCTGATCGTCGGACCGATTGACAACTATGAAGTCCGATGAACTGCCTCCCTGCCGCGTGCATTCAGAACTATGTCCTCTGCACTCGAACTGGGGGCGGGGAGGCCGACGGGGGCTGTGGGTGAGAGCTGCTTAGGTAAGCGCGGGGGGTGGCGGGACGGGAGAGTCGGTTGTTTGTCGCCGCCGTCGACATTCTCGCCGAGGCCGCTGTCCCGCCCCTGTCCCCGACACAGCTCTCTGTTCAGACCCGCCCAGCGTCGCGCGATCAGCAACGTGCTCCCCCACGGGACGCCGCCCACGCTCATTTCTGCCTATCGTCTCGCTCATCTAATCTGCTTTCCCCGCCATGTCTGGTACGTCCCCATCACCCAACGTGTAGCTCTTCTCTCACCTCTCCTGCTCCAGACCCCTTTTCAGGACTCTTGTACGTATCCTTCACATCCTGTCCAAGTCACCGCGTATTCATACGTTCCCAGCCCCACAGCACCGTCGACATCATCCTCGACCGCCTCTGACACAAGCACGAGCACGAGCACGTCTTCCTCTGCGTCCTCGTCCTCGTCGACTACCTCCTCTTCTTCGAGCACCACCTCCAGCTCCAGCTCCTCGTCCAGCTCCTCGTCTAGTTCCTCTTCGTCCAGTTCCAGCTCTTCATCGAGCTCCTCCTCTTCCTCGCAGTCTTCCTCAAGCTCGACTGCGTCGGCAACGTCCAGTAATGGCTCCTCTACCAGCGCTTCCACTAGCACCCCGACGAGCACTGGTAGCGGGTTCTCCACCAGCTTGGCCACCATGACCAGCAACGGCGAAACCGTGGTTGTCACCAGCTTCCTCCCCCCGGCCTCCCAGACTGCCAACAACGACACTGCCAGTGGTGGCTCGACTTCGTGAGTCCATCGTTCTCTGTTGTCCGCCGACATCAACTGCATTGCCCCACCACTATTCAATCCGTCTGTCCTTGCATCGGAGAGCGCCAGTATGCTGTGAGGCACCTGCGTCTCTCGCAGGACGCTCCGTCTCTGCAACCTGATGCACACGATTACCAAATGATACCCCTTCGTCACTCTCCTCAGCCACCCATGCCTCCATATGACTGCCCTCCTCGATTCGCTGCCCCGCGCTTTCCGGGTTACTGATTGGCTTTCACAGGTTCTTTCAAAACAAAGGCGAAGTCGCTGGTGTCTTCGCCGCTGTTGGTATTGTGGCTGCGATCATCATCATCGCCCTCATCACCCAGGCCATCCGCAGGCGGCGCGCTAAGGCATTCGACGACGAAGTCGCTGATGCTGCCGCCGAGGCCGCCGCACAGGCCCACGCGCCCAACTTCACCGATGATGACTACGGCTACCCCGAGGATCGTGCGAAGGAATTCGGCCCCTATTCTGACACTGCCAGTCATGGCACGTACACCCAGCCTCCTATGCAGCCTGGTGAGAGCTATAACATGGCCGAGCTCCCGCACTTCGACCCGTACGCCGTGGCCGCGGGTGCCCCCGGCGAGCCTTACGCCGCTGCTGGCGCGGCGGGCGATCCCTACTCGGTTGCGGGTGCTGCGGGCGCTGCGGGTATTGGTGCTGCAGGGCTAAATAGGGCTCGGAGCATGGGTCAGAACAACCAATTGTCCCCGTACAACGCTTTCGCGCAGCCTCAGGCGCCGATGCCCCAGACGCAGGCCTACCTCGACAACCCGTACGGTGCCGCCGCAGCTGCGCAAGGCCAGCAGAACGCTCCCCAACGGCACGTTTCGCACAAGTCAAACACTGGTACGGAAGCCAGCTTTGACCTCCTCGAGGCTGCCGGACTCGGTGGTGCCGCGGGCGTGGGTGCAGCAGCAGCAGGTGCGAACGTCAGCCGTAACAAGAGTTTCGGCAGCACCACATTGGCTATGTCTGGTTCCGAACATAGCTCGTCACACGGTGGTCATAATGCGGCTTACGGCGGTTACTTCGGCTCGCAGCTTCCACCAGGTGCACGCCCGCCATCGATGGGTGACCCGTTCGCAGCGTATAACAAGCCGTCGCAGCAGGCAAACCCGCCACAGCCATCACCAAACGAGAGCGACCGCGCGTCGGCAGAGCTGCCTAACCCGTTCGCGCAGGGAAGCTCCGGCTCGGGCACGAGCCCTGAGCCGCCATTGCTCGGCACGAAGTTCAACTCGCCGGAGAGCACTGCTGAGAACGGTGATGATGACGACGAGCCGGGCCCTGCGGGTGGGTGGCTTCCCCAGGACAGCAGGAATAGCTTGCGAGATGAGGAGGATTATGGTTACGGAGGCGGACGCCGCGTCCTGAAGGTCAGTCTAGCTAGCGTGTCCTCTGCTGACCAGTGCTGATTGTGTTTGACCAACAGGTGGCGAACGAATGATCTGCCTGATGTAAATTCCCATATGCGCTGTAAGCTTTTAGGTGAGGTCGGGCGACTCGTAGGAGTGCAGGATGGAGTCTAGGTACCGTCCTCGTGCGCCTCACCTTCGCCCGTGCGTGCGTTTACTTATTTATGTTCTCCTACCCACCCATTGCATCTTACATCCCGCGCACCGCTCGGTGAGCCGTCTGTCGCACACTCCGCTGCTTGTCCTCGTCGATTTCCCGCGCTTTGTTCGATCCGTGCTTTCGTCGCGCGTGTGTGTTACTTACTTTATGTCTTCGTGTTATTGAGCCTTCATTATCGAACCCTTCATATGACTTTTTGCGTCTGTTGACCTGGCATCGTTGGCGGTGTGGACGCTCGACCGGGCTTGTTCAATACTTGTGTCCCATCTTCATGTCGTTTTCGGGTGAAAAGTGTACGGTACATACCTGCTCGTGGGCTACGAGATGTCCTTCGTGCGACTGCGGGTGCCGGCTCTGCCAAGGTAGGCCGTGCGGATGCTCATCTCACATAAGTAGTTGAGACAGATGGACATGATGTTCTGATCATTGCAGGTAAGTCGCTCTTTCATGTTCTGCTGCGCCTTACCTTGATTTTTATGGACTGTAGCTATCCACCACCTCGGTGTGTGCGGATGCGTCACTGGGGGCCTGCGGTAGTTTGCTTCAGCTAGGTTCAGGGATACGATAACAGCATAGCTCGATACCATCGCGTCCTCGCTCCCAAGACCCGTAAGCGTCCCACCATATTCTGTAGGTTCGACACCCATATCCTGCACGGGCCTCAAGCTGTCTCAAGGCCTGGCAATGAAAACTTCGACCTGCTGACGGTCTTTGACGAATTATTTTTGATAGTACGGGCAGTACTGACTGATCATCGGATATTGCAAGTACAGCCTGCGCGTTATGTAAAGGAGAAATGCCGTTTCACTCATCGCATTGCGTAGGGAACGACTGGCTGTGAGGTATTCTTGCCATCGCCCGAAGTTGTCGTCAAGCTGGCGTTTTCAAGGGCATATTCACCCTCTTTGTCTCGCCGTCACCCAATCATTCGTCAGCACGCCGGAGGGCTCCAGCTCATCTCGAGGATAGTTGGAGTAGCACCTTGTACATACGAGGACCATAGGTCAGACGTGGTATTGTATGTAGCGGTCTAGTCATATAATTCCGCTTCCAAGCACACTTCCGAGCCATCGTATGCGACCACGGATTGCCAGAAGGTAGAACCTGAAGCGTATGGTGCCACAGGCTCGTTCGATTGAGAACGTGCCTTGAGGACAATATCAAACACCTCTGCTGCTCCACTCATGCGGAGGACGCTTGTCAATGCGGCATGCAGTCGCAACAAAGGGGTGTTTGGCAAGTCTACTCTCGTGTCCGACCGGCCTGAGTGTCCGGGTAACGACGGTCGCGTCCCTGGGGTATCGACGGCGATTGGACGGGGAAAGTCGCCGCTGTGATCGTGAAAGGTGACGTGTTTGGAGATGTGCCGTGCGCCGGCCTGCTTAAGCACGGTATGGTATGTCTTGATTACGTAGCAAATCAGAGTCTACGCATGAGTCAGTTGATAGTCCTAGTATCTGATACGAGTCAACACACACTGACCTCGGTAGGCTGCAGGCACCACGTAAAGCTATCGAACGCATAGTGTGCTAATGTATTCATGACCAGAGTATTTGCGGGACCATCCAAAATTTCATTGTCTTTGATAGATGCCTGATCGACCTCGCAATAGTGTTGAGCATGTCTATAGTGGCAGTATGGACCTACGCTGATGCTGTCTGTGAAAGTGACGCGTCCGGGGCATCTAGGACGTACCTCATCTGGCGCATCTGCGCCGACTGGTGTGGCGATACGGACACATTGCGGGGTGGTGCCCGTAGGCATGCCTCGAGGTTGCCATATATCTCGAGGAGCGCTATGATCTACCCACTCGGTCATGAAGCAAGTATAATTATCGCGCCTCAAGAGCTGCGAATCGCCGTGTGTGAGCTACCAGCAACGTTATTCATATGGGTACATACCATTTCTCTCATATATTTGACGGGTCCATAACCGGGCTTGTATCTGTCCATACAGAGCTCTCGTATGGTGGATCAACTCGGAGTTGGATGGCCTTCATTCTAGAGGTGTAGGCTGCTCGACCGGCTGTTCATCAAGAGTATCAAGAGTAAGAGCTTCCCATATTAATTGCACTCGCCTGGCCATAGCATGAACGCAATCCAAGCGGAAGCGAGCCGAGATAGTCGTTGAGCTAGAGATTGAGCCTGAGGTTCGCCGACGCGTAGTCCGTGAGTGTCACTTGCACATGTGCAAATGGCAGCTGAGACATAGCGCTTTCCGGATGCTAGGCCGAGCTCGTCCGCCGTTTGGTACATCGTATTGAAAAGACGCGTCACGGTGAGTTGAGGAGTCCCCTGCGTTGCATACCGTCCTACGCGGTGTACCCATGCTGGCGTATCCAGGTGGCCGAGAGACGGATCGTCGAGGACTTCGAGATGTGCCTCCGCGTTAGAGTGCAGCGTGTCATCAGTGAGTGTGTCATCTTCCGACAGTCGTTCCACCGCTTGTCTGAACCTCTCAGAGAGAACTTGAGCGTGGCTGAGGCGCATGGAGGATCCGATGGGACAGCAACGCAGAAGGACTGAAGACCACTCGTATGAAAGTATATCTGCGGGCGGTACAACTTGAGCAAAGGCGAGATATGGGGCTGCGCTACTAGTACATAACTTGAACTTGAAGTATGCGGCATGCCGCACACGCGTGTTCAAGGTCGTGGTGTCACGCAGTCATGCAACTGTGACCACCGCGTCAGAGTGACAGCATCTTCGCGCCAACCCAATGATCCATTTGAGCTTGCTTTGTCTACGGTCTATGCGAAGATGTGGCCTCGCCCCGTCCGTGAACCCCTTCAACTCAGATCTGCTCCGTGTTTCCATCTCAGCCAGGCTAAGGGCGTCCTCGCCACAGTCGAGGTCCACAACGACGAGGGTTGGCAACTCGGAACGGCATATGCTTCGAACCGTCAAGATGTGCGATCATCTGTCTCCTAGTGAAACAACTTCGATAGACCGGAGAGGCCGTATATCTCCCTCTACCAGCAACCGTCAAGTGCTGTTCCGTATACGAAGACACACGAAGTACGTACTCCTCATGAAATCCATCCTATGCTGCAGTCAGTCGCGTAGCGGCATCCTGAGCCACACGATGTGTGGTGGTCCGCAACAGGCGGTTTGCGGTTGCGCAGTGCGCCCTACTGGCATTTCTTGACTGACGATGTTTGTTGTGATGAGGTAGCGGTGTCCTTTCCCTCTCGATGAGATGTACGACATCCGTGAGTTCTTCCACTTCCCAAGCCATCTTGCGTCTGTCTGATTGTCCACATTTGTTTGGCGCACTCCACATCGCTGCGCGTGGGAGGTAGTTACCAGATGTTTTGTTTTGAGTTCCACTTCGCTGATATGTGGTTGTGGTCGTTGGAGAGCTGTGCGAGCGATGAGATGACTCTGGGCTGCTTGCGCTTATTCGGGCACCTCAGCTTCAGATAATCGTCGATGAATCGTGCCATTGTCATTAAGACATGTTTCGCATGACATGTCTTCGCTGCAGTACGTCTCAATGTCCTGACATTGTAGACCGACTTGATCAGTGGCGTCTATCAGATGGCACCGGTGGCCAGCAGATCCCAAATGAGCTCGACGCTCAGCAGCTCACATCGTTTGACAAGCGTTCGTGCGCGCTGAATGAGGTAAGTACGTACGATGAGCGCTGCTAAATTGACGTGACCGTACCTGCCGCCCACTCTGCGGAAAATCATGTTGACACTAACGCCTTCGCGGCGCTATGTGATAGGATCGAAGAGTATTTGCCCTAGGTTTGGCCCAGACGACTTGAGAAAGGTGCAAAAGGCGTCTTACTCAGTACTGCGTCTCATAGGATCATGGGCTGAGAATGGCTGAGGCCGAGGTCTCGATGTGTGTGAGTACAAAACGAAACCTTCCACGAACAACGCTCATACCCCATTTGCAATGCCCGAAGTGGACTCCGTCAGGGCGGCCGCTAGTTCGAAGCGAGAACTTGAAAAGCTTCCGTCACTTCGATTCGGGACCCTTTGCTCGAACAAGCACTTCCACGATAATTGGCAGAGTCCTCTCACTTGGAGCCTGGCGACCATCACCCACAGCATCGAGACCTTGTTTCCTCCGTCCAGGGTTTTGTCATGCTTTTCGGTGTGGAGGTGTTCCCGCCAGCGCCTGTTCTTTGATGCGCGCAGCACCCACTGCCACTGGCCAACGATCCCGTCAACAGACAGGCTGACCATCCCAGCCCAGCGCGGATCTACTACTGACCTTGTCAGTTGGTAGCTCATGCGAGGCTAGTTCACGCGTGGCGACGTAAACTCGTCGGTGGCGCTCGACAGGAATACAGAACCACACGCCAAGGGCGCCTTAAGGCGGGATCCCGAAACATACAATGGCTCTTTGCCTGGCCCTGTTTCGGTTACTACACGATCCATCAATCGCCAGGAACTCCACGATCTCGACCCAAAGGCGATGTTTGTATATAAGCCTGCGCGCCCCGCTCCCCGCGAGAAGTGCCCGCTCCCCCTCCGCTTCAGCTCGCTCCTTCTAGATGTGTCTTTGACTGGCCTTGACACCTAATGTTTCGTTCCGCTGTGCGTACGGCTGGCGCGTTGGCCGTCCTTGCTTTCAACGTACTCGTAGTCGCCGGGGATAATACAACATGCCCAGGACCCCTCCTCGATTGGTATACGGATTATGTCGGCGAAACGCCATGTACGTCCGCATTACCCTCTTAATCCTGCTCGCTGTGCTGACTCGCTGGCTTGCAGGCACGACCTATCAACGCCTTCGTCAGCTCTGTGACCCCAGCTGTAAGTCTCAGATTCTCATTGGCTTCTTCGTGAACCTCATACGCATCGACCCCTTCAGACCAGGTCCCGCTATTCCGCCATACAGCTCCCGGGGATCAATGCGACAGCGAAGTTTGTATGTCACACCTCGCAGATGCTCCCCTCACAGTTCGCTGATCATCATCCCAGCGGCATGCTGCTGTAACTCGGTCGCATGGTCCCTAAGCATGCTCTGCATGAAGTGCGTCGTCGCCTTGTCTTCTGTGTCTTACCCTATGTCTCATGGCACACACAGCTGTCAAGAACATGCGGTATCAAATGGCTCAGGGTCCATAGAAGCTCGTACGCTGGGTTTCTCGGCGGAGGCTACACAGAAGCACTGACAGCGAGACCTCGGTGCAGCCGTGGGCGGCTACTACCAGTACAGGTTCGCAAACTCGACGTCTCACTCGGGCTACTGTGGAAATGGCAATAACGGAACGTACGTCGCACCGGGCGAGGTCTGCGCGCTTTGGGAGGCACCCGGCTAACGAATCCTTGGGATGGGATGTGCGATTGGAAACAGGCTGGCGGCGCAGGTCCAGAGTGCCGTGTGCAACAGCGGCATCAAGATCGCTGACTGGCTATACCCGCTCTACTGGTCGAATGGTGCATGGTCGGTCCGGTCGCTGCTCCCGTGCTTGCGTTCGTGCTGACTTGATCTGTTTGACGTCATAGGTTCTAGTACGTCCATCTTGTGTGTGCATCCCTGCAACAGCTTATGTGAGATTCAGTACGAATATGATGAACCAGGCGACGCTGAACCAGACGGCAACGAACAACAATACCTTCACACATTGCAATTCTACTAATCTCGCTAGCAACGCGACGTCCTCCTCGCTGATATCCACGTCGACGTCTCAAGGGACCGCGAGCTCCTCCTCGGCCTCTAGCTCTGTGACTGCAGGAGTTGTAGCGGGTGCGGCTAAAAGCAGCTCGAGCAATACTGGGGCGATTGCCGGCGGGACCGTTGGTGGCGTACTTGGTCTCTTGCTGATTTTTGTCGGCGCTGCTGTCTTTATGAGGAAAAGGAAAGCTGCGGCGGCCAATGCTGCTGGAGCGCCGGGTTCTGGGGACGTGCCTCCGATGACTGGTGTAGCAGCTCCCCTAGCACCGAGCGCGTATAGTGTAGTGCCCTACGATGTCCCACAATCATACGGTGAGTGGCCTTGTCCACGGCCAATCTGCAATATTCTGAATGACCTCCAGCAGCAATCATTGGCCAACCCATCTCGGGCAAGTACGGCGCGTTGCCGCCCTCGTCCACGACGGACTTCAGCTCAATGAGCGCGGGATCGGCGACGTACCATACACGCACGGACAGCACGAGCAACACGGCGAGCAGCGACATGCGGCAAACCGTAGTGACGAGCATGTTTGCGATGCCTGCGGTGCTCGAGCCGGAGGAGGACGCGGGGCGGGTGACGACTGCGCTGCGGCCGCCTCCCGCGTACCGGAGCTCGTGGGACGACCGGCAATGAGGTGTTGGATGGTGGAGGCGGATGCTAGTACATTGTTTACCATTGACCACGTAACTTATTCTGGAGCGGGTCTCGGACCAGAGGGGGTCGCCATCGCCTTCATTACCATTTGTATATTGTCGAAATGTAATGCCGTAGAAAGCTGTCGCTCATTCTGTGATGCCCGTTGGTCGCATTCCGATCAGGTGATCGATCGAGGAGGATCGACGGCCGGGCCACGCATTTGCCACGCATCATCTTGCAGCCCGTGCACGCCATCCCCTCGCCATGCAATCCCAGCCTCCTATTTCCGCAATCTATTCAGCATGTTCCTCGCCTCGACCGTGTCTCATTTCCCACCTCGCACCCGGAGCGGAGAGCCGTACCGTCCCACCTGCGAGAAGAGCACACCCACTGTGACGAGGATCTGCACTAGCTACTACGGACATGACGAACACACTGCTCGAGGAGAAAGAGAGTAGGTATGATGTGGCGATCGTCGGTGCAGGGTGAGCCATTTCTTCCCGCTGCAAGCAATCGCTCTAAACTACCCCGCAGGCCTGGAGGAGTGATGATGGGCATAGCGCTCAAGGAGCAATTGGGCGTTCACGATATCAGGGTACGCAGTCAACCTACCATTGGACATCGCATGCGGTCTCACAGCGTCGCTCTGCTAGATCTACGACAAGTCGTCCGACTTTGGCGGGACCTGGCTTGTGAGTACTTGAGCGCCCGTCACCTCTACTTCCACTAAAGCTCTCAACTCACTCCTCAGGACAACTCGTACCCCGGCAGCGCATCCGACACGCCCGCCCACTTCTACACCCCTACCACTCACATCAATCCTCACTGGTCCCGCACATTCCCTCCCCAGTCCGAGCTCCTCGCCTACTGGCGCGGCCTTGCGTCGCAATACTCCCTTCACACGAATGCCTCCTTTTTCACGCGCGTTGTCCATGCGTCCTGGAACGCGACTACGCAACACTACGACATTGAGATCGAGGACGTCCGGACTGGCGAGCGGAGACAGGAGCATGCAAAGTTCGTCGTGAGCGCGACGGGCTTGGTCAGTGAGCCGCGATACCCGGAGGGCATCCAAGGGCTGGGTCAAAAGGGAGAGTGTGCATTCGAGGGCGTGGGCGGGTTATGGCACTCTGCGCGGTGGAGGCATGATGTCGACTTCCACGGGCGCAAGGTTGCTGTCATTGGGAACAGCGCGTCGGCGTGAGCGGTTCGCCTTTGGTAGCGGTATCCCCTGATTCTCATGAGTCCTGCCTGCAGAGCACAATTCGTTCCATGTCTATCGGCTGACCCAGCCACCCACGTCGTGAACTTCTGCAGATCGCCGAATTGGTTTGTCTATGGTGTGCGTGCTACTCCGAACACACGCTCCCGTTTGCTGAACGATTTCGTCACTGTGTAGGCCCGCCACCGATACCCTCCCGCGCTCCGTTGGGTGCTAGCACACGTACCCCTCGCGTTACGTATCTTCCGGATGTCCGTCATCCTCGTGCGTTGCATTTCAGCTCTACTCTCCTATGCACGGACCGACCCGCTGCATAGATCAATTACGGTCGGCCGATATGGCATACCCTTCGCCAGAAGGTCAAAAGTGGAGGCAAAGAGGGCCGTGAAGCTGTAGGTATCTACACTCAGATGCCTCCCCGTCTCGCCTGATTATCGGCACTATAGGACCTCACAGCATACATGAAGCGCACCGCTCCGGCGAAGTATCACCAACAGCTCACACCCAACTACCGTACGTACCTGCTAATCCCTCCTGTTCCGGGCCTCGGCTGACCGGCTTTTGATAGCAATGACATGCCGTCGCCCGATCCTCGACGCGGGCTACTACGCCTGCCTTCACAGGCCCAACGTCGAGCTCCGTTCGAACGCCGTGCGGGAGGTGACAAAGAGCGGGCTGCGCTTCGAGGACGGGACGGAGGAGGCGTTCGACGTGATCATCTTGAGCACGGGCTTCATCACGGTCAGTAATCCAAAATGATTGTTTGCTGAGATCAAGAGGTTGAGAGTCAAGACGTGATAGGGACGGAGTCTCTTCACGATCAAAGGAGAGGGCGGTGTGGACCTGGATGAGTTCTGGAAGAGCGAGGGACGCCCGATGGCCCATCGCGGCGTGTGTGTACCGGGTTTCCCCAATTTGTTTCTCATCGCAGGTGGGCCTCGCGCATTGTCCAACCCAGGCTTCTGAGCACACTAGGCTGACTTGACCTCTACCTGCAGGACCAAACACGGTGACGCGCAACGGCTCCGCGATCTTCACGCACGAAGTCGGGGTGGACTACATCGTCCAGCTCCTGACGCCCCTTCTCCGACCCTCTCCCTGTCCCTCCCTCACCTTGCGCGTCCCCCTCGCTGCCTACCGCGCCTTCAACGCTGCCCAAGCACCTGCGCTCGCCGCCGGCGCAGCAGCCACAGCAGCCTGCCCACCGTCGTGGTTCCGTGCGGACGGGGGGACGGGCGCGAACTTTAGCACGTGGCCGGGGAGCATATATGGGTTCTGGTGGGCGATGCGGAAGGTGAGGTGGGAGGAGTATGATGTGAGGGACGCGGAGGGTACTGCGGTGGATGTTGGCGGACGGTGGACGAAGGTGGTGGGTGCGTTGGTGAGTGTTGGGGCGGTCCTTGGGATGGGTGTGGGTTGGTGGGAGAGGGAGAGAGTGGGGAAGCTTGTTCAGGGTGCGTTGCGAGGACACTAGAAAATGGGCTTGAGGATTATAGGCTCAATTGGGCGACATGGACAGCGACGGCTATCGTGTAAGTTGTACTTTGTCGGCGATGTCTTTTGACTGCTTGAATCCAGAAGATGATGTGTACATGATCCAGACGATCTAGATCTTGCATTGCTTCAACCAGAGTTGCGTCCGCACACAAGGAGCTTGCGACAGTCCGCCGAAGATCTACCATTGACAGTTGATTGACAGTCTACAGATCTGGTAATGCGACCAAGAGCACTACTGATGACCAACTGGGTTCACCGCCTCTGACGGACCCGATAGGACTCCGGGCGTCAACCGCGTTGAGCGCGCACGCCGTGAAAGTGCTCAATCAACCTCGTTCGGCAGTAGTCCATGGGTGAAACACACTCCGAGGATAGCCTCAGTGAGCGAACGTTGAAGCTGTGCTAAGGGCGGGCCCTATCATCCCGGTTCCGAGCACGTAGAGGATGTATCTTAAGGTCAGGATTTTGCGAGGTCAGGATTCTGCGAGGTCAGGATATTGCGTTTCATGGAGGTGGGCGTCGAGTGGCTGAAGCACATAGATTGATGGATATCAGACATCTCGCCAGGGACCAAGGGCGTACCTCCACGGCACACTGGCAAAATACAGAGATGTTGGGCAGCATCCGGGAGTTGAAGTCCGGAGGGTGGTGAGCAATGGCGAGTACGCTCGTTCTTGAGTATCCAGATACGCCGGGACTTTCGCGACGACAGTAGCACATGGGGTCAACATGAGGTACATACCTTCTGGCGGAAACATTACATTCGAGTCCCTCTGAGGCGGTGTCGTCGTCTCCGGCGTCCAGATGGGCCCCTGTCACTCACGCGTTTGGCATCGCCTTTTACTTAAGTACATATGCCCTTGTATAGTCCCAATACTCCGACGGTAGGCCGACATAAGTGAGTCAGTGAGTGGTGATTGTTGCTTGCACAGGTGGAGATGCTAGCCTGACTGACCTAGTACGATGTTCATTCATGCAAGTCGTGTCGTCAGCAGGTAACGCGGACATGCAGAACTGAGCACCCCGGCATGCAGCACGAACTGGCGATGAAAACGGATGGAAGTACTTAACGCCCTCTGAGGGTCGGGCCGATGAAATATGGCAGTTTGAAACACAAGCGAAGCGGGGTGATCCTGCATCCGTGTTGCCCATCCACGCTTGACCTGGTGCCGCTGTTGATCCGGGCCTCCGGCATACAGCACCTTGCGCTCTAGCGGGGTATTCGGTGACTGCGAAAGCGCTCGGACCCAGGGCAGCCCTACAAAAGGGCGAAGCGGGATAACCAACGCCCTTAGCTCGCAGCCCTTCTCTCTTTCAGAGCTCCCCCTTCCGAGTACAGGTACTGGTTGGTGAGTACCCTCCGCGCCCCTCCACTGCATATTCACTCACGCCGATGATGCAGCCTTGTGCTCTTTTGATCAGTCCATCCACATTCTTCGTTACGACCTCACGACTTTACTCTTAACCCCATCCTAATCACTTTACTGTCACATCTCTCATCCACGTCCTATTCAACATCAACATGCGTTCTTACAGCACCGTCCTTCTCCTTGCCGCTGCGGCATCTGTCACACCCGCCTTCGCTGCCCCCATCTCATAGTACGTGCTATCGGTATCCTACATATCCCCCATCCCAATGCTGATCAACTATGCTCGTAGCACGTCCGACCTTGATGTCCGTGGCGACTTCGATAGCCTCGAGGCTCGCAACATCGACGAGGAGGTCTTTGCGCGCGAGGTCTACGAGGGTCTTGAGGCGCGCGATTTCGAGGATGACGTCCTCTTCGCCCGCGACTTTGACGAGGACCTCTTCGCCCGCGACCTCGACGACAACCAGTTCATTGCCCGTGCTCTCGGCGTGAACGAGGAGCTCGTTGCTCGTAGCAAGATCGGCAATAGGATCAAACATGCCTTCCAGAAGATTGGCCACGTTCTCGGTAAAGTCGTGAAGGGCGTCGCGCACCTCATCCTCAAGCGTGAGGACATGGATGTCCTTGCGCGTGAGCTCGGAATCGACGAGGAACTCTTCGCCCGTAGCTTTGACGAATACGAGTTCGCTCGGCGCGGCTTCCCTGAAGAGCTCTTCACCCGTATGCTGATGGAGGAGCTCGACACACGTGGAGTCGAGGAGCCACAGCAAGTCTCGCAACCTGACGCCGCTCACCTCGCCGAGCAGCCCCATGCACACGAGATGAACGGTGCTGCCGGGGCTCACCGTGACGGCAAGGCGCACACCGGAGGTCGTCACAATGGCAGGAAGCACGCAGGAGCTTATCGCAATGGCAAGAAACGCACTGGAGCTCATCGCAAGGGCGAACACCGTGGGGCTCACTCGAAGGGCGAGCATGCTCAGCACCGTCAGCAGGGCACTCAGCACCGACAGCAGACTGGTGAGGAACACCACGAGCCCGAGGGCGCTGTGCTCGACCACCAGTCGACGCAGCATCACACTTCCGAGCACCCTGGCGCGCAGGAGCACCCCGGCACGCAAGAGCGCCATTCGACGCCCGAGACGCGTGAGGACGTGCTCGAACTGCTTGCGCGCGCGTTGAGCGGCGAGTTCGACGAGCTCGACTGAGGGGCGGATCGGTGAGACTTGAGTGGGAGTGATTTCAGGGTAACTTACGGGCAGGATGGTCGTTGTAACTTATCGTAATAACTGGAATGTGAATGGTTGATCAATACTGCGAGTTCTGTCTCTTGTGTGCAGTCATCGTGAGGCGTTAACTGGCAAAGGCAGCGTAAGTGTGTGGCAGCGACGAGTCATAGGCTCGTACTCAGTGAAAGGTTCCGAATGCATATCACAAACAACATACGGGATCATCATACTTACTGGGGTGGTCCCACATCATCGGCACAGCGCATCCGCTGTGCTGTGGTAGTATGTGCACGAAAGCGAATCATTTTGTCCGAGTCCCCGCTGCATGCTGACTATACTCGCGCTGAGAGGCGTCTGGCCAGCCCTGCTGGATATAGTAGAATCAAGCAGGATGCGCCACCCTTCGATGTACGCGAGATACGAGCGGGACCAAGTCAATTGCATGGCAGTTGAACGTCGTCCAAACGTTGTCCGCAGAACTTGAAGACGTTGAGTCGACAACCGCGGACCCGGACCGCGGTGCCCCGGAGGCATCCCGATGAATCTCAACGTGTCGGCCACCGAGGGCCTCTGTTGTAGCCAATAGCCAGTGCCCTCCCCATACAGTTCACCTCCATCATTCATCTTCCGTGTATCATACCTTCAGTCTTCCTCAGCTAACCAACATTATCACAATGTCCCGCATGTCCCGCAAGGACGCAGAGAACCAAGTTCGCTCCTGGGGTTTCTCCCATGTCTTCACTTGGACGGACAGTCCGTGAGTGCTATCGAGGCTCCGCTCTAGAATACGACACTGATCGCTACTAGTGACTATCATTACAACCCGCACAAGCACTCTGGTGTAACGACACATCTCATTCTCTCCGGCGAGCTCACTATCTCGTATCCGGAGGACAATCCGGACGAGAACTTGAAAGAAACTCTTGGTCCTGGCGCACGTTTCGACGTGCCCGCGGGCAAGATGCATGAAGTCTGGGTCGGGAAGGAAGGCTGTACCTATGTCATCGGTGAATGAAAGTTGTCCATGTTCAATCTCCAAATTGCCGTCTCATGGCTACCGAGATCGTTTCAGGAAGCATGCGCATTTCGACAGGTGATTGTTCGCAACCAAGTGGCGTATGCTCCTATTCACGTTTCTGGTTCAAAGGGCAGTCAGGGCTGCCAACTGGTAACCCATGTCGCAGTCATCGCCGCACATTGCTCACGTTGGAAGCATCTCATCGAGATTCTGCGAATGACAGCTAGGCGATGAAGGGGTGAGAGTCCCTGAGAGGGGTTCAGCGCCGGATGTGACTCGGCCTATTATAGCGTGATGCAAGATATGTACTCATTTATTGTGCATATCAGTACGCGATAGGCATGTTCGTCTGCTAACCTTCTATTGACACCTACATATCATCAGCCGAACGTGTCCAAGAGAAAACAAGGGGTGTGTCGACTTGCCAGGAAGAAAGACATCAACTTGAATACCTATCAGACCGGAAGTGGCTCCGCTCATCTTTGATTGACCCTTGTAGGCAGTACGCATAATGATGAGCACACTCCGAAGGCACGAAGTCCATCTGTACACTGTCAGTCAGCCATACGAAGTCTTCGCTCGTGTTCCTAGTTTCCATCCCAACCGTAAGTTTTTACGTGAACGCGGGTCACTGCTTGCCTCACTAGACCAGCAGCCTGTGATCAGATGATATCTTTCAAGCGTTTCGTGCCCTTCGTGGTTGCTGCTACATTTCACATTTTCAACTGCCGTTCTAATGATAGTCTTGAACTGCTGTGCATTCTGCCGTGTCAGTGATCGAGCAGACAATGCACTTGTCACGCTCATGCTGCTCTCATCTATATATACAGGTTGAACGCGCTGACATTCATCAGCTCGCTCCTCTCTTTCTTTCGTCTTCAAGAGCTCACCGAGCATAGGTACTGGCTGGTGAGTATCGTCTTCCACTAGATCCCGGATTACACTCATTATGCATTCACAGCCTTCCTCGTCTATTCTACTCACGACCGCACCCCTAACGACTAGTCCTAATCCTTTTTCCTTTGCGATCATGCGTGCTTCTACTGCCTTCCCCGCCGTTCTCATTGCCACTTCTGTGCTCCCATCCTTTGCTATTCCTGTGCTCTCTCGGTATGTAAGCATGGCTCCGAAGCAACACGGATAACTAACCGCCAATTGCAGTCCCGACGAGTTTGTCGGTCATGTCGAACATGTCGAGCCCCATCACGGTTCTGGCTTCGTGGCGCACAACCAGGTATACGCACAGCGTGAAGGACATTTCCCCCCAACGTTCGGCTACCGAAAGCCCACTTACAGTGCTACGCATCCGGAAGCCGGAACCGATCGCGTCGTCCAACGCCCTGTCCACCACGCGGAGACACACGCCGCTGGTCTCCCGCACATCGGAGCCAGTCGTTTGCCTGACTCTCCGGCTCACGCTGGGATGCACTCGGCTGAAGTAGCTCAGCACGTTCATCGCCCAGCCCGCCGCGCAGAGGGCCATCGCGTTCGCGCGTTCGATGTGAACGACGTACACGTGCACTACCGCCTTAATCAGGCCGGCAGACCCATAGGCGGCCATCCATTCCACCGGCATCCGAACTTCAAGCGTCCGCATGCCGACAACATCGACATACCCAGCCGGGAAGTGTCCGAAGACGACCTCTATGCTCGCGAGTATACCTCGTTGGTCGCGCGCAAGGGCAAGGCGAAGCCCAAAGCTAAGCCTATGCCTAAGCCCAAGCCCAAGCCAGCCCCGAAGCCAGCCCCGAAGCCAGCCCCGAAGCCCGCGCCTAAGGCCGCACCCTGGGCCAGTACTGGGGGCGCTCTAGGAAGCACAACCAACGGTCGATGGAATAAGGCAGACAATGCCATCGGCCGAGTCGGAAAAACCGTGGGGGAGGTCGCCAGCACGGTCGGAACAATCGCAAACGTGGCGAAGGACATCTTCAGCATCTTCAGGCGAGAGATAGAGGCTAGAGAGGAGGAGGAAGGCTGGTTCATGCAACGAGCATACGAAGTTGATGAGTTGGACTGAGGCCAAAGTCGACATGGATCGTGGTTGTGATATCTGACATGTACACTACTCGTTGGTCAACGCTATGCGGTTCGTGAGCTTGTTTACTTGGATTTTGTGCACTAGACCAAGGATGGCGACCCTACAAACGAGCAAGCCAAGGTGCTACGAATTTATGGGCATGACGTACTACGCCAGCAGTCATTAATTCATTGATGACAACCGGTCACTGTTCGATATCCAATATGATGACTGACAATGCGAAGGGCCGATCGCTATCCCAGTCACACAACGATACATCGATTCCCAACTTATTGATCATGGCCAAGTCCCAAATCATTGTCCAGCGAGGGCGTATATAGCCCTCGTCGGAGGCAGAGGGTCAGGGTCGTGTTCATCTAGCCCAGTCGAGTGACCCACAGCTAGTAGAATTTCCCTGCGCAAGAACTTGAAATGCATGTCAATTATTGACGCTGTGAGAAAGCATGGGGAGGAGTCGGGGGACTTTGACAGATAGATGGGACGTCGTCCATTGAGCGTTGGGTGTTGAACGTTGATTGTTGAACGTTGAGCGTTGGACAGTGAAATCACCCCTTGACCGGGCCAGTTTGCGGCCTTGCGTTCAAACGTTGAGTACGTTGAGTGCTATGGCACGAGGCGCTGATGCCAAGCACTGATTAGGTTAGACTGCGGCGCCACCGTTTGCACCGGACGTTGGTGACTGACTGTTTTTGAGAGGTCTGTTGTTCCGTCTTATGCTGCAGTCTATTAGTACGGTCCGTCGGTGTGGACACGCCGGTGGCTCGTGTGCTGAACTGTATCGGCACCGTGAACACAGCGAGATCAGGTATATGCTGGTGAGCATGATGTACTGACGAGTCACTGGACGTTGTAGTACTGAACAGAGAGACGTCGAACCTTATAAGACAGGAGTACTATGTACCTGCGCTCATCTGATAATTCTTTTGCTAGACTCCGCAAACAACACATGCCATGATGAGCGCACGCCAGAGACACGCAAGTTATGCTACTACTGTGAAGGCTCCGCTCCGAGTAGTCCATCTATCGGCCTAGATTCCAGCTGTACGTCTTCTTACTCTCTGCGCGGAAAGCAGCTTACTCCGTTGGGCAGAAATGCTGTGACGAGGCGACGCCATTCGTGTGAAGCCAAGCCTGTCATGGTGGCCAATGTGGTTTTATTTCACATTGTACGTCGACGTAACTCTGCGACTGCGCCCTCAGCCTTGGATGGCGGCACGAAAATACTTTTGGAGACCCGAACGACCGGTGTACATGTGACGTCCATGGACCTCACAAACCTATAAATGCTTTCTGGATGCACGCATTTCCCCCAGCTCGCTCCTCTCCTTCGTTCATCTTCAAGAGCTCACCGAGCATAGGTACTGGCTAGTGCGTATCGTTTGTCTTCAGATTACGGATTGTGCTCACTATGCTTTCACAGCCTAACTCGTATATTTCACTCACGACCGCACATCTCGAACGACTAGTCCTTTCACCTCGATCTTTTGCAAGAACCAGCCACAATGCGCTCTTCAACCGTCATCCCCGCCATTCTCGTTGCCACCTCTGCACTCCCGTCTCTTGCGGTTCCAGTGTTCTCTCGGTATGTAGACATAGCTCGCAAGCGGTATCATACATCGCTGACCGCCTATCGCAGTCACGGAGAATTTTCTGATCCTCTCGAGCATGCCCGACCGGGCCATCCGAGTCGTGGTCCTGGCAATGGGGCCCACAACGTTGCTTATGCGCACCACGAGGAGCACCACCCAGTGCACGCCCATGGACCTATGCATCCGGAACACGAAGCGGAACACGATGAGGAGGAACACCACGTCCGCGCGATGGGCTTCGAGGGCATCGAAATGCCCGTACACCATCCTCCGTACCCTCTCCACATCGGACGTCCGATCGAGCGTCTCTACCCAGGACGTCCGATCGGGCGTGTCCACCCAGTATTCCAGGAGATTGCGCGGGCATTCGAGGACGATCTCGATATTCGCGAGTACTACAGCCTCCTGGACGCGCGGGACGCCAAGGTGCCTGTGCATGCGCTCAAGCCGAAGACAGCTGCGAAGCTGAAGCCCGCTCTCAAGTCCACCCGTAAACCTACACCCAAGCCTGCGCACAAGCCCGCGAGCATGTCTGCGCATAAGCCCGCGCACAATCCTGCGCACAAGCCCGCGGCCAATCCTGCGCACAAGCCTGCGGCCAACCCTGTCCGTAAGCCCTCGGGGAGCCCTGCGTGGAAGCCCATGCCATTGGGTCACGGGCCGGTGGTACCCTTTCACAAGCTCCCACCGAAGCCCGCGCCCCATTCAACCACGGGCGTTCTGGGGAGCGCCACTAACAATCAGTGGAACCCGGTACAACAGACCGCTGCCACTGACGTCCAGACCGAGTTCAATGACATGACGAACGTAGAGGACAACCTGTTGAAAGGTGCGTTTGGCCCTAATGCCAGGCGAGAGGTAGAGGCGAGGAATGCTGAGCTCTGGGATTGGCTCATGGAACGCAGTGCATACGAGGTGGATGAGTTGGATTGAAGCAGAGGAGTTGGGAGTTGATAGGAATCGTAGTAGTCGAGCGATCATGTATGACACGGACACTGGTCGCCCGCTAATACTACGCGGTTTATGAGTTTGTTCACTTACCTTGGCCGCCTCCTTGGATGGGCGTCGCGGACCGCGCCCTCGACACTGAGCCATACACGGTCAGAGCTGATTGCTGAAGCCAAAAGAACCCTGGGATGCCATGAACGTACAGCGCGGGACCCATGCAGTGTGCTGACGGCAGCCCGCCGGAAACTTAAGTTATTGACCGGTGGGACTCAGATATCCCTTGACCGGTTGCGCGACGTCGGACGTACCACGTAGCACATGTCCCCTGGTCTTTCAGGTGTCGTCAATGGGATCGTTTGCGGGCTGGTATTCTTCGCTTTCCATTCTCCACGAATATAATTGTACACGTCCTGTGTTTTTCCAATCCCCGGCATGCTCTAGTAGCCCATCGGGGGTCGGACCAGCGGGAGAGCGTGACGGGGAACGCGTTCACGCCTTTGTGACTTGCGCGACTGTGACGACGCGGTGTGGAGGTGGGCCGTCACGCGTCATGGATGTCGTCTTCGACGCCCACAAAGCTCAAGCGATCCACCCACCCAGCCAATCATGCACGTGAAATTACCCTCCTATATATTCACTATGCCCCCTGCACGCAAGTTGCACCCCTCGTCTCCCAACTCTATCCAACACCATGATCCCTCACGGAAAGTCCACGTCCTTGCCCGACTCGGACATCGTCTACGACCATGACTATCTGGGAACGGTAGCATCGCATGCTCCTGAGACCCTGAAACGGCCGTATCGTCTCAACACCGACACGAGCATTGAAAAACCCTATGTTGCGCGTGCCTCGTACGCACCTGATGTCGAACACCCGCAAGGCACTCCCGTACACGCGCAGAAATACAAGGACTACGTGAGTGTCGAGTACCCTTCTGCCGCGACTCCCCATTGACCCCTAGCAGTCCGTCTTGCAACAACATTGCCTGTTCTGGGACAGAGATGGTGACGGTCAAATATGGCCTTGGGATACCTACATCGGCTTCCGGGACCTAGGGTTCAACATCATCTTTTCCCTGTTCGCCGTCTACGTGATCAACGTCTGCTTCTCCTTCCCAACCCGGTAAGTCGCACCAAATCTCACATCACTCCAGCATTCCCGAGACTCATACCTTTCCTGTAGCCTCGCGCACAGCTATCTCCCTGACCCCTTCTTCCGCTTCTATCTCCCCGGCGCGCACAAGTCCAAGCACGGCTCCGACTCGGGCGTGTACGACACCGAGGGGCGGTTCATCCCCTCGCGATTCGAGGACATGTTCACCAAGTACGCCTACTCCGCCGCGCCCGCCGACTCGCTCTCCGGGCACGAGCTATTCCGCCTCATACACGGCCAGCGAGTCGCGGTCGACCCGTACGGCTGGAGCGCGGCCGTCTTCGAGTGGGGTACGACGTACCTGCTCATACAGAAGGGCGGGCGGATCTCGAAGGAGGACTTGAGGAGGGTGTACGACGGTTCGCTGTTCTGGGAGATCAAGGCGCGGAGACAGACGAAGGAGGGGTGGAACAAGGGATGGGGTTTGGGAGGCGATGGCTTCGTTGGCGGAGAGAAGCTCCTGCCGTTCAGGCTATGAGTGGTCTTGATGTAGCGAAACGGATGGTGCCTTCCGAGCGTTGTTGTAGCACTGTATAATATGTCAAGGTAATCGCCTGATGTATCCATAGTATGTTGAACGTAATCTTGTCCTTCGATCACTACCCAAGCGCACGAGAGGGAAGACCAGTGGGGGTAGTCGGAAGCCGGGTCTAATGCAGCCCAACATCGACATAGCCTATGACGCATTGCACGGTAATTAGTCAAACCGCACAAAGATGGGAGATGCAAACCTAGATGTCCAGCCATCATAGCATAGCCAGTCGAGCAAAGAAGGGGATCGCGAAGCAAGCCCAGCTCGATTTGCCGAAGCAGGTATAACATACACGGCGTTCATCGTCCTTCCTTCTCATCGACGTAGCCTTCGAGACTCGTTACCCTCAAAATCTCAGTGCACCTACGCAGCCTGGATGGCGGTCTTCTCATCCCAGACCTTCTTGATCGAGGGTATCGCCATCAGCTTCTGGTGCCAGCTGCAAGTCACACGTCAGCACGGGCACACTCATAGAGACTCACAGTTAACAGATGACACTCACTTCCAGAAGTGCGGGTAGTCCTTCTCGATGTTGGCCTCAGTGAAGTCTGCGAGCACCATAAAAAGCCCGGCATTGGTCCACCTGAACCCGCGCACAGTCAAGCTTCTGGCAGCAAAGATCAAGACACGAAGACGAGAGAGTACGCACGAGACGAAGGAAAAATCGGCGACGCTGGGCTTCCCGCCGACGAGCCACTCCTGCTTCTTGAGCACGCCGTCGAGCACGCCGATCACGCGCACCGCCTCCCTCTGGTACCTCACGACAGCGCTAGGGACCGGCTCGGGGTGGTACACTTTGAACCAGATCCCCTGGCCGAAGTACGGGCTATCACGAAGTCAACGTCACGGGATTGAGCGTGATGATTGGTATGAATAAGACGTACCCCTGGCCGGAGGCCTGGAAGAAGAGCCACTGAAGCTGCTTGATCTTATCTTCGGGCGTCGCCGCAGAGATACGGTGGGCGGTGTCGTACTTCTCGACGAGGTAGGTGATGATCGCGTTCGACTCCCTGTGACCCCCATCCCATCAGGTTTCACATCGTGACGTTGAGGATATACGCGAGAACACCCACCAAATGGTGAAGTCGTTGTTCTTGTGGTCAATGACGGTCGGGATACGCCCGTTCGGGTTGTACTGGGTGTACTCGGACGACTTCTGCTCGAGCTTGCCAAAGTCGAGGTAGACGCTCTCGTAGGTGAGGCCAAGCTCCGTCAAGACGAATGCGACCTTCCTGTTGAGCAGTCGGGATCAATGAGACGTACACACTTAAGTAAGACTGTACTTACCAGCCGTTTGGACCGCCCTTGTGGGTGTAGAGCGTGAATTGCTTGCCGTGCGACATCTTGAGTGGTTAGTCTAGGTGGCTGAAGGTGCTTGGGGTGAAGGGGAATTGCGCTGGATGGCTGTATGCCCTCTAAGCGATTGCTTCTGGTCTTATATAGCTCAGCATATCCTTCCTTGTAGCAGGACTTCTCGGCAATGCAAGTCCTTCGAGACAACCGTGGAAGCCATCCGCTGACAAACAGCGGGCGATAAGTAAGCAGTATCGTCGACTGCCACCGGCGCGAGGGAATGGAACGCGCTGCGCCGACGCACCGATCGCGCGGTGGGCCTAGCAACCGCGGCGGCCACAGGCCCAACGCCTCGCTCGCCACCCCGGGTCAACTGCGTGCACGGAGGGACACCGCTTCTGTCGCGGAAATGCTGAGAAAGCTCGCAACGAGACACGGGAGAAGGCGAGGAGGCGCTGTGGTACGCCGCAAATGTCAGATAGAACGCCCCAAGACGGATGTTCGCATGCGATGTGTGCTCGGCCGCCGCTGCAGGCTGCCTAAGCTTGCGTTGCGGTAGGTGATAACCCGCGACGGTTGGCATGGCACAGCAAATTTAGGGCAAGGAAGCTAGACGTCTAACGGCGGCCGTCTGACGGAGATGGCGAGACTAGATGAAGGGATTGTGTGCGTGTCAGAGGCTGTTCTGCTGTCGTAGCTGCAGATGAGGTGTGTATTGCGCGAGCGGCGCTCACAGCGAACGGTAGGAGGAGGACAGGTCGTTCTACCTCAAGCTCAAGCTTCGAGACTGGCACCGCGGACGCGACGTGACATCGGCACGTGCTCACCGTCACGTAGCCCGCGATCGCGCTGCCCTGCTCAGACTACTTTTCACCTTCCCTCAATTCCCTCGAACGTACGTTGTCTACGACCGCGCTGGAGTCTCCATGGATCTGATGTGGTTTTGTCTCGGAAACGATCCCCACATGATCTCGAGGACTGCGACCGTAATTGGCAAGCCTCGTGTGCGTGGCACTGCGTGCGGTGTGGCAACCATGGCTCTAGTAATCGCATTGATCTGCTGAAGCTCTGGCCTTATTTGTCCTACAGTCCTCCAGCATCCAACTGCATTGCGAGCATGGCATGGCTGACCGAATTCGGTATGCGATGGCCGTGCATCCGCGTGGCGGGCGCGGTGCTTTGTCCTTCTGGGTTCTAGAATGCGCCAGCCGCCACAAGAGTGGCCACCACTCCCTTGGCCTATTCCACATAAGGACATTGTGGCTCCTTGTTGGTCGCGCTATTCGCGAATATAAAAGCGCAGATCAGCAATCATCCCCGTACGTCGTCCTCTGCCCTCCCTTGTGTGACATAGCACCAGCGCACGACATGCGCAGCAATGCCTCAGCGCAGCTGGTTTGTACCGCCAAGACGCCGTTGTCTGGCGGTTCTTTTCTGCTGACCATGGAGATGCGTCCATCACACGAACAAGGCCAAAGCACCGCCGGGTCCCCGCGGAAACAAAACCGAGCGACAGCACTACCCAAAGGAATACTGGTCGCACCAATGCCTCCGACCCCGTTCTACTCGCCACAATATCCCGCCTATGTCTTCGCCGCCGCCCATGCTCCCGGACAAGTTCCCGCTCCCGGACAAGTTGCCGTTGTGCCCCGGATTGGCATGCAATCCTCGCGAGCGCCGCACCCAGGACACATGTCAATCGCTCAAAGTCGACCAGTGTCTCATGGGTGGCCGGAGCGCGCCGTTCATCCCCTGGCTGCAAGTTTTATTCCTCCGGCGCTGCCGACACCCAGGCCAGGTTTCATCAAAAGGACGGTGCCACAGCTTGTCTGGGACCCATACCAAAAACAACGATCGAAGAAGAACGCCAAGGACGTGGTCATTCATCACTTCCCGAATGGCGTCACACCTCTAGATACGCACCGCATCACGTTCGACCTTGTTGGGCAGGCGCCGGGCAGTGGGATCCCGCTGGCATTGTTGGATGTCGTGCACATCGACGCCACCCTGTGCCATCTGGTGGACGCTAACGAGCCTATCCTCATAGACAGACAACGGCTACATGGCGACGACTGTGAGGTGGAAGCCGGTCATTCGTACAATTACATCGATCTCTGCATGGCGGTGCGTCATCACGCAACTCATCACGTACAGCACACCGCTCATCAGTTGACTCAGTGGCCAGCTTACCTGCAGCACTCGAAGACCAAGTTCCGTTGCACTCTGACGATCCGCGACGTCTGCGGGTACAGCTCTCGAGCGCGCATTTTGAAAGACTGTTCGCGACATATCACCCACTTCTTCGAGGCATGTACCCTCTTGTCCTTCTTGCTCTTGTCGCTTGCTAATGAACACTCAACAGTACGCTCAACGAACACCGAGCACTACTGCCAGAACATCTGAGGAAGACATGATCTGGGCGTTTGGACCTAGCGGGCTGAGCTTCGACACAGTAAGGCTTGTATCCCTCTTCCAGATGGCAGGGCAGTTCTTCCTCGGCGAGTTCGACGCAGAAATCTCACAGGAAGTCTGGGATCGCCGACTCAACGAAGCGAAGGTCCCCATGGTCTACTAGATGACAGCGACAGAATGACCCACCTTCGCGCGCGCGCCCAGACCACTAAGCAGGGCACATTCGCTGTGCCGATATCCTGTATGTTATGTATGCTTAATGTCATATGCCGCTCACCGCCTTCAAAGCCTTCCACGGGGTACGGCAATGGAACTCGTCGCTGCCGGACACTCACGCTGACCGGAACCACTGGGGAACTTGAGGATCAGCCTCACGATGACGGCACACCAGAGACAGAACTCGCAGCATCAGCCATTCACATAAATCATTATGATAAGTTACGACGGCCATCCTGCCAATGAGATACCATTGGGTCACTGCCGCCCAAGTCGCACCGATCCGCCGCTCAGTCAAGCTCGTCGAACTCGCCACCGAATGCGCGCGCAAGGAGCTCGAGCGCATCCTCGCGTGTCTGGTGTGGCGCGGTGTGCTGCGTAGAGTGGTGCTCCTGGGTGCTAGAGTGCAGAGACGTGTGGTCCCCTTGCGTGCCAAGGTGCTGCGTCGAGTGGTGGCCGGACACAGCGCCCTCGGCGTGCTCGTGGTGCTCCTCACCAGTCTGCGGACGGTGCTGAGCGTGCTCGCCCTTCGAGCCAGCCCCACGGTGTTCGCCCTTGCGGTGAGCTCCCTTGCCATTGCGATGGGTTCCCGTGTGCTTCTCGCCGTTACGGTGAACCCCGGTGTGGTGCTGGTCGTTCGGGTGAGTCTCATGGGAGTGTGGGTGAGCAACGCTGTTTGCCTCATGTGCGTGGGGCTGCACAGCAGAGTGAGCGGCGTTAGGTTGCGAGGCTTGCTGAGTCTCCTCGACTCCACGTGCGTCGATCTCCTCCATCAGCATACGGGTGAAGAGCTCTTCGGGGAGGTCTCGCTGAGCGAATTCGTATTCGTCAAAGCTGCGGGCGAAAAGCCCGTCGTCCTCGAAGGCACGGGCAAAAAGTTCCTCGTCGATTCCGAGCTCACGTGCAAGGACGTCCATGTCCTCACGCTTGAGGATGAGGTGCGCGACGCCCTTCACGACTTTACCGAGAACGTGGCCAATCTTCTGGAAGGCATGTTTGATCCTATTGCCGATCTTGCTGCGAGCAACGAGCTCCTCGTCCACGCCGAAAGCACGGGCAACGAACTGGTTTTCGTCGAGGTCGCGCGTGAAGAGGTTCTCGACGAAGTCGCGCACGAAGAGGTCGTCGTCGAAGTCGCGCGCGAAGACCTCCTCGTCGAAGTCGCGCGCGAAGACCTCCTCGTCGAAGTCTCGCGCAAAGAGGTTCGCGTCGAAGTCGCGCGCAAAGACCTCCTCGTCGATGCCAAGCTCACGTGCAAGGACGTCCAAGTCCTCACGCTTGAGGACGAGGTGCGCGACGCCCTTCACGACCTTACCGAGACCGTGGCCAATTTTCTTGAAGAACTTGCCAATCTTGCTACGCGCGACGAGCTCATCGTTAAGAGCACGCGTAAAGAGCTCGTCCTGAAGTTCACGGCGCGCGAAGGTGTTGTCGATGTCGCGAACCTCGAGGCTATCGAAGTCACCACGGACCTCAAGGTCAGACGTGCTACGAGCATAGTTGATCAGCATTGGAATGGGGGCTATGTGGGATACCACGTACTATGAGATGGGGGCAGCAAAGGCGGGGGTGACAGACGCCGCAGCGGCAAGGAGGAGGACGGCAGTGGAAGAACGCATGTTGATGTCGAGCAGAACGGGAATGAGAGATGTGACGGTAAAGTGATTAGGATGGGGTTGAGGGTAAGGTCGTGAGGTCGTAACGAAGAATGTGGATGGGCTGATAAAAAGAGCACAAGGCTGCAACGTCGACGTCAGTGAATATGCAGCGGAGGGGCGCAGAGGGTACTCACCAACCAGTACCTGTACTCGGAAGGGGGAGCTCTGAAAGAGAGAAGGGCTGCGAGCTAAGGGCGTCGGCAACCCTACTCCGCACTTTTGTAGGGCTGCCCTGTGTCCGAGCGCTTTCGCCGTCATCGAAGACCCGCTAGAGCGCAATGTATGCCGGCGGCATCAACCTGAGCGGCCCATCAGGCCAAGCGAGGATGGAATTTCGGAAAGCGCGGATGGAGGAGTGTCACGTATCTTGACAGGCGCTGATGCGATCCGGGCCTATAGGTGGAACGATTGGGCAATCATGTAACATCAGTGTAAAATTCAGGTTCGTAGGCACACTATGAACGTATGAAATAACTACGATTGACTGGACTGTTGCGCCGGTAAACAATGCGATCACTTACATACGAGCAGGCACCTGTAGCAATTGTCGAGGACGTCCCGCGTGCATTACATCAGTGAACCCAGTATTTTACCCAGCGGCGTTATGGGGCGAAAAAGGCTCCAGAATAGTAGGCTATTGACATAGCTGAAGTCCCTGAACATACCGGATTCTGTAGGCGCATTACATAATGCTATGCGGCCGCGAGGAGTCGATCAGACGGCTGTGGACGGGGGCGGTGCAGATATGTTAGTACAGCCACCAACGCTGCACTGGCAGCAAGCCGGTACCTCCTTGAACCAACACTCACCATGTCTGACAGCGGCCGAATACAACACGATAGAATATCAACCACCACTATCGCATTCTTGTCAATAACACCAGTACTGTCTATTGTCTTACGAGGGGATGCCAGTGAGTGCGAGGAGAGTGTACTCATGGACGTGCGCGTGCTTGCGGTACATACTAGGTTGACAGGACCTATATATCACGGCAAACGCCACATCAGCATCAGGCCTGATATAGCAAGCGTGGTCAACGTTTCTGCACGACATCTCTGACATATCCCACTCGTTCATTTGATCCACAACGTCGCGTTTCACCACCACAAGGGGTCGTACACGCACAGGTGGCCCAGCAAACGGGACGAGTCTCATTAGGCTCATCCGCCGCGGGACACCGAGGCTCCCAGGCCGACGACTCGGAGAGCCCTCATGCGCCGGGTTCCTGGCCCTACATTTCGCCACGCTGGCTCGGACGTACAAAGAGGTGAGCACCACAATTGCCGCGTGGAAGATATGAATTATATGGATGGACGCTTCGCACCAGGCCAGTCTAGCGTTATATCGCTGTACCGTGACGACGTTCAATCGCCATGCAGGTGAAGCTGTGAGGCTTCTGAACACGTATCTGAGCCATCTCTCATTGTTGTCCGTCTCGGCGGCCAAAGTCTAGCTCGTGGTAAACACGCGTATCGCGCGAATCGCTTGTTTTGACCATGACTGCTCGTATCTAGGAATGCTCCCGCTCGTGTCTCGCGTCCCTCGAACGGTGGCGTAACACAAAGTTTGTCGCTCGCAGTCCTCACGCACGCAGCATGCTTGATACTTAAGTACTTCATATCCAGCAGGCTAGCCAAACGCCTCTCAGCGCAAGTATAGTCAGCACGCAGCGCTGGGAATCCGGGATGACCATGCGAGCTTCTGATTGGACGAAGTAGCCTATTGTTAACATCATCATCATGAACTATGACCACAGCCACGTTTCTAGCGGGCGCCGTTGACTCGTTTCCCAACGCTTCGTCCATGGTGCCATGTGAGTAGCATAATTCGTCTTGCATATATTGGCGCAAATTGTATGCGCAGGGACACCAGTCCGATTCTCCCGTCCGAGTCTGACCCCACAGAGTCGCTCCCGCATTGACTACATGTCTTTCTACGATGCTGCCCCTTCGCTGTCTCATCTCTACGTTCAGGGGCCGCCCTGCCTGCGACTATCGGAGTGGCGCCTCGACGAACTCGCCGTTCTTGCGCCGCCACCCAGTCCCGCACTCTCCGAGTGCGAAAAGCCGTATCGGTCCCGAAAATCTAGGACAGCGCCACACGTCAGGGTACAGATCAAGTCCGACATCATGGCGCTTTTCAAGCCAAAGAATACACGACGAAGCGAGATAGAGATGGTCCCATCCATCCAGCTAGAGGAAATGCAGACCCTCGAGGCTGGGACTGTATCGCCACTGGCACTTGAGGTAGAGACTATGTCGCCTATCGAATTTGAAACTCTGTTTCGAGATCGAGGTTTCGTCACCCATTGAAGGAGAGACTGCGCAATGGCCGCCCATTCGGACACCCAAGCCCGTGACGCCACTGCCCCCGCATATCGATCCATATCCTGCTCCCATTGTGTTCAGCCTCGTTGGAGAGCCTCCGGGACGTGGTCTGCCGCTCCTTCTTTTGTATCTGGACCCCGTGAGAGCCTTGCAGCGGCTGCACCTCCCTGTCGAAGATATTTTTGCGCCGTTTGGGTTCTCAAAGGTTCATATATTCTGCATGGTACGTTAGCGAAGACCTATCTCGCGTGACTATTGACATATGATGTCTGTCGTATCGCAGTGGCCGGGAAACTCGAAGATATACACTGAACGACAGCTTGAAGCATACAACGAATCGGGAGGGCCCGTCGTCAGGCTGCAGGTCGTGTTTCTTATACTGCAAGCTTACGCACACTTGTTTGAGGTCAGTCCATCGTCTCAGTGGCCCCTCCTGCAATCTCTGACCTTGTAAGTTGTACTGGCTAATGCAGGAAATCTCACCGATGCCGAGACTGCCATCCGATATGATGTCTCTAGATCGATTGTGGCTCGTCGCATTGCAACACGTCGAAGAGAACAAGTTCACGGCAGAAGTCCACTGGCGGTAACCGGTATATGGTGCGGGACGATCTTAGTTCATCCGTTTGTAAGGCCACACAACCTATTCGTACGACTCAGATGTGATGAAACAGCGACAACACATTGATACATGTTACACTACGTGACGGACAACTCGGGTAAGGCATACTAGTCGGTCCACTGCAAGCACCGATCCCCCTTGGCGCCAGCTCTGTGGGCCTCTATGGTGTCCAGGAGGTGCCTCAACATTGACCCAAGCACACTGCCATCCGACTGACTTAGAAAACATGGTACATCGGACACCCATAACGCCGATCCCGCGAAGATGAGTAGCAGGATCGCGCGTGGGCGTTAATCGGTCTCGCGGACGCATTCACTGATGTCCGCTGATCGGGACAGGCACATATGGGTCCTCGAGGTACTTGACCTCCTCCGCAGTGAGCTCGACGTTGACTGCACCTGGTGTGGGAGACGAGCGTCAGTATTAGATGTTCATGCCAGAAGTCAAGTAAGCGCCGAAGGGAGCGCCGTACTTACCGACCATGTCTCCAAGGTGCTGGAGGCTGGTCGTACCGACGATGGGTGCACTGACAACTGAAGAAAGGGGGGTCGTCGGAGAGCGACGTGAAAAATGAGACAGTGTTAACGTGCAAGTGAAGATCAACTACACACCCTCTTTGGAGAGACTCCATGCGATGGAGATCTGGGCCATGCTGACGCCTTTCTTCTTCGCGAGGTCTTCGACACTGCAGCGCCAGAAGAGTGCGTAGGTTACCTATGCTCGGCGGAATCCACGTCGCATCAAATACGTACCGTTTGACGATCTCTGGTGTACCCGGGTAGTCCACGTACGTTTTCACGAACCTAGCGACGTTAGAAGTCAATACCGCAACGCATCACTTGCTCATACGTTTCAAGACGTACTGATCTGTCTGACTTCTCTTTGTCTGGTCAGCGAGCGGTCGAGTGAGGACACCACGCGCCACGGGCGACCATGGGATAGATCCAACACCGAACATCTAACCACATGGCATGGGGCAGCCTGAGGTAAGCTGAGTTGTTGACGTCCATAGATATGCGGCCTGACCTTGAGCGTTGGGAACATCTCACGCTCCTCCTCGCGGTAGACGAGGCTGTGGTGGTTCTGCATTGAGACAAAGGGTGTGAGATTGTTCTGGATAGCATAGTCTACCATGCAGTGCTTGGTGAGTCAACCTTGGGCGAATCACTATGCAGGAGGAGACGCACTCTGCATGGCGTGGACTGGAGAATCAGTGTATCAGCAACGAATGCCTTATATACTCTCGAGCAATGTACTTTCATTGGTACGCCCAGCACGAGCTCATTCCAATGTAGCGAACATACCCAGCTTTGACGACGTCGTGAAGTGCTGAAATCTGCGGTATAAAAGTTCAACAATCAGCATCGGGAGTCCATTGCATGAACGGAAAGCCCACCGTCTCCTCGATCGGCGTCTCGTAGTCGAACCGATGACCTGCGATACATTTTTAATCAGAGGATGACCCTGCCTTGGGTACTTCGAAGGACTTACACTGCAAAAGATCGATGTAATCAACCCCGAGACGCTCCAAGCTCTTCTTTACGGAGTCGAATATGTGCTGTGTTTCATTCATAATGAACTCATGCTGCCAAATATGAGGTATGCAGTCGGACTTACCTTGCGATTTAAGCCGTGCTGGTTGACCAACCCGACTTCATCGGGCTTTACGCCCATGCGCATCAGGCTCATGTCATACTTGGGAGCAACTGAGCCGCAGAGCTAGGATGTAACCAAGATGAGACGTATTCGACTCGGAAGCATTCACGCCGACCATACAACATACCTTGGTCATGATGACGAGCTCCTCGCGCGGGAGCTTGAGATCCTTTATGGCCTTGCCAAGCATCACTTCTGACAGTCCGTTGGAGTAGACCTGGAATCATCACGTTGAACGAGCGTCTGAACGACAGAAATTTCTGGCGACGAACGTTGGCGGTGTCGAACGTCTGTATACCAAGCTCATACCTGTATATTGGTTTCCAGACATCAACGGCCGCAGCGCAAAAATAGAGGGCAGGACATACGCGACTTTGATGTGTTCAGTGACCTCTTCCTGGTCGTCGATGACCCATTCGTTCCAACCGTGACTACCGTAGGACATGCAGCCCAGGATGATCTTGGACACCTTCAGACCAGACTTTCCCAGGCGGACTGGAGAGATGAAGGCATAACCTGACATTCGAAAAACAGCGAGTTTGCCTTGCTCACCATATTGCATAGGTCGCTTTTTCAGGGACATCCTTTTGAGGCCGTGTAGTTCGAGTGGTCGGCGTCCTGTCGTGTAAGGGGGTCTATTCGAGGACTCCACCGATAACGACACAGATGAGAGTGCAACTTTATATACAGTCGAGAAGAAGAATCTACGGCCCGACTGCGCAGTGTCATCTTGCCTTGACTAACGAGGGTATCAGCTGAAGCAACGGAACTCCGGCTGGGGCTACTTAATTGACGGATTACTGAAAAGTAGCGTCGCGGAAAGAGAAGGAAATCGTGGACGTTGCGCCACTGCATAAAGACCGAAGACTCTCCGCGTAACTTACACCGATCTTGACGCGCTGCATTCGGATCCTCAAACGCGCTCACGTGAGCGACGCGCCGGTGCCACTCACACACTGAAGAGTCGGCACTGAAGAGTCGGAAAGACTGGTGCTTGACGGCGTTCCAAGACTAAACGGTCACATTACAGTACACAAAATCTCGGATCGGTTTGAGAGGGAGCGTTGTCACAATGTGCGCTAAAAGTTGTGCAGTTGAGGGTGCAGCGTAATGTACATGAGCTTCTGGGACTCTTCCCACGTGTTACGCGCAGGACGTACATACAACTCACCCTCAGTCAATCCAAGGAGCACAGTGATGTACAACACGCATCTGTACGAGTCCTCAGCCCAGAGCATTGAATTCATAGCGTTCGACAGCGACCTGTACAACAAACGAGCAAGCCCTATAGCTCGTAGATACGAATCATATATTACACTATCATAGCCCTGCCCGAAAGATCAGTCGAGCTCGTCGATTTCCATATCACGCGCGAAGAGCATGTCATCATCGAATTCGCGCGCCATGAGCATTTCATCATCGAATTCGCGCGCCATGAGCTCGTCGCTTTCGAAACCGCGCATGAAGAGCTCCGGCTCCTCTTCGAAGGCACGGACAAGGACGGGGTCTTCACGGAGGAAGTGGAGGAGACCCTTGGCGATACCACCAACGACTTTACCGGCAGTGCGGAGGCCCTTCTTGCTACGCGCCTCAAGTTCGCCGCTGATGTCGCGAGTGTAGAGGCTCTCGTCCTCGAAGGAGCGAGCGTACAGTTCGGGGTCATCTTCGCGCAGGAAGTGGAGGAGGCCTTTGGCAACACCGCCAAGGACCTTCCCGGCAGTTTTGAGGCCCTTCTTGCTACGTGCCTCAAGTTCGCCGTTGGTATCGCGAGCGTAGAGGCCCTCGTCCTCGAAGGAGCGAGCGTACAGTTCAGGGCTGTCTTCACGGAGGAAGTGGGGGCGGCCTTTGACAACACCGCCAAAGAGTTTCCCGCCCTTGCCACGCGCCTCAAGTTCGCCGTTGGTGTCGCGAGTGACAAACTCAGCACTGGAGGAAATGGAGCGTCAACAAGGCATTCCAGGCCAAATGTGGATCGACTTACGACGTGATGGGGGCGGCAAAGGATGGTGCTGCAGAGGCGGCAGCGAGGATAACAGCGACGGCGACAGTGGTGCGCATGATGATCAAGTGAGTTAGAGCGTAGGGAATGTGGTCGTAAAGACTTGGATGAGGTCGAGCGAGGTCGTGAAAGTGAATGCAATAAGATCAAACAAGCAAGGCTACGGTGGACGTATACGTACGCCGGGCAATCGAGGAGAAAGAGGCACCATGAGCACGGGCGACGGTTTCACGGAACGGAAGGAGTAGACTCACCAACCAGTACCTGTACTCGAAAAGTCTTGAGCTCTGAGAAAGTGAAAGGGCTGAGAGCTGGGGGACATTGCGGTTCATCAGCCGTGTTATATACAGTGAAGTAAGTTGCTATTGGCAACGTCCAGCCACGAGTTGCTGTGTTCTGCGTGGGGGTAGAACACCCGCCGCATCAATTGGACATGCATCAGGTATGCGCTCGGTGCGTGCAGCGCGGAATGATATGGTGACTCTCGACCCGCTTGATGATCGGCCGGGAACGGCCCATCTCAGCACTGCATCTAGCTCTGCTGCCGTGCGACTGTTGACTTCTTATACTTACATCCCACCGTATCCCACACTTCCACGTCTTCGCCGTGATAAACGACCGCACACTGGGTGCTGATTGCCTCCACTGCGCTACCACCCAGGGGGGGCAGTCTTGCAATATATGCTTCATGTTTGATCAGTTGCTCTCTCTCTCCGAAAGCCTCTCTTCCTGCTGGTCAAGAGTCTACTAGTACCGCATCACAAGCTTGCTATCTCCTAGGTGAGAACCGGGGCAAACAGCTTGACTGACGACCACGTAACGCGAGGCACTTGAGAAGGCCGACAGATTGATGGAGCAGCTGGTACGTTGAGCGACTGTTGTGCCCATGTCATTGTCAGTACCAGACAACAGTCGGACAGTTGGACAGCGAGTCTTTGAACAGTACGCTGCCATGGTGTGCAGCAGTCTGATGAGAAGGTGAACAGATTTCTCCCGAGTTGTCGATGTTGACACTGCCCACTTGTGATGGGACGTGCGCGTTCGCGTTTGGAGAAAGCACACCCTCGAGGGTGGAGGGCACTGGGCGGCGCCGAGCAGAGGATGTAGACTGTACTGTTACAGAGGATCGGGACCATCCCGGTCCGTGTTGATTCTTGAACGACAAATGAAAATCCGGATCACATGTCGGGTCCCGGCACGCACTGCACATTGATCGCCCTCCCGCCACCCGGCCAACGCGTCCACCTCTGAGTATCATGACCAGCCAACTGCTGTCGGCCTGTGGTCGCCGCAGGCTGGACATATAAGCCCAGCGCTGATACGATTCGCTTCCGGCATGCGATATGCGGTGGATGTATTTTTGGGAGAGTGGCATATACGGTAATCCATTGCATCCTCGGTGCGTGAAGTCAATGATTGACAATGACATGGCGCCGGCATCTCGACTCTAGGAAGTAAAAGTGCACATGCTTGAGTCAGTGATAACGCCGCGTTCCTGCGCCAGTACAGTACCTTCATCATTTCATGATCCATGCGTCGTGAGCCTAGCTACGGTACAATTCTGCCCGATTTATACCGTGCACTCTAGCCCAGAGTTTACCGCATTTCGAACTGCAGGCTATGGGTGGTAAGCACCGTCGTACGTACTCGCACACGTTTCACGAGGGCCTCCTGATCGCTGGATCTCCATGCATCGCAGCGCCTGAGCGGAACGCACCTGTGCAGCAAGCCAGACGGCACGGACCACAGTATCTGGCACAGGCGTAGAGCCTGGACGCTAGCGGTGACACATGCACGTCGGTACGTTGTCGGTACCTAGACCAAATTGTGCTGTCCGGATTGGGATGCATTGAGTGAGCCAGTGTTGTTCATGCAACTTCAAGTTCGACGCATCTGGCGGCCCGACACAGACGCAGAACAAGAGTTTGATACCATTTCGCAGCTGCATACTAGATCTATTGCTGGACAGTTGCCAGAACACGGTAATGGCCTCTGAATCAACGTGGGTAGTCACGGAAGCGGTGAGTTTACGGAAGCCGTCGGTTGGCAGGAACCTACCACTCGGCGACGCTTCAAGTTGTCCTTTTCGCCTCCCCTCGCTCCTCTCGCGGGATTGAATTGAGTAGACTGAAATTGCTGATTGCATTCTGAACAGCCTCCTTCGTTCCCGCGCTTTCTTCTTAGGCCGCCTTCCATCGCCGTCTTTCACCTTCAAGTTGACAGTGGCACACTAGATCAGATGCGCCCGTCTCTCAAGTCCTCTAAGGGGCTGGCCGCGCTGCTAAGTATAGCATTACAAATTTAAACGGCAGCCAGACGACAACACCCTCTCCTCTCACGATAATGACAGCGGAATCTTCTCCACATGCCTGAATGGGCAAAACCTTCAATTTCAATGCCTTTCTTCGCTGAGGAGAGGATGATTTCGTTGTGGTGGTGTGTCTTTAGCCTGTACAGGGCCGCCGCCGGCAGCGGGGCACACCTCTACTGCGCGCGAGCAACAGGACTCATGTTCAGGGAGCTTCTGTCATACTTACGGCAAGCACAGGTGGTGTCTCCAGCGACTCTCCGCAGAGACGCCGTCTGTTCGTTGACTTGTAATTCAGCACAAATGGTACGTTGACGCTGACAGATGGGCCCAATGTGACTTCCAGCAGATAGTACGGTTCATACAGGGAACAACGCCGCGATGAGTCGAACACGCGCGAAACCCGGAGCTAACCCACTCAGTGTACAGCTATACGATCCCAAAGCGATTGAGGTCACACCGCCATGCAATTGCGTACTAGTACATACATTGAACTTCTCATTCTTGCCAACCACGGGGTATCAACTAGTATCATACACTTTGCGCCGCAGGTCCGTCTACAGCCCGCTCCACTCGAAACCCTTCTCTATCGCAAACGTCGCTGCGAGCGTCAAGTCCTCCGGCGCGCTGCTCCTGCCAACACGGACGAGGTACTCGCCGTCCTCGACGACCCAGCGCGCGATGCGCTCCTCCCAGTACGACACCGCGTACTTGTCGAGCGTGAGCGTGACGGTCTCACTCGTGCCCGGCGCGAGGTCCTTCACCTTCTTGAACGCCTTGAGCATCACGGGTGCGTGCGTGAGCTCCGACGTGCTCGGCAACGTGATGTAGAGCTGCACGACGTCGGAGCCGATGACCGCGCCTGTGTTCTGGATGGTCACCTTGGCGGTGAGGTTGAAGTCGCCGTTCGAGACCGAAGGCTTCGAGAGCGATAGGGCAGAGTAGCGGAAGGTCGTGTAGGAGAGGCCATAGCTGGGCGAGGTGCGTTAGCGAGCGCTCGCAATTGCAAATGTCGGAGGATCAACTCACCCGAAGTACCACTGCGGCGCGAGCTTGCGATGATGGAAGTGCTTGTAGCCCTGCGACAGCGTCAGCGGACATAAAGCGCGGGTCCGCGTGTTCACATACCACGAATAGGTCCTCCGCATAGCGAACCTTGCCATTTTCCGAGTGGAAGTGGCCATGGCTGCCATAGTCCTCCAGCCGCTTCGCGAACGTGAGCGTCATCCTTCCACTCGGGTTCACCTTCCCTGCAACAACATCGCCGATAGCCTCGCCCGTCGCGTTCCCAAGGTACCACGCATGCACAATCGCGGGGACCTCGTCCGCCCACGGCATCGTGATGCTCGACCCGCTTTGGGTGACGACGACGGTGCGCTTGTTCACCGCGGCGACCTTCGAGACGAGCTCGTCCGTCCGGGGTGGGAGCGCGAGGGTCGTGCGGTCATAGCCCTCCGTCTCCCAGTCCGCGTTGAGACCGACGACGGCGATGACGGCGTCCGCCTCGCGCGCGAGCTGCACGGCCTCGGCCATGAGCACGTCGGGGTCGACGACCTCCTGGCCGCCGAGCCGCACGCCCGGGTTCGAGTCCATGACCGCCTCGTCGGGGTCGTTCGGCGCGGGCGCGCGCACGTTACAGAACTCGACGAGGATGTCGTGCTTGACCCCGGCTTTGAGCTGCACGGTGCCCTTCTCCTCGACGGAGCCTGAGCCGAAGAAGGCGTCACCGCGGAGTTGCTTCGTCCAGTTGTCCACCACGAGCTTGCCGTCGACGAAGAGCTGACAAAGGGTCGTGAGACCGTGATGCGACAGCAAGATCAGTCAGAGCTGACCTTCGCCCGTCCAGCGGATGTCAGGCCAAACTCAAAGAGAGTATCCTTCTCTCGCGGCTTCAGTTGGCCCTTGACCTTGAGCGTCCAGCGCTTCGTGAGTTCCGCCGGGTACGAAGTGCTGTGGCCTAGTCAATCTCCGCACGTTCAACTTCCGAACATCTCCACTCACCTGAAGAACATCCTCGTCTCATCAATATACTGCTCCTCAATCGGGCCGCCCACCGGTGTCATGCTCTCATCGTTCTCATGCTTATACCACTCGCCGATCCATCCCCTGCGCCCGTCCGCGGTGAACATGTCGTAGTCGAGCGACGGCGTGAGCATCGTCGCGCGCGCGCCCTCCGAGAACGTGATCTCCACGTCGGGGTCGAGCGCCTTGAGCGCGGCGACGAGTCCGTCGTGTGGGTTCGTGAAGTAGGACGGCTTGAGCGCCGCGGAACCGCCCCCGCTGATGACGATCGCCTTGGCGTTCCCGCCGACGATCGCGATCTTCTTCAGGCCCTGCTCCTGGGTGAGAGCGGATGAACGGTTGAGCGGGTGGAGCGTGCGAGAGCAGACATACCTTGGGCTTGAGCGGGAGGACACTGCCCTCGTTCTTGAGGAGGACGATGGACTCTGCGGCGAGCCGGCGCATGAGCGTCTTCTCCTCGGGTGTGTCGACCGTGTGCTCTTGGCCGTCGCCGTCAAGGATCTGTGTCGGGTGTCGCAGATTCAGCAGGTGCACTGTGTGGTTGCGGATGCGCTGCGTACCTCCGGTGCTGCCTTGGCGCACTTTTGGACGAGCTCGAGCACCTTCGCGGCGCGTTCCTTGACGGTGCGTTTCATGATCTTCCTGCTCTGAATACTACATGCACAGATACACGTGTCGTCAGCTTCCCGGGTAGCATCTGCATAACTGGTGAGTTGGTACGCACGAGCGGTTCATGAGGTCGAGGGTCCGCCACTTGTTCGTGCCCGGCATCTCGAGGTCGAGACCGGCATTGATCGCATGGTCGATGGAGTACACGCCGAACCTAATGCGCGAGTCAATGTCTCTCCGAGGCAAATGGGTTCGCTGAATGCGCACCAGTCACTCATGACCAGGGCGTCGCTGCCCCATTCCGCGCGCAGGATGTCACGGATGATCTTGGGATTCTCCGAGAGGTGCGTGCCGTTGACGCGGTTGTAGCTAGAAGGGGTGCGAGCAGTCAGCGTGAGAGACTGGGATGGGAGAAATGCGGGTGCAATGGTAGAAGGTAATCAGGGCGTGGTGGCAGGCAGCTTCCACAACAACGCGAGGCATGTATGATATAACACCCTCACATGCGGCATCAACGGTAGACGACGCGGTGACCTCACGCGCGACATAGAGTTGGAATGATATGCTCGAGAAGGCCAACGGTGAGAAGACGTACGCAGTCATGTAGCACCACGGCTTTGCGTGCTTCTCCGCGATCATGAAGGGCATCATGTAGATCTCCCTGAGGGCACGCTCGCTGACGATGGAGTCGTACGCCATCCGGTCGTTCTCCTTGTCGTTGGTGGCAAAGTGCTTGATGCAGGCAGCGATACCGCCCTCCTGGACACCGTTGATGTACGCGGCGGCAATGGTGCCGGATAGGTGAGGGTCCTCTGAGAACGACTCGAAGGAGCGGCCGCCGAGGGGATTGCGCTGGGTGTTGCAGGTGGGACCGAGCCAGACGGAGGCGGCCTTGAGCTTGGCCTCTTGGGCGAGGAGCTTGAGGCCAACCTGGTGCATAAGCTCGGTGTCAAAGGTAGCGGCCATGCCGGTGGCAGAGGGCAGGCACTTGGCGGGGGTGCCCATGAAGAAGTGGTTGCCTCGGATGCCTGCGAGCTGTGAGGTGGTGTGCTCGTGGGTTGGAGAGTCGAGAACATACCGTTCGGGCCATCGCTTGTCTTGAGGGCGGGGATGGAGAGCCTGGGGACGGCATAGGTGTGCCAGAAGCCGACGCCTGCGGTGAGGAGGATGGCCTCGTCTGTGGTGAGCTGCTCGACGACGTCCTGGACGTTCGCCTGTGCAAAGTCGGACGGCGGCATCGTGCGATCAGGGGGATGGGGGGGATCGACGGGAAGGGCGGTGTACACGCTGGGAGGGCGGTCTGGTGAGGTTGGAGGGAGGGAGCATGGCTGGGTCTGTTTAAATTGGGGGTGGCAAGACGCGGAGGACGACTTGGGACGAGCAGATGCACAGACGCGTTTCCGACGTTTCTCCGCCAGCCGGCATTCGGTCCGCCACGTGCCTCCCCGCCCCTTCGCCCGGCCACAGCCTCCGCGTCCCTCCAGTCATTTCCGCCTCTCCTCAGGAACATCGCCACCAATGTGCTCGCCTCCTCAACGCATTCCCGCCGGCAACGACTGCGGTGGCTGGTGCGTGTGATCAACGCGTTCCTTGACATCCATCCGCCACCCCCTTCTCAGCACCCATGCACCTTGGAGCCCAAATGGTTCCATGGCTCGCGCACGAGCATCTACTCGCACCCCTGCGCTTCCCGCCCGCTCGTCGTATATGTATCTGTCGTTGTGGGGCACGGATCTAGTCTGTCAATCTCCCGTTCTGCAATCTGCGATGAGTAGATGAGTATCGCTGCCTCGTGATCCTCGACCACGGGTCGCCGTCTACTCTCTTAGAGCACCACGTACAGTAGATGCATATTCTGAGCTGATACAAATTAGATATATCACAACCACAGCAATACGACCGACATGACAGAGCGAAGAGGATAATTACAAGTCAGATTCAGCGCCACTAGATGCGGTCGTCGTTACGAGACAAGCTGACCAGCCTCGACGCCAATGATGTTGACGTCTCGCTGCAGATGTGGGCCGTTGTCAGCACAAGTCTCAGCGGATCGCAACAAATGCCACCCACCTTACGAGGACAGTCCACAGTCAACCTCTGGCATCCCCACACCTTCACCTCCTTGAGCGACTGACAACTCTCCAACAAGCTCTTGATGACCCAGTCATCCACCTCCCTGCAAAATCCAACATCAAGTGTCTGCAAATTCGGCGCACGTGCTGCGATCGTCTGCAACGACTCCTGCGACGCTGCGGTCCACTGGTTGATGCGCAGATGCTTCAGCGCCGGCCCCGAGTGCTCTAGCAGCGCAAACAGCGCGTCCGCGCCGAGCTGGTGGTCCCGATCCATGTCGAGCACCTCGAGCGGTGGGTTCGGCGTCTTGCCCGCCGTCTGCGCGGTCGCAACCCAGGTATTGAAGAACTCCGCGACACCGGCATTCGTTAGCTCGGGCGTGCCGGCGAGCTTGAGCGAGGTGAGCTTGCGCGTGTGCGGCTTGAGGCCCTTGAAGAGGAACTGATCCGTGATGTCGCCGTTATGAGAGAGGTTGAGGTGCGTGAGCGAGCCCCCGACGGCGGCGATGAGGTCAATGAGGGCCTCTTCGCTCAGTGGATCGGGCCTGGCCGCTGAGCCGGGCCGGGAGATCTCGAGCGAGGTGAGTGTGCCGGCGAGGGGCTTCAACAAGTCGAGGAGCTCGTCGTCCATGAGACCGATCTCGGAGAGACGCAGTTCCTTGAGATTCTTGCAGCTCGAGACGAGGGCGCGCATGCATTCCAGGTCGAAGCGTGGGCTCTGTGTGATGAGGAAGCCTTCTAGTGATGGGTGGGCTCGAAAGAACTCTTGCCATACAGGGGCCCTCACGAGGAAAGGACCGAGAAGCTCGAGACGCTTGAGGTTCGGTAGCGCAGTCTTCCAGTGACGCAGCACTTCGTTGTCGATGCGTCCGCAGAAGTCCAGGCGCAGATGTGTCATATTAGGATTGAGATTGGCCAATGCACAGAGCGCAGGGGCCTCTAAGTCTGTGCTGCCACTTGAGTGACTTGGACGCAGAAGGATTGGGTTTACATACTGGTGACGTCGTACAAGGTCAAACGGGTGTTCTCAACGTCATAGAACAATGGCGCGTTCTGCGCCGTGCTACGAGGGTGTTAGCTACGCGATCCGAAAAGTGCACGCGACAGCATGGCCGACTCACATGCGCCGGCTCTTCGAGATTGTCTTCGCAATTTCGTCCAAATTGAGATTGCCGATATCGCCTAGGGCTTCGACGTCGTCGATGTAATTACCAAGGAGCTGGGGGAGAAATTAGGTATGACAGAGGCAGAAGGATTGGAGGAATACCCCTTACATCTATGCATAGCGATACCAGACTCGGGAACTTCTTCTCCTCGAAGTAGACCACCACACGCTTATCGGTAGGTGCTTTGCGTTTCCTCGGTGCTGCTGGCTTTTTGAACGGGTCCGAGCCGCCGGATTTCGCGCACGGATGGCAGAGCCATCCCGGTGGGGGGTTCGCTGCAAGCGTATACTTCGTCTACAACACCAAAAAAAGAAAACTCAACTCTCGTCGCGTCACGGAACAACACCACGAGCGCGACGCACCACTGTGAACTGCGTCTTGCACTTGGCGCACTTCTCGAAGCTCCCGATGGGCGGCTTCGGCAGGTCGCCCTTCCACATCTTTGAGAGCGCGTTGTACGGGTCGTCATCCGAGTCCTCGTAGTCATCGTCGTCATCGTCGCCCCTTTTCTTTGTCTTCTTCTTGGCCTTGGCTTTCTCCTTAGCCTTGAGCTTTGCCTCCGCGGCCTTGGACAGCTTGCGCTTCTTCGGCGCGGGTGTCTCCTCTTCCTCCGGTTCGTCTAGGTTGTCAGAGTCGTAATCGTCTCCGTTCTGGAGGACGTTGGGTGAGATGTATGCGGCGCGCTGGCCTATGGCCGTGCGGTGCGTTACTCACCTCGGCTGCCCCGCGCTCCTCCCGGTTCCCGTTAGCGGGTTGGTCCTGGTCCTGTCCCGCTGTGCTAGGCCCCGCTTCGGGCTGGTCTGGGTTCTCAGCTTGGTTCCGAGTCCTTGTCCGGCGAGCTATCGTCGTCGGGGTAATGCCCGACTCCTATATTGTGGCGTGAGCCTCAGGCTACTACAACGACGCACAAGAAGTGGGAACTCACCCGTAGGAAGTCCGTCAGCGCGGACGTTGGCCCGCGGACATTGTTAGCTCTGCGGCTCATGTGAAGTGGTCGACGCAGTCTTTGTCCTTGCCGGTGTCGGTGTTGGGTTGGAAAGAGGGTCAAGGCGGGTCACGGTCACGACGCGTCTCATTTAAAACCAAACACGTCCAAATAACGCGGTCCCGGCGCGTGCGCCGAATCATCCTCTCCTTTCTGGGTAATTGGCCACATGCCGGCCACAAATGGGCTCGATGAGTCGAATACCACCCGCGGACCACGGTCGGCTGATAGCATTGATGAGAATGTTCTTGTTGATCATGAGACTTGCTCCTCTTCCCGCCCATCGTGAATTGCCTAGTATTCTGACCACTGGCAGTACCGGCCGATCTACAGTACATACAGTATTGGGCTCTGAGATGGACGGAGGGTTCATGAACATAGATTATTCGTTAACAGATGTGCTCTTTCGACCAGGACATAACACAATAAGGAAGAGAGGATACAGGTGTTCTCATTCTACTATAGCTATCTTCTCGGGCTACGCCAGTACTTACAGTACCGGCAAATTGCCCGGACGCCCTAGCCATACAGTAAGCATTGACTCGTACACTAGGTAAGAATGCATCAGCACATTCACGACTACAGCAACAAACACGCAAGCTACTCCAACACGGCGAAAGAGTCACAGCAACACACTATCACAGTAACGCTATATATCATCTAAACTGCGTCCCATGCACGTCTGCTCATGCGGGCATCACTTCGTCTTCCCGTTCGTGGGTATCGCATGTAGCGTCGGCACTCCGCCGCTCCCTGTCCGCATATGGGACTGGACGTTCTCCTTCGCCGTCGAGCTCGTGGGCACAGGTGTCGTGAGCTTCGGCACTGGGACAACGCGGTCGAGGTCCGCGCCGAGGCCACTCATGCTCTGCGGACTTGTGGGATCCGTATCGACAGGCTTCATCGCGTCCGCGTTTGAGTCTTTCATGGGCTGTTTGCCCGCAGACCTGCTGCCCTCGGTATGTTTCCGGCGCCGCTCCTCCTCTTGCCGTCGCATGACATCGATCTCACCCTGTACCACGACGTCTTCGAGCCACTTGTGGTGAATGAGCTCGCTGGCGGGTGCACGCTTGTCGGGGTGCAAGCGGAGCATGGGAGTAAGGAAGGAGGCAATAAGGTCTGCTTCTTCCTTAGGGAGCAGATATTTGTCGTGTAGGACCGCGTCTAGTGGCCAGAACCGCAACTTCTGGATGTGTCGCAGCTCACCTGAAATGGGGCAGATTAGCAAATTGCACAGTAGAGATCAGAGCCGACACACCTTTCCGATTAAAGAAGTCTGAGCTATACTTGCCTGAAAAGGCGATACTCTTCGGGATCTCGCCCATAAGTTCCATGATCTGGGCCATATGGTCGTCATCCTTGCTGTACCGTGACCCGGACGCTGGATCAAAGAGATAGTCGCCACCGGTCAGCAGCTCAAAGATCTGCGGGCGAATGTGTTAAAAGCAGCCACGAATGTTGAAGCGGTCTACTGACGATGCAGGCCACACTCCAGATGTCCGCACTTGGTCCCCACTTCGCGCCGAGGATCACTTCCGGACACCGGTATTGTCGTGTCTGGATATCATCCGTGAAGTGATGCTCGACCCAAGTCGCTGAAAGCTACCGTCAGGTCCCGCCCGAGAGTCAAATCGTCAAAATCAAGACGCACCGTTACCCAAATCGGCAATCTTGACGGTGATCTTCTCCATCCCTTCCATAGCCGGCATCGCTGGGTCCACTGACATCGCGCTCTCGCCTGTAGGCGGGACCGTCATGCCCCCAGACAAATTGTTCGCCTCCAACGAGTACGGTGGTGGTGGCGGATGGCCGCTCGATCCAGGTATCGGCTGTGCGCCAGACTCACCAGGTATCGGTACCTCTGCGGGAGGTGCAAGTCCTGGCGCCCGTGCCCGCGAGGCAAGTGCCTGCTGCGACAGTAACGACAGCCCTGGTGCTGACGACTTCGCCTTCTCCGGGCGGGTCTTCTCGCCAAACGGCGAGGTGTTCAAGTTGACGCCCGACATGCGCTCAGCCGCCTGCTCTGTCGAGTCTGCGCGTTTCGAGATCTCCTTGACATCAATACTCCCCGAAGGGCTCCCGGGGCCGCTCACAGCGCCGTCTGCCTCTATTTTGCTCATACCGAATGACCATCGGTCCAGGTGTGAGGTAGAGCCGAAGGATGATGATGGTGAGGGGAGTGGTTGAGATCCGGTAATGAAAATGGACTCTGAACGCGGCGTCTGGTTCCCACCACGGCCGCGTGAAGGCGGGACACCGACCAGCCGTGTTGGCGGGGGTGTTGCGGAAGCAGACTGCGCGGCAAGCTCAGCCTCGATTATCGACTCGACATCATCTATGGAGATGAGGACGTTCTCGGGCTTGAGGTCTGCGGAAGATCCGATGAGTGAACGCTCCGGATCAACAGGTCACCCGATGCAAAGGGGTAGGAGCCTCCGTTCTCCATGCCCGTCACTTTAGGCAAGACGAGTCGGGCATGAACACGACGGGCGACCCGTTGAGAGAGCACTCGATGGCAGCGCGCCGACAATAGCCCGCTCAACGACCGCTGAATGAACCCACGCACTCACCCGTGTGAATGACGCCGCAGCAGCGGTGCATGTAATCGAGACCGAGGAGGATCTGCTTCGCAATTTGCTTGACGAGGGGCATCGGGACACCCTTGTTCTGATGCCGCTTGATGAGCCCCAGCAGGTTCTCGCCGAGCACCTCGAAGACCATGCAGACATGGGTGCCGTTGGGCCCTTTGTGTCGGAAATGGTCTAGAAAAGAAATGACATGGGAACGTCCCGGGTGTGTCTGGGACGGCGATGGCGGTGGAATCGGGTTGTCGGGGGTAGGCTGCACGGAGGGAGAAGAGGAAGTGATGAGTCGCTGGAGCAGCTTGATCTCGTCGAGAGCAGTCTCCGTATAGCGTGGTGCGGATTTGACGACTTTGAGGGCGACATGACGGTTCAATCTGGGCGGCGATGAGACGGTGAGTTCGGAGAGGCAGCGCGAGCACGTACTTTGCGTCCTTCGCGAGCCAGACGGTGGAGAAATGGCCCCAGCCGAGCTTGCGGACGACGGTGTAGCGGGCGTCGGAAAAGGTGTCGCCGATGTGGACGGGGTGGTAACCGCCCTTCACGTAGTCCTCCCAGTCCTCCTCGTCCTCGGTCATGACAGAGTGAGAGTGAGAGGAATCGTATGAACCGGCGTGTGACATCTTTGAACGGGTCGACTGTGATGAGAGATAAGCACACTCGCGGGGGCGGCTAGCAAGATAAGGGCCCACCTACTCCGTCCGACCTTGCTTGCGGCTTCGCGGCGGGTGCTGTGTACGGCTTGCGGCAGTGCGGGGGACGTGCTGGCGGGGCTGGACGACGGGGCAGGCGGCGAGGAGAGTGGTTTGGTCGATGAACACGCCGCTGCACTAACGTGCGCCAGGGGTGGCCCAATCAGGGAGTCTCCTTTCGAAAGAAAGGCTCGCAACTTCTGCTGACTCAGCCGCCCAATCCCGATAGCCGCGGAATTCAACCGGCCTCGATCGAGATCTCCCCATATATGGCAGGGCACTATGTTCACCTCCCTCGGCCCGGCTTCGTGCCTTCCTCAACCTAGGCTTTCTGCGGCACACCGCCGTCTGAGGCCTCCCATATGTCTCGGTGTCGGATCCAGTGCACAGGCTTCCGCCGCTTCCGGACCGGCCGTGTTGTCTCAACAAGCAAATTACCTTCCCACTCAAAGTCCGAGTGGCACTTAGTCACCATGAGGTCACCCGGATGTCCGTGTCCGCCGTCTCCCACATAATATACGCTCTGTACAGCTGCAGTCGCGTCGCTCACAACGGCACACTGCGATATGGCCCTCTCCCCGAAGAAGATGCAATACGGTGCGATCGCTGTCAGGACTCGCAGCGACAGTATGTTGATGCTTGACTACTAGTGCGCCTCGGCAACTCCGGGCTCAAAGTCTCGAAGATCATCCTCGGGACGATGCAGTACGGCAGTTCAGGCTGGGCTGACTGGGTCATCGATGACGAGGAGGAGGCCATCCGGCATATCAAGTATGCGTAAGTCACCCCGTCACACCCACCATCATCGAGCGGTCTCCTAACGTTGGTGGGCAATAGGTACGATGCCGGTATCCAGACGTTCGATACAGCAAATGTACCCAAGAACGTTATCTCCACAGCGTTTCAAATTCATATATGTGGTCCTAGGTTTATTCGAACGGTCTTTCCGAAGTCATTCTTGGCAAAGCTATCAAGAAATTAAACCTTCCTCGCGAGGAGATTGTTGTCATGACCAAGGTAAGTTACTACGGCACTGTACCATTTTGCATGCATGTGTTGAACGCATTCCTACATAGGTCTTCAACCCAGTGTTGCCCCGGTACGACGCCAAGTTCGGTGGCGCGGGCGTAACTCGGGACGATTTCAAGCTCGTTAACCAGAGCGGGCTCAGTCGCAAGGCAAGTACATACTTTGACGCCGCTCTATGTTGTCGTGCTCACTATGATATATGCTCCAGCACATCTTCGATTCAATCAAGGCCAGCTTGGAGCGCCTACAGCTTGACTACGTTGATCTGTTTCAATGTACGTCTGTATAGTCTGGGACTCATTATCGACAGTATAGTGACCAGACATTTTTATGTTCCTCAGGCCATCGCTTCGACTACAACACACCGATTGAGGAGACGGTAGGACCGATTTTCGACAAAGAAGAAGACTGTACTGACTGTATCTTCTCAGATGCAAGCGCTGCACGACGTCGTGAAGGCGGGCTACGCCCGCTACATTGGCATGAGTTCTTGCTACGCGTACCAATGTATGTCTTTGATGCTCTTATATCATCTCAAGTTCATCTCTGACGCACCCATTCTTAGTCCATGCCATGCAGAGTACGTTGGCCTGAACTGATAAAATGCACAGTCCGACTGAGCTGTCAATAGACTACGCCGTCAACAACAACCTCACGCCCTTCATTTCGATGCAGAACCAGTACAGCCTGGTCTATCGCGAGGAGGAGCGGGAGATGTTCCCGACACTCAAGGTACTGTAATCCGCTTGTTACACTTTCAGTTGATCTTTTGACGAGAGTGCACAGCTGTTTGGTGTGGGGTCAATCCCATGGTCTCCCCTCGCACGTGGGCTGCTCACCCGGCCGCTGACCGAGAAGTCGAAGCGTGGCGATACCGACTGGTTCTTGCCACAATACAAGGCTTCGGGTACATCTGATATCGTTTCACAGTACGCCTTCATCCTATTCAATCGAAGTATCAACGATTCCCAACAGTATACAGCGTCGAGGAGATCGCGAAGAAGAAAGGCGTTAGCATGGCACAGATCGCGATGGCGTGGTGCATGTCTAAGCCGGGTGTCACTGCGCCGATTGTGGGCACGACGAGTCTCGACAAGCTGAAGGATATTCTCGGTGAGTGGGCATTTCTGAGCCTCCGCTTCCGATGACGAGCGACTTGCTGAGCCCCATGCGATGATAGGCGCACTCGATGTGCAGTTGACGGAGGAAGAGATCAAGTATCTGGAGGAGCCGTACACAGCCCAACCAATCATCGGACAGCTCTAAGCAGTCTGCGTGGGACACGGAAAAAAGACCTATGCTGTATGATATAGTCGGCGACTGTAACATTGTAAGTTTTAGCATTGTCCAATGGGATTGTCAACGAGATAGCACATCATCGGCCATCGGGACGGACCCGCAGTGGAAAAAACACTCAGTACTCAAGACAATGTAATGACAAGCTCGAGATTGACTACACCAAGCATCTCCGAAGGGGCTAAAGCGGCCATGAAGAGGTGCTGCGCCTCACAGCTGATGCACACTGCAGGGTGACAATTGTACTCGAGGATATGCAACCCCCGACCCGCTTCTTCAGGGCCGTATGGAAGATTTTTGCAAGAGTTGTAGAGCGCAATTATTCTTCGGGAGATGCGCGCCTTAGGGCCGCCGTCTAGCAGAGGTCAAAGTTCACAGATCTGCGCATCGTGTGAGTATGGGCGAATTCATGCGCATTCTGCTGTCCTAGTGTGGCATAACGAAGCAAAGCGGATTCGGTGGGGTTCGCTTGATGTAGAGCGAAAGTGCCGAGCAACTCGCAGGGGTCACACTTGGGCGAGCATGATTGGATGGAGGGAGACGCGAAGGGCGGGTACGCGAACACATGAGCAGCACGTGGGCGCGTCGCGGCTGGGAGCGTGTTGGGATTCCGAGTTTGCGAAGGCGTTGGCGTTGTGGGCGCGCCCCTCCGCCCCTTCACCCCATCACGCTGTACACTATTTCAACTTCCCCGGTCTCCTTCTCTCCTTCACCGCGCTCGCCGTCGTCTGCCACGACCCCCGCCACGTTCACGACCCCACCCTGTCTCGCCATGTACCACCCTCTCCCCCTCCCCCGCCTCCACTCTCGCAAGCACCCTCGCGTCGACCCTTGTGCCGTCAGCAACGCCCGCGCCACTGAGCGCAACTCGTCGCCCCCTCGCTGTGGCCCGCGCTTCCCAGCCCCTGCCGGCTGCACGACCAAGAAGGCGCCGCCAACTCTGTCCGTCTCCAACACCAACGCCTCGCGCTCTGGAGTGGCCCCCGTCGCGTTCCCCAGCGACATCCCAGAGCCACCGTCGCAGAGTATCATCCCCTTCCCGTCGGCTCCCATTGACTTCCCGGTGCGTCGTGCTGACAAGCAAGACGGCCTCGACGCGTGCCCTGAGCCCGAACAGCGGGACGGGGACGAACAGAATGTGCCAACCGGGGACAAAGCGGAGATCCGTCGTGACATTGACTGGCGACGTGTCCGTCGTAGGTGCACGCAGTCCTGCATTGCCAGCTCGTGTGCACCTACCGAATCCTTCTCCAAGGAAGGCCCCCAAGCTCCGCGTCGTCCATTTGTCGCCATCCCTGTCAACAATCACCCCGAACCGGACACGCCAGACGCGAAGGCGGACCCGAACGTCCCGCACCACCGTACGCGGCGCCACAGTGTCTCCGCCGGCTGTGGGCCGTTCCGACCGACCCCTCGACGCGCGCGCAAGGTGAAGAAGCCGACGGCGGACACGCAGTACCTCGCAGTAGTGCATAGGAGCATTGCCTGGCATGCACGCGGTGCGCGCGAGCTAAGGGGCGAGTTGAGTGCGTGTATCGAGCAGGATGTGGAACTCGCGACGCGACTTTGGAGGGCCTTGGCGGATAGAGGCTGTCGGCCTACGTCTTTCAAGTCGGTGGCCCCATCGCCGACCCCTATCGCGGACAAGTTTGCTCGTTCCGTTCCAACCTCTCGATCTATGGAGAACCCGACGACAGACGAACTCGCGGATGCTCAGCCGACCTCACCGGTCCCGAAGATCCCTGACCAGCTTGGACCGTCCTCTGCTCCGAGCGTCATGACTATGCCACAGCTTGTCGCGTCCATGACCCTGCGCTTCCGGGACCGCTCATCGGCGAGACCACGTTCAGCGGTATGTTTTACGAGCAAGGACGGGGAAGAGGACAAACCGCTGCGACCGCGTTCTGCTCTGGGCCACGTGGTGTTCTCGAGTGGCGAGGGCGAGGAGGTCGCGGGTGCGAATTGAGTCTCGCAGTTCATGCTCGATCACCTAGTACTCTTCACACTTGCATGGGTTCTTCTCCCGGCGAGGCCAAGTCTCATCCCTGACCATCATGAGCACGCAGTGCGTGCGTATGCCAGCATGCCTCTTTACGACAGAACCATAGAATGGTTCGAATTCCTTATGTTTCACGATCACGGACTCTTTCAGGATAGCTCAAAACCCACATTCATTTCGTCCTCTCACGCATCTCCGACCTCGCTCATGTCCGCACTCATCTCCTCCCATATCTCTTGCATATCACCATACTCGCATCCTTCATCCGTCCCTAGTCGCATTCTATCCTCCAGTGCCTGTAGCCTACACATATGGTCGTCGTCTCCCGTCATCTGTATATACTGCAGGAATTTCTAACCCGTCACGCCGAGATCCTGTGTTGCTGAAGCCACTGCATGCTCACGTTCGACGCGTACCACTCGCTCAAAGATTAGTTGGCGTGTCAATCACGTGGGCGCGAAATCACACAGGCGTCTATGGCATTGGCTTACATCTCCTCCAAGTCGTCAGTGCAATTAGTCCCCTGAGTCCGTCAATGAGAGTACAAATGTAGTGCACTTGTATCCACTGATGGACAGTGAAGGAGGAGCTCGTTGAAGTGCTGACGATGTTGCGAGCGGCGTGGTGAAACTGACACAAATATGAAGACACTGTAACTGCCTGCGTCGCGTTACAGTCCTATGCACTGCAGCTTGCCAGTGGCCGGCCACCAATATATACCCACATCGTGCTCCGCCTTGATCAACGCATAGCATATTCTTTGACACCCCTCACCTGCCCCCTCTACTATGCGGGTACCGGGTCTGTCCTTCGACACCCGCCGGATGAGCCGCCTCCGCTTCCCTAGTATACATATCGTCCCCGGCATCCCGCCCCGGTCGCTTTTCGCAACCATGATGTTCTGCGGCAGGATGTCGCCGTGGGCCATGCCATAGCGTGGTATGTACTGTACGGCCGCGATTCTGGCAGCCTCGGTCAATCGTCGTACTCTTGCCAACTGTCAAGATCGCTGGCACTGACAAATGACGTAGCTCAACTGGGAGCAAGCCCCACGTCCTCTCCGAGTTCCGCATAGTACTGTAGCGTGCTATAAAGCTGGGTGCGGATTCAATTCATTGAGATACCTTTGACGTCTTACCGGTACCTACACAACGTTCGTGCAGCGACGTTCCGAAATGTCTGTCCAGAATAAATCCATGCCATACGGTGCGTGTGAGCCTAAGAGATCTCACCAAGCTTCTCGTTCGCTCATTCTTCTCCATCCTAGCGCGCCTGGGAAAGTCGGGCTTGAAAGTATCGAAAATCATCCTGGGATGCATGTCGTACGGTAGCAAAGGCTGGAACGAATGGGTCATCGAAGACCAAGAGGAGGCCAATAGGCACATCAAGTATGCGTACGTCGTCAAATGTCTAGAAAAAGGGTCTTGTCAAGCTCAGCACGATGACAGCTATGATCATGGCATACAGACCTTCGATACAGCAAACGTACGTCCTGCCACTTCAGCTCGTCGCCAGGCTTGTGACTGGATGAACCGGGATTCAAGATGTACTCCAACGGCCTTTCCGAGGTCATGCTAGGTAGAGCAATCAAGGAATTGCAGCTGCCGCGTGAGGAACTGGTTATTATGACGAAGGTAGGTCTATACGAACTGGGTCTACTTCCTTGTCTATGCCAACTGCATTCAGCTCTGGGGCGCCGTGGCGCCCAAATATGACATGAACATCATTGGAACGAAGACCGAGGACTACGGGGTGATCAATCAGAAGGGCTTGAACCGCAAGGTGCGCGCGGACAATGCCCCCGCCCCCGGGGCAATGCAGCAAGACATGTCTGGCTGACGTCGCACAATATCCAGCACATCTTCGACTCTGTGAAGGCGAGCCTCGAGCGACTGCAGGTCGATCACATCGATCTCCTACAGTGTGAGTTTCGTGGTCATGGTTTACACAGATCGGGGTCTCCCTGATGCATCGTCCGTTTAGGCCATAGGTTTGACTATGACACGCCCATTGAGGAGACGGTCAGTCGTTGGTGGAACACACGTTGAATGAATGCTTACGCGATCCAGATGCAAGCCCTTGACGACGTTGTGAAAGCCGGCTATGTGCGGTATATCGGCGCGAGTTCATGCTATGCATACCAATGTACGTTCTTCATTTCATGAGCGGAGCATATCTATGACAAACCACCTGAATAGTCCATGCTATGCAGAGTAAGTCCCAGCCCGCGGTATCCAGTCCGAGAGGAAACTCAGTAGCATGATGGCCGTAGATTACGCTATTGCGAACAGATTGACACCATTCATCTCTATGCAGAACCACCACTGCCTCGTCTACCGCGAGGAAGAGCGGGAGATGTTCCCTACGCTGAAGGTGTGGTCGACACTTCTATGGGTGGTTGTTCGTTCTGATTTTCAGATTAGATGCTCGGCGTGGGTGCCCTGCCGTGGTCACCCCTAGCACGAGGATTCCTCACTCGCCCCCTATCGGCACAGACTAAGCGAGGGAAAACCGATAAGTCAGTTTTCCAAACTCAATACCTATTGCTCTGTCATTCACGCAGAACTTCTTTCCACAGATGGGCGGAAACTTACAGAACATTCCCGGGCACCCCTGAGATCGTGAACCGGTGCGTATGTTCTGAACAATCACATATATTTTATGGACTCTTGGTCGCGTGCAGGGTTGCAGAACTGGCGGAGAAGAAAGGTGTCAGCATGGCGCAGGTCGCCCTGGGATGGAGCCTCTCGAAGGACGGTCAGTCCCTACCTGCGTGAGATACTGTACAGACCCTTATTCAGCCTTTCACAGACGTCACCGCGCCCATTATAGGCACGACAAGCCTGAAGAATCTGGAAGACATCCTAGGTGAGTTCTTCGTCCGAGTGAACGCGGATCGATACATTATCCAGGACACTCGGAGGTCTATTTCTGATGTAGCTGACGAGACTGGATGATCACAGGCGCTCTCAACGTCGAATTAACATCGGACGAAATTGCATACCTCGAGGAGCCGTACAAGCCAGTTGCTGTTTGGGAACATGTGTGAGGCTGGCTAGAGTCATGGACGTGGGTATGTCATGTCGTTTATGCAGCATCAACGCGAGCACACCTCTCTGAATAAAGTCAGTATTATGACCGTGCGTGTCAGTGAAATTCAGCTAAATAAGTATGTGTCATGGCCGCTGGACCGATGCGCGCGACGGTGTGGCTGTCGAGTCGACAGTCGCTGATTTGGTTGACTGGAAATGAGAATGTACTGCAACGGGTAGATCCGTACGACTCTCGGCGAAGTACTAGTGCTGCCAGGGAGAACGACAGCGCGAGCGAGTTGCGGTGGAAGACAAGGTGCGAGGTGTCCATGACTCCATCGTCCGTGGTGCTGGCCACAAGGCCGCCGGTGTACACACGGCGGGTGCATCGCGTGGAACAATCATTTGGGCGGCGTCTGACTTTTGGTCCGACCTCGGATGTTGAGTTTGACGCCACAACTTGCATTCCGCCACGACGCTGCCACATCCGACACGACTGACTCTTGCATACGACTTGACTGGCCCTCAGTTCACAAAAATGCTCGACTCATGAGTCATGAAGCGCCGTTACGCATGCCAGCATTGACCCCGTTGAGGCGAGAAATGCCGGTTCGCGCAGAATGCTGGTGAGGGATGTATTCTATATGCTGCCCCGAGACCGCATGACCATTCACGCTGCCTAGAGAAAGAAACGAGCTTCCGATGGCCGCCGCCATCCAGAGATCGTGCCGCTCTACCATACCTTGCTACGGTGCCGCCGGAACATCTGTCAGACAGAGAAGTCGTCGCGATCATGATCGACTTGCCCAGGTTGAGTTCGCTACATAGGTTTGTGTGGTCTTTTCCCTCTCTGACCACCCGGCGTCGACGGGATGCCGTTCTCTGCGTGTCCTACTGAATGCTCGTTGCTGACAATGACTCGGGATACGGCTTGTGGATGGCTCTCTGAACGGCCTGATCGTCCCACCACAGTAGATGTAAGCCGCACCGTGTTACCTCTGGGCCCTCGATACCGCGTGGTCATGGCTGACCAGACTGTCCTCGGCGCACTCACCGCCTTATGCTGTACTTGGTGACGCTGTCATTTCTTCTTGTGCATGCGGTGCGTGGCAGCTCAGCTTCATTGTTGCATTTAACTCCAAGAGGTGCTTTCGGTGGCAGACCAACAACTCGGCAACACCTATACCATAGTCGAAGGATGTTCGACTCGACCGAGCCGAGGACATCCGGTGCTTCTCCGTCTCAATGCCGGCGGATGTTCACTTCATTCCAGCCGGCTTATCTCGAGCACTTATCTCTGGTGGTTCGTGCTTCTGGCTTCTACAGAGGAAGTCGCATGGGCTACGACTGATCACGTTTGCGTTTGCTGACCCGAGGCCGCACGGCTGGTACACACGTCCGCTCACCATGAGTCCGCGCGGCGCCGTCATCGAGGATCACAGTCGTGCTGTCGTCCCGCCGCGCCTTGAACACACCTCCATATGATCGCCTTGATGCGTTCCCAAAGACGGCATACTTACGCAGCTTGTTCCGCCCGTTTTCGGCAAGTGAAGGCAACCATATCGCGCTCTTTGCTGCTGTGGTGCTTCTCTGTACGAAGAATGCTTACCACGCGCTAGCTATCTTGGCAATGAAGAAGGCCCACGCCTATAAGAGCACGCCCTCGCCGCTCCATCCCATCATCCCGCAGGGTGTTCCCCACCTCGAGTACCGCGGAGAGCTGATCCACCACGATGATTGCTACTGGCCTCCTCCTCACCTCGCTCTTCACACTTGGCCTGAGCAAGCCCGTGGCGCGCAGTCTCCGCCTGCACGAGGCCCGGTCGACCATCCCGACGGGATTCTCGCACGTACGCTCTGCCGACGCAGACACCGTGCTCAACCTCCGCCTCGGTCTCGTGAGCAGCAACGTTGACCAGCTCGTCGAGACCCTGTATGATGTCAGCACGCCGTCAAGCCAGAACTATGGCCAGCACCTCTCGAGGTCCGAGGTCAGCACCACGCCATGCCTCATTAACCGCATAACTCACCACTGACCTGATGACAGGCGGCAGCCTTCCTATCGCCGTCGTCCGAGTCCCTCGAAGCGGTGAATGCGTGGCTGAACGAGAACAACCTCACCGCGCAGTCCATCTCGCCGGCCGGTGACTGGCTCGCCATTTCCGTCCCCGTCAGCCAGGCGAACGAGATGCTTGATGCCGACTTCTCGGTGTTCACGCACGAAGCAACGGGCGTTCAGAGCATACGCGCCCTCCAGTACTCCATCCCGACGGACCTTGCCGGCCACCTGCAGCTGGTCCACCCGACAACCACGTTCACGCAGCCCACCTCGCCTAAACTGCCTCTCAACGCGAAGCGTGTCTCTGCTTCAGCGATGGAGAAACGGCAGTCGTCGTGCAGCGGCAATGTTGACCCCGCGTGTCTCCAAGAACTCTACGGTATTCCGACGACTGCGGCTGCAAACGCTGATCCTATCGTGGTGACTGGGTACGATGATCAATATCCGAGCAACACGGACATGAGTGTAAGCTTTCCTACTATTCCTTGTAGCGCCTCCCTGCTGATATGATAGATGGAACCATAGGACTTCCTGTCCCAATACCGCACAGACATCGCTTCTTCCACTACCTGGACCATAGTGGAGCTCGACGGCGGCTCTGACGACCCCAGCGACCCTGGCGATGAGGCAGTAAGTCCCGCGCTTTGTGAAGAATGCATGAGACTCAGCTTCGTTTCCAGAACCTCGACGTGCAGTACACAGTCGGCCTCGCCACGGGCGTTCCTGTGTACTTCATCTCTGTTGGTGAAAATGCCAATGATGGTGTCTTCGGCTTCTTGGACACGGTCAACTACGTTCTGTCCAACCTGAGCGACGCTTACGTCGTGACGACCTCCTATGGCTCCAACGAAGCGGACATTTCTACGGGCGTGTTTAGGTGAGCATGGGCGCTTGTATGCACATATCTGCTGACGAACATGCATCCATCAGCAAACTCTGCGATGCATACGCGTCGCTTGGAACCGCGGGCATCTCGGTATTGTTTGCTTCTGGAGACGGCGGTGTCTCAGGCTCCCAGAGCTCGTCTTGCACCGACTTCGTCCCTACGTTCCCGTCTGGCTGCCCCTAGTGAGCATCTCAACTTCCAGTCGCGATGAGACTCACGCTGACCATTGGCGCGCATTAGTGTTACGTCCGTGGGCGCGACGACCGGTACCAGTCCCGAGACGGCCGCAGATTTCTCTTCTGGCGGGTTCTCGAATGTCTACGCTACCCCCTCCTTCCAGACCTCTGCGGTCTCTTCGTACCTCTCCTACCTGGGAAGCACCAACAGCGGATTGTACAATACCTCTGGCCGTGGTTTCCCCGACGTTTCCACCCAGGGCGAGAACTTCCTCATCGGGTACGAGGGCTCCTTCTACACCGTCAGCGGAACGAGCTGCTCGAGCCCGACCTTTGCGAGCGTTGTCGCGCTGCTCAATGATAAACTGCTGAGCGCAGGGAAGAGCCGACTCGGGTGGTTGAACCCTTGGCTGTACGAGAACTCGGGTGCTCTGAACGATGTAACCAGCGGCGACAACCCGGGATGCAGTACCAACGGTTTCACTGCCACGACCGGTTGGGACCCGGTATGTGTTGTGTTTCACGCAGTGCGATGGACGACCAGCTACTCACCTCGCGTTCACAGGTGACGGGTCTTGGTACGCCGAACTTTGCCGCGCTGTTGACTGCTGCCGGCGTGTAAAGCATTCATGAATGTTTGATCACGGTATAACGAACGGTTGATACGAACAATTGGTCTGAACATTTCTCGGTTACTGTCGCTCCTAGCTGTGAATAGCTAAATACGCGGACACTGTAAGGATTGTAGGACTGGTGGGGAATGAAATGTATGACGGTATGATTGGTTTATGCCCCTACTAGGGCTTACCCGTTTGCAGAGTGATTCGTTTCTGAAAGCACTGTGGGAGAGATCAGGTCATAGGTTCGCTACTTACGTATCGTTCGCTACCGTAGGCATTTCTGATGAGTAGCGTGAAGCCGTAAGAAAGCCACAATCAAACAAGGTAGGGTCTTGTGTGCGACTTCCACGGGCGATGCGAGTGTTGCGCACACCGCAGGTGACTTCAATGCGCCTTCAACCGATGCGTGTCGTTGAAAGGAGGGCCGAAACGTCTGCCTTTGTTCTACCAGGGCAAGGGCAGTTGAAGCGGGAGCAGAGCTCATGTCTGGGCCCTCGACCAGCGAGGACGCAGAGGTCAAGTAGTACCGTGACCGACGCGTCGCGCGGCACTGGGCGCCAGCGCCCCCGCCTTGCCTAATATGGATACATCCGGGTGCCGAATGCGGGTGTGCCTCTGCCCTTGCATGGCTCTCTCATGAGAGTTCAGTTCTGCCTGACGCGCCCTCGCGGCAACTGCTGGTCTTCCTCCATCACCGTCGCACAGCGACGTGGACGCCCGACCGATGCCTTCGCAGCCACAGAAAATCCGCAAACACGTAAATCAATCAATATGGGACATGGGCGCGTGCGCCACCCAACTCAGGGGCGACTTATGATGAGTCTGTGCACAGTGGCCCAGCAGTGGCCCGACAAACTCGGCGAGGGCGCGCACGGGAGCAAAGCCACAGATGGCCTAGGTGTGGGACAGTGCGGGGTGCGGGGGATGGCCATCCACAGCATCGGGCGGAAGCGCAGGAAGATCATCATCCCGCGTCAGACGCGCCATTTAGGGGTCTCTGAGCGGGTTTCGACCCCTGCCGCTGAGATCGCTATCTCGGGAGTCGCTTGGAAGGGACGTACCAGTTGCGATGAGTCGGATGTCACGGTCCTCCACACACCTTAATTAAAACCCACCACCAGTCCAGCCCGCCGCCCTCTTCACCCAGCTCGTCTTCGGTGTGCTGTGCATGTGAAACACTACTGTACATACGCTGTCTCCACCAAGACGCTCGACGAGATGGTGACAGTAACTTATGCGAACCTCAAGGCCAGTTTGGGCTCGCTCGTTGTTGGGAGCTTGGCCGCAACTGCGTAAGTGCTGCAATTTTCTCGAGCGGCTACCTTTGTATGCTTAGGCTTTTCACAGACTGTCCGGTGTCGTATTGATGCAGGGCGTCCTTTACTTCCGGATGTTCGAGAAGGATCACCGAGCACTGAAGGCCATAGTAAGTGCGCGTATTCTACGTTCAGCTATTGATGGCTCAAACGACCGAATCAGGTCGTGAGCATCGTCTTGCTGGACATCTTGCATACGGCTATGCTCTGGACGGCGGACTGGATGTATCTGGTCGCGGGGTTCGGTAATATGAACATCACAGATCATTGTTTCTGGTACGTCTAGGTCCATTTGACGGACCGCAGTGCATAGAATTAACGATCTCACAGGTCAGCAGGGGTGGGTTGTCCAATACTCTAGCTATGACCATTTTTGACAGACAACGGTCTCAAGGTCAGCATAGCATTGACGGTGGGTTTCAACGCATTGGACCAACCACACTTGCACTGAACACATGGCACAGGCGTTGACGACTGTTATTGTACATTTGTTCTTCACATACAGACTTTTTAGGCGTACGTTCGTACGTCGGCTTACTGATGCTAATCATTGACGGCTTTGCATTTTACAGTCAGCAAGGGCAACTATTTCATCACTGTGCCTATGGCCATCATCGCTCTCTGTCGAGTTGGCTCTGCCTTCAGTGAGTCACATTGCAGTCATTTTTCTGGAACCATCTCACACATTTGACAGCCACGGCTGGTGAGCTGTGAGTGTCTATCTTCATTTGTCAGCTAGTCGCTGACCGCGCGCGCATGAGTAGGATTCGACTAGAAAGCTACTCAGAGTTCTACGCCCACTATCGCTGGTTGTTCACGCTCGGCTTGGTCTTGTCGACCGCGCTGGACGTGATAATCACGTTCGGTCTGTGTATATTCCTGAGGAAAAGTCGTAGCAGTGGGACTGGAAGCTCTGGACGGTGCGTCACTTGTCGGTTTCGCACTTGACCAACCCCTCATCGCACCCGCAGGCTTGACCATATCCTCAACTCCATGACATTGTACACCATTGAGACCGGCATGGTCACATGGTGAGATCCTTGCCTCGTTCTGCGAGTGTGCTACTGACTCGGCGGATAGTATTGCTACCGCTATCTCGCTCATCTTCTGGCTTGCTAAACCTCACGCACTCATCTACCTCGGTCTCCACTTCGTGATTAGCAAGTGTACGTCCCTGCCTTTACTTGCTCGTCAAGTCTCGTCTCATTCGCATACAGGCTACGCAAACTCCTTCCTCGCCTCCGTGAACGCACGGAAGTTGTTGAGAGCTCAACACGTGTCTCGCACAACGTCTGGCTCCGGCGGACTCCCCCCTGTCTTCACCAACCGGTTTATCAGACGGTCTGAGCTTCAGGTACGCCGACGCCGCGCCATCCGATGTCTGACGCTCACTTTACGATGATCCTTTCAGCCGGACACGGTGGACCTCACGGGATCGAAGCTGCAAATCACCATTGACAAGACAGTTGATTATTCCAGCGACGACATCCCGATGTCCCCGGCAAGATCACATCAAGGGTCAAACACCGCCGCCGTTACCCCCATGGAAGAGGTCAAAGTCAAAGTATGAACGAAAGACGTCGCTGCTACGCGTCCTTGAAGCGATGACGACTTTGCCTCGCCGTAGGTGCTGGCAAGGCAGGACATCCTGATGGAGTGCACGCCGCATATGTACTGTATTGCGTCGATGTAGTGATTACTCGCTGTGTACGCTCGTTTATGGTACTTGGTCCAGGGACGTGTGTTGCTTGTCCCGACCCTAAGTGATTTGATATCATTGGATCACAGCGCACGGTGTCTCAATACCTACACCAAGCAGGAAAAGGTCAGTAATTTTGGAGGCGACTGTCCTAGTGTTGCAATGTTACGAATGCAAAGGTTAATCGCGCCACAAGCGCGTCGTTCCTACTCCGGCAGGCGCGTGCGGGTAGGCTTGCATGTCCATGTCCCTCCGCACTGGCTGGCATGCTTCCGTCCGCTCTCTGCTCAGTGCCTCCCGCTTCTCTGGAACGTACGGCGGGTCTGCAGCCAAGACTTGTTGGCATAATGGCGCATTCTTCGGGTCCCGACTGCAGAAATCGCAGCTTACCACACGGGTGACGGCGCTCTCGACCCTACCTAGTTCTTTTCGGCTCTCGCTCAGAAAACAAGGGCCACGCCAGCTAGCCTTCTCGACAGCACCTACCTCGCTTGTACGTCAAGATGCTTGCCCTCGGCCGCTGCAAAGCAAGTCACGAGCAGGGCTGAGGGCGCACGAGCTCTCCGGTGAACCTGCATCTGCGCGTGTCCGCGCGTGTTCGACCCTCTCGTCCTTCCGCTCTGGTTCTGCTACGGCCACAATGTCACCGTTAGCTGAAGCGGATTACCGTCTCCCCACGAATGTCAAGCCAACGCACTACGATCTCACCGTCCGTACTGACCTCGTCGGCGGCGAATTCGACGGAGTACTCACAGTGGAGTGCGTACGATGCGTTGAGACGGACAAGTGCATATCTGATATTGAGCTGCTCTATTAGCTTAGATGTCAAGACGGACACCTCGAAGATCGTGTTTAATTCCGCTGACCTCAAGCTGTCCAACATCGCGCTCACCACTTCCGGTCCCAAGTCGTCGGCATTTACCCCTGCTTCAATCGACTTCGACAAGACCATGGAGCGCTGTACACTTGAGTTTGCGGAGAGCATACCCGCCGGCGCGAAAGTGCAGCTCAAGGTCGCGTACGAGGGCCAGTTGACGGACTCACTTATGGGATACTACAAGTCATTAAGCAGTGAAGGCGAGGTGTACGCGTTGACAAATTTTGAGGTGCGTCCGATCGATATATCACATAATTGGCGAGTTGTTGAAGAAGAACGATTGCAGCCTACTTCTGCACGTCGTGCCTTGCCTTGCTGGGACGAGCCCTTGCTCAAAGCAACCTTCAGCGTGACTATGATTTCGCGCGCAGACACCGTCAATCTCAGCAACATGTCTGTGGAGTCTGAACGCGTCTTCGACCCCAAGGCTGGTCCGACCGACGACGCAATCGCCTGGCTCTCTGAGAGGTTGGCGTCGCTCGGTGTGTCCCAAGGTGAGAGCGAGAAGTGGAAGATCACGCAGTTCGTGAAAAGCCCGCCAATGTCGACGTACCTGCTCGCGTTCGCGAACGGTCACTTCGAATACTTGGAGAGCTCGTACACGAGTCCTATCAGTGGCAAGACACGGCCGTTGCGTGCCTACGGTAAGTAAGCTCCTTTAGATGTGCGAAATACCTTGTGAAGGCTAACACGTTTTCTCAGCGACGAAGGACATGGTTGACAAATTGCAGTTTGCTCTCTACGTAAAGGAGAAGGCACTCCCCTTGTACGAGAAGGTATTCGAGATCGAATACCCGCTACCCAAGCTGGACACGCTCGTCGTCCATGATTTCGATTGCGGTGAGTTGGCCTGCAACTCGGTTACGACCAGTGTGTTTGACGTGAACGTTAGGTGCCATGGAGAACTGGGGTCTCATTACCGGTCGCACTTCTTGTTTCGCTCTTGATCCCAAGTCCGAAGATCTGGGGACCAAGAAGGAGATTGCATACACGCAATGTCACGAGGTCGCACACATGTGGTAAGTAAGGTCTACGAATGCAAGCAATCGCGGCACTTCATTATGGCTAGGTTCGGCAACATCGCTACCATGGAATGGTGGGACAATCTCTACTTGAACGAAGGTAAGCCGCCAGTTCCTCCATGCCGTTGTTTGAGAGACTAAGCATTCCATGTAACAGGCTTCGCGACTTTGGTCAGTGAGGAATGTCTACAGCCTAAAATGTTGTTCTGACGTTGTCCCCTAGATGGGCGAAGTCATCATTCTAGGTGAGCTTGAGTAGTTGGCTGACCTCTCGTTTGTGGAACTCACGGCCCGTTACAGACAAGTAAGCCGACGGGTGTTGTATGTGAGTGCGAACGCTAACGAGCGCAGGATTTTCCCGGAGTGGAAACTCCATTCCTCTTTCATCACCTTGCACCACAAATATGCGCTTGATGTCGACGACAACCCATCGTCACACCCGGTCGAGGTCGAGTGCCCAGATGCCCTGATGGTCAACCAAATTTTCGATGGGCTTTCATACTCGAAGGCGGCTTCCGGTGCGTAGGTCTCCTTCTTTCAACTCATGCTTTGTCATTCACCGCTGCATCAGTGTTGCGCATGCTCTCGAGTTATGTCGGTGAAGAGCAGTTCCTCAAGGGTGTATCGATCTACTTGAAAAAGCACCTGTTCGCGAATAGCGTCACCCGAGACCTCTGGGAAGGCATCCAGGAGGCGAGTGGTGAGTGCCTTCCAATGAGACCGTAAGTCGCGCTCACACCGAGATTGTCAATAGGCGTTGACGTCCCGAAGATGATGGACAATTGGGTCAAGAAGGTCTCGCTCACTCAACGCCTTGCGACGATGAATGCCTAGTCCTCACCAATTATTATGTGCGCTACAGATAGGTTACCCAGTTCTCACCGTCACGGAGAACCCGAACGGCATTCAAATTCGTCAGGACCGTTTCCTTGGTACAGGGCCCGCCGCGCCGAAGGACAACGAGACGATCTGGACAGTCCCCCTCAGTCTGCTGACAGTCGATGGGAAGGGTATTGTCGTGATCAACAAGAATGAAGTCTTGGACCAGCGCGAGAAGACGATTTCGCTAGACGTCAGCAAATCATGGAAACTCAACGCAGGGACGGTGACGTTCTGTAAGCCTTCATTGTAGCCTGACTCGACATGACAAGGGATCCCTAATGGGCTTCATAGGTCGTGTACTATACCCACCGGAGCGTTTGGTCAAAATTGGTCGCGAATCCGCAAAGGCGTCCTCGCCATTCTCCACTGAAGATCGCATTGGGCTCGTTGACGATGCGTTCGCACTGAGCAAGGCCGGCTACTCAGACGTGAGCTCCGCTTTGGCACTGACCGATGTTCTACGCAACGAATCCGAGTGTGAGTGGCTGTCATTCTCTGCGACGTGGAGCTCGAGCGTTGATCCGGCTGACCTGCTAGACCTCGTATGGGAGATCATCCAGCGGAGTCTGTTGACCATCCGCTCGGTCTGGTGGGAAAACACGGATATCACGGACTCGGTCCAAGGCTTCCTGGTGGAGCTCTTCACGCCGCTCGTCGACAAGCTCGGCTACGAGTATTCAAGCCAGGACTCCGCAGACACGAGAGAGCTGCGTACGTTGGCCATCGAGGGCGCCGCATCCGGGAAGTCACCGAAGTGAGTGGTCTTCCAATTCGTTGCCGTGTCATCTGATTGAGTGTTGCTTGGCGAAGGGTGCTCGAGGAACTTCGAGCCCGCTTCGCTCATTATATGAAAACGGGTGATGATAGCAGGATCCCTCCCGAGCTCGAGGTTATCACCTACGCGGTCGTACGTATCTGTGCTTGGCTGTCCTCAGGCTGGCATGCTCATGCGCTCTGGTGATTGACGTAGGCGGTAAGGGAAGGCGGCCGGGCAGAGTGGGAGTTTGTTAAGCAGATCGCGCTGAAGCCGAAGAACCCCGCGACGGGCGTCGCAGCGCTCCGGGGCCTGGCGCAGACGCAGGACTTGGATATCGCGAAGGACACCTGGGAGTTCATGATGGAGAAGGTGCGGCTGCAGGACCTGTACTACATGTTCGGCACGCTGGGCATCAACCCGAAGACGAGACAATTCTTGGCTGCGCAGTTCAAGGCGGACTACGAGCTGCTGGACGAGAAGTTTGAGGGGAACTACAGCTTCCAAGTACTCGTTGAGGTACGTGTTGCGTCCTTCCGGACATAGCGGACGCTGATGCGCGGACGATCGTCGTAGATGTCATTCCGTAACTTGTCGGCAGACAAGGACTACCAGGAGACGGCAGAGTTCTTCAAGGTCAGTCTCGCCGTCGTGTTGCGTCGTTGAACATACAGACAGAGTGCTGACGTTGATGTCCCACAGGACAAGGACACTGGGAAATACAAGATGAAGCTTGACCAGACGCTTGAAGGCATCCAGATCCGGTCTGCGTGGGTCAAGCGGTCGACAGAGGACATCCGCAAGTGGTTTGCGTCCCGCAAAAGCGCGTTGTAGCTCTGAGCATAGGTGAGCTTCACAAGCGAACAGTCATGAAGAGTAGCATCAGAAAACTGTATCATACGTGCTGCTGCATGACGAGACGAATGCATTGTGACTGGCAGCTTGAGATAAACTGCACAGTTGATTTGCACGCGGCATGTGCTTGCACTCAGGGAGCGAGCTCATAGTCTTACGTCAGCACCCTCAGTGATGGGTCGTCGATGTATCCATGCTCGGGGAATCGCTCAGAGAAATGATGTGATTATCCAAGGTTGGGGCTGTAGAGTACAAAGTAGCTCGAACATAACATCGCGAGGGCAAACTACACTACAGTACTACGACAAGGGATTTGGAGTATTTTACAGGCAAGGCGACATCAATACCTAACGGACGACAGGAGGAACGGCACAAGCGATCAGAAATAGCTTCCCAGCTCGACCATCCTGGGGAGGTGCGCATACACGCCCGGGGTCCCGGGATGGTTGGCCTTCGTTACCAGAGACTTGGGTCGTCCAGGCTTGGGCATCCCCGTGAGTCCTGGTCCACACTGAGGCCCTATGACAGCGGGCGAAGCAAGGCCTTCGTCGATCGCTGTCGGGGTCGCGGCGCCGTTGCCAGGCGAGCTCGCGAAACCAGAGCGGTTGTAGGACAGTCGGCGAGGGAGAGACAGTCTGAGGGGCGGCCTTGCACGAGCATGTAGAGAGACGGCTCCTGCGCAACTACCAGTAGTCGACTGGCGGCGCTTTGTCGGGTCCGGCGGACTGACGTCCCGCTGGGGACTGGGGGTATCACATCCGTTGGTCGTGGTTGCCATAGAAGGAGCGATAGGGCTGGCTAGAGGTGATAGGCTCGAGCGAGCACCGGGCGGTCCGTCCAGCAAGAATGGCGACGGCGGAGCGAGTTCAGCGGCGTAGGGCGTGCCGGCGAATTCCAGACCAAGCCCAAGGACAGGCGTGCGGGGCGGAGAATCAGCGATGAAGTCGCTGTGGAGAGCCAGTTTCAGCGGGGCAGCGAGATGAAGCTTTCTAGTGTGAGGCCGGGACAGAGCGAGAGGGCGGACTTGGAGCGGAGGCGGCGAGAGAGGGGCGCGCGGCATGATCTGGTCGATGGGCGTGATGGGGGACGCGTTTGCGTTGCGGGTCTTTGAGTGTGCGAGGGTGAACTGGCGCAGAGAGAGCGGGAAGGGAGACGCTGCCTGGCCGGGCGTGAGGGACGGGGTTACGGTGGGAGTGTTGCCGCGAAGGGAGCCAGAGGGGAAGGAGGGTACGGGAGGCAAGTCGACCTTGCAGTGGAGGACGGGGCGGTTGGACGCGAGACGGCGGATGGACATCGAGGAAGGGTTGCGCGAGACGGGCCGGGTTATGGGTGGACCAAGGGTAGGCAGCGAAACGAGATGATCGGGGCTGGGGGCGGCCTGAACCAGGCGTTCGGTGATATTCACATGTTCGCAGAGGTATATACTTACACACACTTGTTCTCCAGGAGCGCGTGGTTCGGCCTTGACTCGCTCGAGAGTGGACGAGGGGATGGCAAGGCCTTTTGTGAAGGGTTGGACTACACAGGATATAGCTGAGCGGGGTGAGGACAATGTGTGGGGAAACTACGCACGCCTGGCGGATGGTGTGCATGTGACGGCAAGCGAGGGTAAAGTGTGTTGAGCGACGAGGGTGACGGTCTGGCCGGCGGCGAAGGATGGCTGGGTCCAAGGGCGAACGAGAGAAGGCATTGTGGGCGGGAGTTGGAGTGTCGCTGGGCAGGCTGTGTGGCCGGCTTTATACGGGTGGTCTGGAGCAAGCGGGACGCACCGAACGTGGGCAGATGGCTGCGGCTGGGAGTGGAGAATGTGAAGACTGTCAGTGTGTCGGGCCCGAGCGTTGTCTTCACCCACCGATCGTGTCGTCGTCGGTCCTGGCCGGGCTGCGCGGTGGACGGCGGCGTGTTGGAGGCGACGCACCGGCGTCCAGACGGCAGCAGAGGGGAGGATCGCATGGACGCAGCCGCAGAACACTCTCCGTCAAACAAAGTGCGGTCCGAGACCGTCAGAAGCACGAACCTACCGCGATCGTCTAGCGAGTTGGCCGCCGGTACATACTGAGCGACCTCCGTGCCCCGGCGCCGTTCCGCTCTTCGGAGGCAAAGGCGCACGTCTCCCACTGCTGCCAATGGACACATGCCGAGCTCACCGGACGCCTCGCAGGTCTTATCGGCGACAATGAGGCGTTGGGAATGGGAAGAGCCAGTCCAACAGACTCTGCAGCCAGAGGCCGTCGGCACCTCGGCCGGCCCCCTCCCTCCCACTCGACCCACCATGGCCTCTCCTCGTCTCGCCCTTTCCTCGGCCACCATGACCTCGTCGCAGCTGAGGGACCCGGACGTCCAGGACACAGTCGACGTCGAGGAGGACCCTGTGGTCGCCCTCCCCGAGGCAACTGGCGCAGGCGGCTCCCACGCGCCCGTCCCCACCTCTGCGGACCCACAGACAGATGCCCCTCAGGAACATGGCGACTCGCCTGAGCTCACTGACCAGACCAACTTCTTGCCCACAAAGCAGGCGAGCTGGCCCGTCTTGCAGTGCGCTGCACGACGGCTCACACTGTTTCTGATAGGTCATCATGGTGTTCCTCGGGATGTCCATCGCGCTCATGTGCTCGTTCTTGGATCAAACCATGTACGTATTCGCCTCTCTGTATTCTGACCAGGCTGTGATTTATCGAGCCATGGATGTTGTGGGGATGTGGGGAAGAGACGATGGGCATGCCGTTATGATCGAGGTCTCCGGGATCCTCGGACCGCCCGCCGCTGCTTCATGCCGGGCGGCACGCGACTCGGACACTCTGCAGCTAGCGATGCATGGCCAGTCCAAAAGTTCATGTTGTGCACTCAATGTTGTAGAATGGCACACCAAGACTTGGAGCTTGCTCGAGTACAGCGTGGTTTCGTTGCTGACCGCTCTCCAGCGTCGCCACTGCTCTTGCGAGCATAGAAGAAGACCTGAACGGAGGGACCATCGGCGCATGGGTAGCGACGGCGTATCTCCTCACTAGGTCTGTCCCCGTTAGCCTGTGACTGCTCGCTCTGACACTGCGTAGCTTGGCATCCACACCACTGTATGGCCGGTGGTCAGATGTCTTCGGGAGGAAGGTCGTCATGCTCTTCGCACTCGCTGTCTTCCTGGTCTTCTCGCTCGCATGCGCTCTTGCACGCACGATGATCCAGTTGATCGTGTTCAGAGCGTTGCAAGGCATTGGTGGCGGAGGTACGCAGCGTGGCCTTCACCTTGTAATCATCCTGACCGTGGTTCAGCCATCATCACTATGACCTTGATCATGTAGGCTCTGCATTTTGGCGATTACAGCTCAGAGTTGATTCCTCTTCTCAGTATCTCGGACATCGTCTCACTCAAGGACCGAGGAAAGTTCATGGGAATCAACGAATCCATCATCGCACTCTCGAATGGGATTGGACCCATCCTCGGAGGTGTTATTTCTGAATGCACGTATCGCTTTCCCTGAGAACAAATCTGGCACTCACCGTATTCACAGACACGACCTGGTGCGCACACGCAGCACCATAGCTTGATCCGAATGTTTTTGACCGCTAGATGACTCCGCAGGCGATGGGTATTCTACCTGAATCTGCCCCTCGCATCCCTGGCGATCGTCACTTGTGCCTTGCTCCTACCCCAGAAGAAGGTTCACGGCGACATGCGCAAGAAGCTGCTGCAGATCGACTACGTCGGCTCTTTGCTGACCGTCATCTCGTCGGTCCTCTTGCTTGTGAGTGCCGGCCTTCGTTCACAGCGCCAGTACGGGTTCATGACAATTGTAACATTCAGCTAGGGCTGAACTGGTGCGTGTGTTGCTCCAGCGAGGGACTTACCGTCATTAAAGTCAGTATACAGGGGAGGCGTCTCCTACGGCTGGGTGTCGGTGCGTCCTACCTGTCTCTTGTGTAAAGCGCGAATGCTCATCTGGCCATCGTCAGGCTCCCGTGCTCGTGACACTCATTTTGGGAGTGATCACATATGTTCTTTTCCTGGTTTGGGAGGCAAAGATGGCGAAGTTCCCCATCGTACCAGGTAGATGTCGCTCTGAAGTCGGCGTAGAGAGAATGCTTACTCATAGCATAGTCTTCATTTTCCGCCACAAGACGGTCGCTGGTGTGTTCATCGCCACGCTCATGAAGTAGGTATCAGCATATATATGTTCTACGGCGACTGACAGTGCTCGCCATCGCACAGTGGAACGACGTTCTTCTCGGTAAGCTTCCTTCGGCTGTTTCCTAGACGCCGAATTCAACCGCAACGACTTTTTTGCTAGCTCCTCTACTACGTTCCGCAGTATCTGCAACTTGTCCGAGGCATGTCGCCGACTAGGTCCAGTCTGCTCTTGCTACCATTCCTTGCGCCCATCGGTATGTTACCACTTGCTGTTCGTCTGCTTATCCGCTGACTCATGTTCAGCATTCTGCGTGTTCATATGCGGTACGCACCTTGCACTTGCGGAGTGAGCAGGTCAACTTATTCTCAACATTCAGGACAAATCACGGCGCGCACGGGGCATTACCGATACATGATCATAGCAGGTTACAGTCTATGGACGGTGGCACAGGGCCTGCAGTGCACCATTCATCAGCACTCCTCGGAGGCCAAGATCATTGGATCGCTCCTGATGGCGGGTATCGCCGCGGGCATGACATTCCAGACAACCCTCCTTGCTGCCCAGGTCTGCTCCCTCATCTCGACTACAGCTCCATGCTGATATCACCGCAGGCTGCAGTGAGCCGTCAGCAGATGGCAGTCGTCACAGCCGTGCGGAACTACCTCCGACTGTTCGGCTCGTGCATCGCGCTGGGAGTGTGCTCGTCGCTCATCAACAACTCCCTCCGGGAGGCAGCCCAGAGCGTGGGCCTCACCGCGCAGCAGATCGCAGTGCTGCTGAACGACCCGACGAGTATCAAGAAAGACAGTGTGGGGATCAGTGAGTCTGCGCTGACGGTGATTGTGAACGGATATGCGGAGGGCTTCCGAGGGGTGTTCTACTTGACGGTCGCAGCGACTGGCATCGGTTGGCTCGCGGCGGTGTTCTTGATCCAACAGCACGAGCTCTCGCGGGCGGACGACAAGCTGTTGAAGCAGGCAGCTAAGGAGACACGGGTGAAGGAAAAACTGGAGAAGGGTGAGGTTGAGCAGGACCCGGAGAAGGGAGGGATGGAGGCGGAGGCGGAGGCGGATGCGGAGAAGAAAGAGAAAAGCTGACCGCTCCAAGACTTCCTAGACATTCATGATAGACGAGCAGTGCTCACGACTCCACGATACTTACCGCAATACGATGCAATGTATTATCATCATGTACGGAGGATGCCCGGGCGGATAAGTATGCCTGCGAAGCTTTAGACTTCCGAATTTGACGGAGAAATCACGAGCAGGCCACGATCGAGATATGTGATCTAGCGACTTCGCTACGGAGTGACTGTGGCCGCTGCTCCACCGCCTCACCTCCCTCTGCATGCTCGCCCGAGGCAGCACCTAGGCACCTCGTACAGCCCACTAAACACTACCCGGAACCTGCTCCGTATCTGCAACGAACAGCAAGGACAGCAGACATGGCTTCGGACGAGGCTGAGGTGACAACTGCGTCGGTGTCGGGCAAGGGCGGAACGGTCAAGTTTCAGAAGGTGAAGCTGCTCTGCTACTCTGGTCAGGGCTCATCTCTGAGGGCACTTGCAGACGAAGATCATCTCGCGACAGAGGCTTCGGAAGGTGCGCTTCTATCTGTGCTGTACTCGACGGGTCTGACGTTGTGGCGACAGTACTCATGGCTTCCTGACGTCCTCCGTCTCAAAGGCAGCGTGAGTGTGTGTCGTCTGTGTGGATGGCGACCCTTCAATGCATGTGCAGATTGTCCCCCGTATCATTGGGCCCGTGCTCACTGTCACCATCTTCGCGAGTATCGCCGCGTACCTGTGGGACCAGGGCACGGAGGTTACGCTCACCAACCAGGTCGTGCCTCTGTTGTCGGTCGTGGTGAGTGCAACGTGCTGCTCGTTACATGAGAGAGGGAAGCTAAGCATGAGATAGGTCGGATTGATCCTGGTGTTCAGGTGCGTTCTGTTGGTCGCGTGAGAGGCCTTGGGTAGTGACCGGGCATCTCACCCTCCGCTAGGAATGGGTAAGGCATCCGCTTCTCAGTCTACCTGTCTGCTGATGTGGACAATCCTAGCACGTCGTATGACCGGTACTATGAAGGGCGTAAGGACTTTGGCACCATGACGGCTCACGTCAGTGTTCACCGGACACGCTCCGTGTGTATACGCTCTAACTCTCGCAAGCGGCCTCTAGATCCGTAGCCTATCCAGGTCCATATGGATCAATGTTGCAGTACCCCCTGCAGACGATGCAGCACGCGTAAAGGGCGTGGCGCCGAACCTGACGGCGGCACAACTCCGCCGGCGCAAGGTCGATGCTCTGAAGCTGTGTGCGGCATACGCGTACTCTGTCAAGCACTACCTGAGAGGCGAGGACGGCCTGGACTGGGAAGACTACGTCGGCGTGCTTCCCGCGAGCACGGCGCAGCTCGCGCGGTACGGCGTGCCCACGCGGCGGACGAGCGCAGCAGTCAGCTACGCCGCGACGGCGCGGACGAGCCCGGGCGGGTTCCTCACGCCCGACGAGGCGAACAGCCCGTCGAACCTGGGCGACGCGGAGGGCCGGAGCCCGAGCGCGGACGCGACGAAGCGCATCCGCGTGAAGCGGAGCAAGGACAAGCTGAAGCAGGCGAGCACGCGGACGGCGCGCACACCGCTCCTGAGCGAGCGCGCGCTGCACCAGACGATCGACTTCCACCCGCACCCCGAGACGCTGAGCACCCCGCTCCCGCTCGTCATCGCGCATGAGCTGTCGAGGCTGCTGTTCTTCTTCAAGCGGGATGGGTATCTGGAGACGGTCGGCCCCGCGGGGACGAACGCCCTGAGCGCCCAGTGCGTGCCGTCTGTTTGCCTCAAATAACAGAGTTGAGCTGACGGGCCGCCAGCATCCATACCATGGTCGAGATGATGACGGCGATGGAGCGTGTTGCGAACACGCCTATCCCGCGCTCGTACAGCATCCACCTCAAGCAATGCGTCACCCTCTACCTCTTCGTGCTGCCGTTTACGCTCATCAAGGACCTCGGCTGGGGCATGGTGCCTATCGTGACCGTCGTGGCATTCACGCTGATGGGCATCGAGGGGATTGCGGATGAGATTGAGATGCCTTTCGGTGAGTGCGCCGGTTGTCTGGAAAGGATATGCAGCTGCTCACGTTTCATTCGAAGGCCTGGACAAGTCTGACCTTCCTCTGGGTGCGCACCACGCTGCATCATCTTCGCCTGATTAATCGAGCGTGACTTTGACAGAGCGGTATTGCGACGATCTCAAGGAAGAAATAGAGCAAGTGCCATTCGCAGAGTTCTTCTGTAAATTTATTGACGTCTCTCGCATAGATACATCGTTGAACGATTGCCCGAGGGTGGTGAAGGGATGTACGGTACGGATGACGGTGAAGGGGACGATTGATTTAACTTGCTGGCTTGGTTATTTGGAAATTCTTGCTCTCAATCACGCATGCACGAGCATTCTGTCGCATACGATACCACGCCGGACCAGAATATGATGTATTGCTACTATCTACTGGAACTCTGGTGTGCAGAACTCTCCCGGACCGTATGGCTGAGAAGACGTCGTGTGAGATGAAAGCCCGCCGTAATAGTACATAGAATACGCACCTTCGACGCGAGCGCCGTCAGACCCGCCGAGTTCTCGCTCGTATGCCGTCCGCTCTGAGGACCCGGCTTCGGCTTCTGGCCCTTCGCGAACGCCTCCAGCACCTTCTTCGTCGTCTCCGCGGTAAGATCCTCCTGTAGCAGCAGTGCCAGCGTGAACGCACATCTCGCCATGAATGAGACCACGTACGTAGAAGTCATCGTTCACAGCCATCATGGGCGCGTTGCTGCAGGCACCCTGGCACTCTACCTCGATGACGGTGAACTTGCCATCCTTGGTGGTGTCGCCGGGCTTGATGCCGCCGAAGTGGTTGCAGACGGTGTCGACGATGTCGTACGCACCGCGGAGCATGCACGGCGTCGTCGTGCAGATCTGCACAAAGTTCTCGCCGATGGGTTCCCTGCACGGTGCGTGAGCAAATGCGCGTCGCCGCGGCGTATGGGGGCAGGACGCACCGGTTGAACATGGTGTAGAAGGTGGCGACCTCGTACACGCGCATGGGGGGCATCTCGAGGAGCTTGGCGACGTAGTTCATGACGCTGATGCTCGTCCAGCCCTTGTTCTGGCGCTGGCCGAGGTCGAGGAGCGGGATGACGGCGGCCTTCTTGTACTGGGGAGGGTAGTGCGAGATGATCTCCTGGGCGCGCTTCATGTTCTCGGAGGTGAACTCGAATGGGATCTGCGGGGGCGGTCAGTGAGCGGCCGTGCTGTCGGATGTAGACGGACCTTAGGGTTGTTGTAGGTCGTGTCGCGGTGCTGCAGTTGCAGGCGACCGTCAGTGGCAGCAGGGCGAGCGGGACACGCAGGTACGTACCACGAAGAGTGCATCGGAGCGGCGGCATGGCGAGGAGTGTATGCGGCGGACCGGGGGAGGCAGACGAGGGACGCGTTTTGGGAGTCGTGCGGCGAGCATGGCGAGGAGGACGACGGCGGAGGTGGCGGCGGTGGGCGCAGCGACGTCGCCCGAGCAGACATCACGTGATGCGAGCAGCCGTGTGGCGAATGAGGATGGAGGCGAACCGCTCACTCTCAACTGTATCATACACGGTGTATCTGCAGATCACTTTATCACAGTCGCAGACGGGTGTCTACTTTGCGAGTACATCGAGCAGGTAATATACACACGTCCGGTACGGTACAGATGGCCGAGTCTGCCTACGGGGCCAGACCTGCAGTCGTCATTTGGGTCCCAAGGCCTCGCTTTTGGCTGGCTTGACGAGCGGACCTCGGTGGGCCCACTTCGCGAAGGATGGCGAGTGCTGTGATCGAGGATGCCGCCGGAACTGCAATGGGCGAGTGGGAGTGATGTTGGGGCACGTCGTTGGGACACACGCGGGCCAGGGTCTGCCCCGCCGACAGCGACCCTTTGGAAGGCAGACGATAACGATCTGTTCGCGTACCCGGTGCAGGGCTGGGGCTGTTCGCTCGCACCCATGGGACCACGGATGAGTAACCATGAAAATGCGCTCCACAGCCCGCGCCCCGGTGGCCAGCGCGCTGGCTGCGGCATACGCGGGTCCGCGGTGTGGCCCGCGCGTGGCAGGCCGCGGCGGGGTGCGCTGGACGAGGAGGACGAGGAGGGCGGCGGCGGGGAGGACGGCGGGTGGCGGGTGTTGTTTGGGCGGTGGCGCGGCGGGTCTGGTGATCGCTCTTTCCCGCGCCTCCGTCTGTTCTCTCTCCTCTCTCCTCATCTCCTCCTCCCGCCCACTAGCCGTAATTCCTCCCCGCCGTCTCTCTCTCCTGCCCTGTCCCAGCTGCCCCGTCCGCCACGCCCCCGTCCCCGTCGCATCTCTGCCTCTGTACCCGTCTCTTGCCTGCTTCCGCTCCTTCACGAGCCAACGAACCAATAACCTGTATCCCTACCATCTACGCCTGTCCAAATGGCCACCCAAGCCCCAATAAATGGTGTAAAGATATCGCGTACGTCTCTCCCTAACCCTCCCCGATCTCCCACCATCCACCATGTCGATCGACACCCCGGTCCACTGCGACTGCCCACCATCCACCAATCCCTGTGATACCCCCCACCGTCCCAACTGCGCGCTCTCCACCCATCCTGACCTCCCCTTCTCTCCAGCCGTCGATGACCCACGCAAGATCGTCCGCGTCGTCGCCTCCGACGGCAAGACCGGCGACGTCAAGGACCTCGTCTACACCAACTGCAAGGTCATCGGCAATGGCTCCTTCGGCATCGTCTTCCAGGCCAAGCTCATTGACGATACGGAGACCAACTCGGAGATTGCCATCAAGAAGGTCCTCCAGGACAAGCGATTCAAGGTGCGTCCCATCATCCCCCCGCAGTGTTCTCTCCAATATGCCCGCTCATGCCCCGCCTCCAGAACCGTGAGCTCCAGATCATGAGGCTTGTATCACATCCCAACGTCGTCGATCTCAAGGCCTTTTTCTATTCCAATGGCGAGAAGGTGAGTCTCCGTCCCTCCCTCGCGCGCGCCTCGATCCGGACGACAGCATTCGGCACTGACATAGTCGCAAAAGAAAGACGAAGTGTACCTCAACCTGGTCCTCGAATACGTCCCCGAGACCGTGTATCGCGCTAGCCGTCACTACGCAAAGCTCAAGCAGCCCATGCCCATGCTGCAAATCAAGTTGTACATGTACCAGCTCCTCCGCTCCCTCATGTATATCCACTCCATCGGCATCTGCCACCGGGACATCAAGCCCCAGAACCTCCTCCTTAACCCCGCTACCGGCATCCTCAAGCTCTGTGACTTTGGCTCTGCAAAGATCCTCGTCGCGGGCGAGCCTAACGTCAGCTACATCTGCTCCCGGTACTATCGCGCCCCCGAGCTCATCTTCGGGGCCACGAATTACACGACGAACATCGGTAAGCTGTCTCCATGCACATGTCGCGTGGCCAGGCGCTCACCCAAGTCCTCAGACATTTGGTCGACGGGCTGCGTCATGGCGGAGTTGATGTTGGGACAGCCGCTCTTCCCCGGGGAGAGCGGTATCGATCAGCTCGTGGAGATCATCAAGGTTCTCGGTACACCTTCACGGGAGCAGATTAAGACGATGAACCCGAACTACATGGAACACAAGTTCCCTCAGATCAAGCCTCATCCGTTTTCGAAGGTAACGTCGATCCAATGCACAGTCGGGCGCCTACTGACGTGTTTATCCGTCAGGTCTTCCGCCCGCGCACAGCGCCGGAGTCGATCGACCTCGTCTCCAAGCTGCTGGAGTACACACCAGAGGCGCGGCTCAGCGCGGTGCAGGCGATGTGCCACCCCTTCTTCGACGAGTTGCGCGTGCAGGGCGCGCGGATGCCGAACGGCAAGGACTTCCCACCACTGTTTGACTTTACTCGGGAGGGTGAGTGTCAGCGCTCTCTGCTTGTCCTGGCGTGCTCGCGCTGCGCTATGTCGTCTTGCATGATGGTCTGACATATTCCCCCAGAGCTGTCTGTGCGGCCAGATCTGATGAGACAGTTGGTGCCGTCGTGGTGCGAACCGGAGCTGGCCTCGCGGGGCATCGACGTCGACAACTTCGTGCCGATACCGCTGGAACAGCTGCGAATCTCCCTGGATTGATAGGCCCGTCGCCCGGTGCATGGGACTCTAGTCATGGTTTCTGTCTCTCAGTTTCTCTCGTCGATTCTGCCCAAGTGCCCCCGTCCCATCACCCCCATATATATATCTTGCCTTGACCAGCACTCGCCTCGCTTCCCGCTGTATGTGTTATGCCCTGTCGTGTCCTTCGCCATGCATAGGAGGTGCGCTGGTGCGAGTATACTCGTTACAATATGTTGTCATGAATGGTGATGCGCGCCCCCCTCGCCGTGTGTGTGATAGTGAGAATAATGACGACGACATTTGAAGTTTGTGTGAAGGCTGGTGGTGGCGAGTATGTTGGGCGGAGGTGAGGCGGGGATGGCGTGATGCAGCGCGATGTCGCCAATTCTTCACGCGACATGCGTATTTTCGGCGCCTATTCACTAAGGAGCCCGGAACCTGAGTCTGGTTATAACGGTTGCACAGGCCGCTCTCATCCCCAGCCACCACCTCCGCCACCATGGCCTCCTCATCCTCCAAGGCATCCTACCTTTGTGATACCCTACCGCCCGCACGATTGGTCTCTGTATCCCCGCTGCCGCACGCGCGATCGCCCACCCCGTCCGTGCCCGCCTTCGAGGCACCCATCGTCGACAACTCGGCTCTCCAGCTCGTGACAAAGACAGTCTCGCCATCGAACGGGACCGGCAAACCCACCGCGGACTACATCCAGCCTCCGGCGAGGAAGCTGTGCGTGAGGCACCAGCGGATGGCGGACGAGGGCACGAACTTGAAGTTACAGCAGGTGAGTCTCCTCCGGCCTTTGTGAGCAGCATCCGTAAGCAGCGGACACGATGGGGATGTGGCCTGGGAACATGGGGGAGGGGCTGGTGGAGGGTATGGCCCACGTCCGAGGCCATCAGCACGAGCCACTGTCCGTCGATTCGGGCAGATGTCACTGTCGCTTTCGCTGCCTGCGGCCTGCGTGTTCAGTAAGTCGTCTCGTGCTGACTATCCCACCACAGGCACTCGATGCACTCCCAGTCGAAGAGCGAGAGGCCGTCAGCGCCGTGTGGTCGAACTTCTCCTCGTCCCCGCACCCGCGCCGGGCCCTCATCCTCCATGGCTTACTCACCATGTGCTGCTTCTCCCAACTCTCCCTCCTCTCCGACCAACTTGCACATCTCATCCGCCTGGACCCCTTCGCTGTCGTCCCGCGCGAGGTCTCACTCAAGATCCTCGGCTACCTCGACGCTACATCGCTCTGTCGCGCCGCGCAGGTCAGCAGGCATTGGAAGAGCCTCGCCGACGACGACCTGCTCTGGAGGGGGATCTGCGAGCAGCATATCGGACAGAAGTGCTTGAAGTGCGGCTGGGGCCTGCCGATCCTGGAGAAGCGAAGGATGGTGCGCATGCCGTCTACTCGCTCGCCTTCACCCCCGACCAGCGAGAGCGCTGTTGTGCGAGGCAAGCGTGTTGCTGCGCTGGATGATGCCTCGATGACCGACCGACCCTTGAAGCGACAACGACGTGACGACGAAGATTCGCTGGCAGAACATCATCATTCTCTGGCGGCGGTCGCGGTTCCACAGACCGCGGCTGCCCTCGAACTCTCGCCATCCCCTCTGGCTACCCCTCCTGCCCAAGGACCGTCTTCCCGTTTGCCGATGTTGACTAGACCGTGGAAGGACGTCTACTGCGAGCGGCTACGCATCGAACGCAACTGGCGGCGAGGCCGCTGTACCGTACGAACTCTCAAGGGCCATACGGATGGCGTCATGTGTCTGCAGTTCGACGAGACGCTCTCGCACCCTGCCTTCCCAGTGCTTATCACCGGCTCGTATGACCGCACCGCTCGGGTCTGGAACCTGGAGACGGGTACGGAAGTGCATTGCCTCACCGGCCACACGCGTGCCGTGCGCGCCTTGCAGTTCGACGCGGTGAAGCTCATCACTGGAAGCATGGACCATACCATGAAGGTGTGGAACTGGCGGACCGGGCAGTGTCTGCGAACGCTCGAGGGTCATACGGAGGGCGTCGTCTGCCTCAATTTCGACGCGACTCTCCTCGCGAGCGGGAGCGTCGACACGACGGTGAAGGTCTGGAATCTCAAGACGGGAGAGTGCTTCACGTTGCGCGGACACTCGGACTGGGTGAACGCGGTGCAGCTGTGGGACGTCAACGAGACGTCTGGGTGCTCTAGCGCTGCTCCGTCCATGCTGGACGTGAATGCGACGGACGCACCTCAGCCGAACGCTGGCAAGATGCTCTTCTCAGCGTCGGACGACGGGACGATCAGGCTCTGGGACTTGGCTTTGCGGAGTTGTGTACGGATATTCAAGGGCCATGTAGGACAGGTACAGAGTCTGAAGCTTTTGACGTTGGACGAAGACAGCGATGACGAAGACTCGTCAGACGAGTCCGAGGCCACGAATGCGCAGCAGTCGTCCGAAAGCAGCCCAGGCGCAGCTGATGATACGCCTGTCGCGTCTAGCGCAGATAATGCGCCCTCCGGCTACGTCGTGGATGCTTCGGACCCTGGATCCTCGACCTTTGTTTCCCATCCGCTCCTTTCCCCACCGGCTTCTTCGTCCTCGACTATTCTCATGAACACCCATACGACCGCGTCGAAACGCCAGAAGCGCGTCCTGATCTCCGGGAGCTTGGATAACACCATTCGACTGTGGGACATTGACTCGGGGAAGGCGACAAAGACGCTGTTCGGACATATCGAAGGCGTTTGGGCCGTGGCCAGTGACAAATTGCGACTCGTCAGCGGCAGCCATGACCGTACGATCAAGGTGCGCACCTTCTAGTTCGCTGTGTGATATGACGCTGACGTTGTTCCGCAGGTGTGGGTTCGCGAGGAAGGCCGATGTATGGCGACTCTGGTCGGACATCGCGGCGCGGTTACCTGTCTCGCACTTGGGGAAGACAAGATAGTATCCGGAAGTGACGACGGGGATATTAGACTGTGGAATTTCTATGGTTGATTGTGTTGTATCATTCTGTTACGTATCGTATTGTTACCTGCGTCGTCCTTCCCCGCGTTTGCAGTCTGTAGTATTTGTTCTGGTGTCACTCGTCTCGGATGGATCTATGTGTTGATCAATATAATAAATGTGGCCCACGCAATTAGTATACCACTTTAGTAACAGTTCTTAAGCTGGTGGTGTGGCCGAGTTGGTCTAAGGCGTGGGATTTAAGCTTGTCTTGATTCCCCATGGGCGTGAGTCCGCGCGAGTTCGAACCTCGCCGCCACCAATAGCCTTGCCTTTTTGTTTGTCAGTGCAGTGTCTATCGAGCCTGGTTCATGCTTTATACACCGTACAGGCCTCAGGGCTGTCGCTTGCATTTTGCTTTACAGCACACAACGGCACCAGATGCATTCCAATATACTGACAAACAAATCGACCCAGTAATAACCCACTACGTAGCGATCCAGCACCATTTGGTCCCCGTACATTGGTACACTGCAGCACAATCTTACGAGATGGGAGACCCTGCCAATCAGAATAACTAAAAGTCAAATGATGTGAGGAAGCTGGTCGAAGGCGAACACGGCGCGTACGCACAGAAGATATGCTGTCCTTGCCTCCAGGCATTTCACGTACGCTGGACAGCATACCGTTAGGCAGTGGTCATGTGGTAGCATAACGACACGAAATGCACTTACCGGCGAGTGGGTTTGAATTCCTTTGGGGCAGGCTCGTCCCACAAGCTTCCAACGCCAGAAGAGGTGTTACGCTTCGATCTGCATGTAGCCATGAGAGGCCAGTTGAAATTGTCAGAAGAAGCATACAACTTTGGACGGCTCTCGGGAGCTGTGTCTTCAGGCGTTGCTTTCGGAACAGCGTCGGCCGTTGTCTCGGGCGAGGCAACAGCGGAGGGTGCCTTAGACGGTTATTCAAAGGTGAAATCATACATGCCACACGAGCACATACCTGGACGGCACGTGGAGGAGCAGCGGCGAGTGCATCGTCGGTGTCTGTGCCAAAGATGTTTGTATGGCCACCACCGGGCGCAGTGCGTACCCGTCGGGAAGGACGGTAGGCATTATCCGCTTGCTGTGCTGCTATGCGCGGAAGTCGGTCACCGACCATGTTACGAGATCAGGAGCGAGTGGCTATACCCGTTGTGGGGGATTCCTGCTGTATGGTTGCCTCAGGCTCAACATCGCCACCGCCGGACAGTGTACCGAAACGAGCGTATCCTGCAAGTGTCGTTCAACCACCGAAACCTGGACGAGCATGACGGACTCACGCGGGAGCTTTTGGATGTTTGTGAAGTTGGGATCCACAGTCACCCCTGCGTATCTAGTTCGGCGATCGTTTCTTAGCGAGGAGACGCGGCTCACACATAACGCGAGAACGAGAAGACCTACTTCAAGAACTCCAGGAGCGACCGCTTGCTGAAGACAATCTCGGTATTGTCCCAGTCAAGCATCCCTTACACCGCATGAGTACCTTACAGCCGGTCTAGGAGCTATAAGAGGATATCATACCCAAGTTCGCGGCCCAGTCGCGCTCTTTGTCCATGTCAATGACAGACGAGGGCGTGAAGCTTGAGGCGATCTCAGGCCGGATGTAAGTGCAGAAGGTAGCGACAACTTACGTAGCAGACATGACTGGCAGGAAAATAGACGAAGATATACGGCACCAGAGGGAGGACTGGAGAGGTGCACCGGTGAGCGTTGCGATTGAGTTGCGTTCGTCGCGACGTCCAGTAGAGGCACGTGACACCATTATGATGACCCCGGCGCGGGCGGAACCGCTGCACTTCCCAAATTGAAACAGTACTTAGCAGTACTTCCTCTGCTCGTCTCTCGCACGAACATCGGAACGTCGCCAGTCTACGGCCATGTTGCGAGCGAGAACAGCGGCGAGTTCCAGGATCCTGCAGGCGCAGGCAAGGTGTATGGCGACAGCTCATCCGCCCACGTCGAACCCATCTTCGGTCTACCTCGACCCGGACAAATGCGGCGACCCAGCAGTGACCACGACCCCACCTAACCTACCGCAGCATCAAAGGCATGCACTGGACAGTGCTCTCCGTGTTGACCAGGCCGGTGAACTCGCTGCGAACTACATTTACATGGGACAGATGGCCGTCCTGGGCAGGGATCCGGTCACTGGACCCCTAATCCAGGTAAGAATGCTGGCCTACGCGCTTCGCAACTGTATCTGATAAGATGCTTTGCTTCGAACGCAGGACATGTGGGACCAAGAGAAGAAGCATCTCGCCGTCATGAACAAGCTGCAAGATCAACACCGCATCCGACCTACCGTTCTGTGGGAGGTCGCTCGCGTTGCGGGGTTTGGACTCGGTGCGGTCACAGCGTTGATGGGGAAGGAAGCTGCCATGGCTTGCACAGAGGCGGTGGAAACAGTTATTGGCGAACACTACGATGAGTACGTCCCATGAGTGCGCAATCGTGGACTGTAAGTTGTTGACGACATATGCAGCCAGCTTAAAGAGATGGAGGGACTACCTGCAAGCCATCCGAGTGTTCCGGTGTTGAAGTCTGTCATAGAAGAGTTCCGAGACGATGAGCTTGGACATCTGGACATTGCAGTCGAGAACCACTCCCAGCGAGCGCCTGCACATGCCCTACTCAGCACCGTGGTAGGTGCGGGCTGCAAAGTTGCGATCGAACTCTGCAAGCGCATATGACCGGATGTACCGTTGGGCACGCGTTGAGGAGATAGCGTAGTTTAATGCATAATAGGACCTCTATGACGTGTACATCGTTCACTCTGCCTCCGTCGAAGGGGCTACGCGAGCCAGCGATTGGTCCTTGAGCTTTCCCGACCAGCTCCATTTTTGCTTCAAGAGGGCAAAAGGTCAGGATTGCACGGGATGACTTGTCAGGGCGACGTACGTCCTGGTTAGTAGACAGCCAGTAGATGGCCCCGGGGAAGAACACGAGTCCTACGAGAACCTGCATCGTCGAGCGTGGTGTGAATCGGAAGCGCTGGTACACAGTCTCGCGCTGCACGAAGGGGTGTCAGCCGCGAACAAGATACGACGGGGAACATACCATTTGGTTCCATCGCTCGATGGCGGGGTCGAGCTACAGAGAGAACGGCCTGTTCAGTACAGCTGCACGGCGTTCACTGTGAGACGACTGACTTTCGTGTAGCCTAAGGGGAGCACGGCCAGTTAGTTGGGATACACCGAGCATGCGCGAGGGCGTACCGTGGCCAGCCATGGTGATGTAGGCGGAGGTGGTGGTGGTCGCTGTGAGGCGGGTGAGGAGGACGACGAGGTCTCGCGGAGTTGAGCGTGAGCCTTGCCGCCCAATAGCCGCCCGCTTCTCAGCTTCTGACCACCACTGCGATCCTCTTCGTCGCACCTACTCTGGGCTTTCTGGCGTGCAACTCGGCCACAACATGTCTTACAACCGCGAATGGGACAGGGGTAAACAGCCTGACGCCGATGCGCCTTGGCAATACCAGGGCTCACGCGGTCCCATGCACCCGAGGGACGACGAGTACTACGGTGACGGCAAGCGCAGGAAGTTCAACAACGGAGTCCGTGGCAGCAATGTACTCGTGCAGCACTCATCTGATTTCTATTGCAGGGTTACGACGCCTCGCAAAGCTATGATCAAGGCTACGACGATACTTCATACGACGCCAGCCACGGCCAGGGTTACGCTCAGGACTACTCCACTGAGGACCGGTTCCAAAGAGGTGGAGGAGTCGGTGGCGGCGGCGTTGGCTACAACAAGAAGAGGCTCATACCCAGTGAACCCAGCCCGCACGTCATCTTCTTGGGGTTGGACCCAGACTTCACTGAAGCAGATGTGCGCCTCTGCTGCCTCCACTCGACCGAAATGAGAAACACTAACGCATGTGCCACCAGCTGCAAGCGTACCTCACCAGCAACAGTTGTAGCGTCGAGACGGTGACCATCATACGAGACAGAACCACAGGCACTTGCCCCTTCGTCCCTGCCGTTCATGCAGTGCATTGACGTTCTCTTCTTTCCGCGCCTTGGATTTGCTTGCTCTTTCAAGGTCTTTCGAAGGGATTTGGCTTCGCCCAGTTCACAAGCATCGCCCACGCACGCACATTCGTCGACCCGCTATTCCCATTCATCCAAGTCCCCCCACCTGCGTCTCATGGAGCAACCGCTGCAAAGGCATTCTACACTGCGCTTGAAGCAGGTGTTCCCGCTCCACCAGGTGGCAGACGGGTCAAGATCGACTACTCGCAGAGCGCGAGTCCGAATGAACGACGAGGAAGGGGCCCCATGCAATCGAACGAGGGTATGAGGGACATTGGCAATGTGCAGGCACCTGTTTTGCTGTTCCGAGGTCTAGATCCGCTCTCAGGACCGCAGGCTATAGCACAGGCAATGAAGAACGTTGCGGGGCTCGGTAAAGATGGTGCGAAGGGCATGCGGCGCATCATACTCGTCAAGGACAAAGTCACCATGGCTAGTTGGGGCTTCGCGTTCGTGGAGTTCGTCGACGTCCAGGTATGTGACAAACTTCTTACTGGTATTTGATATCTTTGATACCGTTTTCAGTCTGCATCAACAGTCCTAGGGCTGACGATGTCGCCTCAAATCCACCCGAACGGTTTCCGCATCTCTGATCGTCCCGTGGCCGCCTCTTTCGCACATCCGGAGTCATTCCAGCCGATTTCAGACTATGCTTTGAAAGATGAGGCGTGCCTGAAGTCCTCGTTAGCTCTGGGAGGCGTCGAGGAACAGTGGGTGCGGTACTGGGATGAAGGCTCTACTGCTGCAATTCTGGAGTTTGAGGTGGTCGAGCCTGTCCAGCCATCTACCACTGTACCCGTCAAAGACAAGAAAGAGAAGAAACGCGCAAAGGGTAGGTGCCTGCTTGGTGTCACCAGTATACTTCTGTTCAAACGTCTTGTTGTAGGTGACAACCAAGGGCAGCCCGACCGTCCAGCAGAGGCATCCACCCTTCCCGTCTCAGACAAACCCGTAACCTTGAGTCTGAAGGGTGGCTTGACCAGTAAGACGGGCGGCACCGCTAGCCTGAGCCTGGCATCAGTGAAGAAAGTCCCTGTCTCGTCTGCGTTTTCGACTCACGAGGACGGGTTGACCGGGGACGGAGATCACTCCGACGACGAGCAGCAGACAGGTGCTTCAAATGACCCCAAGGGTTGGTTTCATGCTTCGAGATGCATACCAGTTGCAGTATGATATTCGGGGCGTTGACGTGTGGTTATTGTGACATGCAGTGTTTGCCGCAAAGAAGGTAGCCCCTCTGATCGCGAGTAAGAAGGTGCCTATCCACCGGTGCTTGGCTTTTGCAGAACATCGCTGAGTATCGTATCGCCAGGTTGCCAACAACATCAGCAAATGGAACCAAGTCCAGGAAGTTCTCCATGATGCCGAGCCCTCAGCTGCACTCGAGCAGGTACGTACGGTATTCGTTCGTCGGAGTGACCGTCTGATCTGTCCATTAGCCGTCACTTGCCGCTACGTCTGCAAGTACCTTATCGGCCAAGCCGGCAGCCAAGGCTGCGTCACCGGTGCCCGTTGAAGCTGAATTCGAATTTTCCGACACCACGAAGATGACGTGCATGCTTTGCGCTCGACAGTTCAAATCTCTCGATCAGCTCAAACGCCACAATAATGAGTCTGATCTGCACAAGGCATGTTGTATGCACAGATGGGCGCATGGCACGACTTGATGATAGGACCTACAGAAAAACTACAAAGATGCAAGTCTGCGGGACGTCGCACGCGAGAAAGTCACAGCAATACGTGCCAAGACCGAACAGCCAAAGTATCGCGATCGAGCCTCAGAGCGTCGGGTTATGCACAACCAGCCAGATGCTCCGGTGCCCGGCGAGGCTATGAGCAAGGTAGTGGGTAAAAGGAAGCATGCGGAGGGTCCTCCCAAGCCTCCAACGCCTCCCCCCGCTCCCGTCGAACCGGCTAAGGACCAGAGCAACGTTGGTAATAAGTTGCTGAAGATGATGGGATGGAAGGAGGGTACTGGTTTGGGCACGGATGGCGAGGGTAGAGTGGACCCGATGTGAGTGTCGCTACCGTGTGTGATGATGACCAGTGGCTGACAGGTGGATAGCCAAACAGCGATATACGCTCAGGGTGTTGGTCTCGGCGCAAGCAAAGGCAAGGAGGTTGGCAAGTACGAAAGCGGGTATGCTGGCTATGTCCACATGGCCCAAGACGCGGTGAGTGGGCTCTTGCATTGTGCGATGGGACGGGGACGTTGACGCGTCGAGATACCTAGGCTCGGGAGCGCTACGGGAGCTGATGCGTTGCGTTGAAGAGCGCTGCATTTACGGACGGGTCGTACTTATTGTTATACGAGCACTGCCAATATATCGTAGTATGTTTTGAGTATTTGGCGTATGTCGCGCGTGAGATGGGACACTTTATCTAATCTGGTGAACGCGGATGATCGCGGTGTCGCCACAGTTACCCATACTGCGACTTGGACTTGGCTGTGAAGTGCGCCGCCGACCGAGTGGCCTCCTGCTTTCCTCCATCACGCGCACGCTCGCTGGGACGAGCAACCTGGTCGCTGTCTGGCGATGGAGACCTTTTTCCGGAAGAAGAGCCGCCCCCGGCAGTCCTCTCTTTCCTCCCAGGATGCGCACGACCGTTCTCTCCGCCCGCTCTCTTATTCGTCCATAGCCACAAGCCGCTCCGGCGAGTCCTCCCGTCAGTCTCGAGTGTCGCCGTCTCTCTCTCCTCTTGAAAGTCAACATACCCACTTGTCCAGTCTATCCCACCATCTCCACCGCCTCGCCGCCGCCGATGAATTCCAGTTCCCGCGCCCCGACGACGAGAAGGTCGAGGCTATGTTCCAGAACATCATGCGCTCTCGCGGCCTGGACGACCTGCCAAACGTGTCTATTGACCAGAAATGGAGCATGGTCTGGAGCGATGAGCAGCTCAGGTGGAAGGAGGAGAGGCAGCGCGAGGAGCAGATCAGGAAACAGCACTATGGCTCCGGGCAGCCCCCTTCGTTCGCTGAAGGAACTCCGGAGTGGTACATCAAGAAGTTCCTCGACAAGACTATCACGTCTAAGCAGGCGACAGGCTTGGGTGTATCGCTGAGGAGCAAGGATGTTGAGTGAGTCTGGTCTAGGTTAAGTCCGGCGCTTTGCTCACCGCCTCTGTAGTTGGTTCAGGGACTTCATATCGCTCCAGGGTACCTCTGTCCTAGCTCAAACACTTCTGCATATAAGCCGCAAGGGTCCTCAGAGGTATATCCACTTATTCCCTCCGCCGTGAACGCGCTCTAAGACACATGCAGGCGGAAAGATGACATCGACCTCGAATACGAGATTGCGAAGTGTCTCAAACACATTCTCAATCAGGGGGTAAGCCCACTCAGTTGGACCTCTCACCAGTAATTGACAATGTCCTGGGGTTTAGTTTGCAATCAAAGACTTAACTGGCCATCCGCAAATCGTCATGCAAATGACAGCCTCGTTGAACAGTCCGCATCTACTAACGAAGAAGATCATTGTGGACGTGCTTACTGGCCTGACGTTATTCGAACATGGCCAGATGGCTCCGCTTGTTCTAGAGGCTCTCGAGTCACTGAGCACGTCCAACGGCGAGCCTGCGTCCTCCTATGCTTACTGGTTCAAGTCACTCGAGAGCCTCGTCTCTGGCAGGGGCAAGATGGGCACACGAGTTGGCGCGAGCGAAGAGGTCAAGAAGAATGCAGGACAAGATGCGTCGCTGAATGAATACGCGGTATGTCCACCACCAACCTGAGTCGTATCCGGACACTAACCCTAGTGAAGGTATCGAACCTATTCCTCATCCTCGCGATCCTAAACTGCTTAAGTGAGCTAGATGTGCGCGTACATCAGCGGTCCCAAATGGAGGCTGCAGGGCTGCAGCGCATTTTAGCCTTGTCTCGTTCCTTCGGGGTTCAGTCAGTCGACTTCCCCATCGACGAGATTGAGAAGATCTTCGCCGAGGACGAGGATAAGCTTCGGGCGCAGCTGGACTCGCAGACGCTGCGTGATTTGTCAAGCGTCGAAGACGTATACCACGCCCTGAAAGCCAAGACCGACGAGTCTAAAGCTAAGGATTACTTGTTGTCCATGCTTCAGCATCTCCTCCTTGTGCGCGAGGAAGGCGCGGATATGGTCCACACCTTCCAGGTCCTCGACACACTTGTCACCGATGTCGTTATGGACAAGCGGTATAACCGTGGGGAGCAAAAGCTCGGTCAATCGGTCGCGCGCATCATCGCGCAGCTAAACGAGGCTGACCGATATCAGCAAATCGAGGCGGAGCTCGCCAAAGCAAACGGCGCTGCACTGCATTATCGACACGACAAGGAGGTGCTAGAGGCAGAGATTGCTCAGGGGTCAGACGGTCTGGTGGGTACGCTGAAGGAGAGGATTGTGAAGCTCGAGGAGAAGTTGCAGGTTTCGAGAGACAATACGTCGCGCCTTAAGGGCCAGTTGGAGACGCAGAAGGCTGGCTACGAAGAGCAGATTGCACAGCTCGAAGCCCAGATCATGGAGCTTTTCCGGATGCTCAAGGAAGTCGGGAAAGGTGTCAACAAGATCTTCGAAAACGCCGGTGGGATGGACCGCAAGACGTTGATCGATACCCTCGAGAAACACTTCGAACGCAACAAGACGATTAGCATCCTGGAGGGGCGAGACAAGAGAAAGAAGAAGGGTGAACAGGGGCAAGACAGCGACGAAGACGACCTGGAGGACGAGAGCACACCCAAAAAAACCGGTAGCCTTAGGAGAACACGGCCATCGCAATCCAAAGGTCGCGCCAAGTCAACGAAGACCACCAGTGTGGCAGAGGCCGCCGCTGCTGCGCACACATCACAGTTCATGGACGCAGACGACGCGCTTGTACAAGAACAGATCCAGCAGCAGTTGGCGGAGGGCGCGATGGTGCGTGTCTCTGCTTGACAGGACGTTGTCTCTTTTACTCACAGTGGCGAAGTATCCTAATCGTAACGGCCCACTAGCGAGTCCCCGGAGTGTCCGAGGTTCCCCGCGGCGCAAAGACAATATGCGACCGCCCTTGGGCGAGTTTGTGGCGTCGTCCTCGAAGCTCAGCCAGGTAGTTTCGGACGATCTCGGTAGTGAGCGTAGCATTGGCTCCGTGGCCGACGAAGACATGGAAAGTGACTTCGGACGGACATCATCAACGCGAAGTGGTTTCTCCACTCTTACAGACCCCACTTCAGTCAGCTCCGCTACTTCGGTTGACAGCAGCCGGTTTTCCGCATTTGGCGCGCCAGGAGAGCAAGGCAAATCATTCCCCAAGAACGAAGACGCATCGGGTGCACCCCCACCCCCACCCCCACCCCCTCCGCCGCCGCCGCCGCCGCCCCCTCCCCCTCCTGGAGGAGCCAAAACCGGCTTCTCAGCCGTTGGTTTCGCACCGCCGCCGCCACCACCGCCGCCACCACCACCGCCAATGGGGCGTATACCGATCTCTTCCTCTTCAAGCACTATCATATCTCCGGCGCTCGCGTCTGGGTATAGGACAGGGACATCCTCTGCTGCCCCCTCCGCGCCCAGCTCTGCCCGGTCGTCTACGTTCCTAGGCCAGAATATCAACAATCTTCTGTCAGCACGTAAGGATTTGTCGATAACGCCCAGTACGAAGATGAAGCAGCTTCAATGGGACAAACTACCGCAACAACAGGCAGCGAAGACTGTCTTCAGTGACGACGAGCCTACGAAAGAGGAGCAGTGGATGCTCAAACTTCAGTCTGATGGCGTATGGAGGGAAATGGAAGAGGACTTCAAGGCGAAACAGCTCGTCATCAACCTCATGGGTGAGTCATTGCGGTTGTCGTGTGATGTGCTCTAGATTGACTTTGTATACATACAGCGAAGCAGAAGCGCGCGGAGCTCAAGAGCGTGCTCGACCCGCAAACCAAGAAGCGCGTTGGTATGTCGGCCCTGCATGCCTAGTACTTCGATGCCTGATGGCCCGTGCAGAAATTCTCATCCAGACTGTGAAGCGGCTACAGCCTGAAGAGATAGCGATGAAGATCAGGCACTTCGACCAGGTGGTCTGCACACCGGTTTTTCTGAGCGAGCTCAAGCCCGTGTTGCCGAACCCTGAGCAGGTGCGACTCAAAGATTTCGTATCCTCTTGTCTGTCTCACACAGCGTCCCCAGGTCGGCAAGCTCAATGTGTACCGCCATGCAGATCCTGAGGAGCTCGCCGGTCTTCATCCTTCAGATCGTTTGATGGTCCAGCTTATCAAGCTCGATCGTCTTGCTCCGCGGATAGAAGGTATGCTATATAAGTGCACATTTGAGGAGACATGGTCGTTGCTCGACGATGTAAGTCATACTACCTCTTCATGGTGCTCTCCGAAATATTTACGGCCGTATAGAGCGCTCGGAAGTTGTCGGAGGCCGGTAACGCCTTGCTTCATGCAAAGCATTTCAAAGAGTTGTTGAGCGTGAGTTTGTGACTTCTGTGGGGAGCCCCGTGAGATTCACATACCTGCAGTTGATACTCCTGATTGGGAATTACATGAATGGCACGGGTGTAAAGGGCGGAGCGTTTGGCTTCAGAGTCAGCAGTATCAACAAGGTGCGCAAAGATTCATCAGAGCAATAGAATCATACTCATCGGCCACGTACCTTGAACAACCAGTTAGTCGACACGAAGTCCGTTCACAACACTACTCTTCTACATTTCCTGGAGCGTACGGTGGCGAAGCACTTTCCGGACATGGAAGCATTTCTGGATGAGTTGAGTGCTCCTGCTGAGGCCTACAGAGGTCGGTTTTGTCGACAGCGTGCGATCGAAAACTCATTCCATTCCCTATAGTCAGCTTGCAGGACGTCCGGAAAAGTCTCGGAGAGCTACGTGAAGGCCTTAAGTCGATACGCCGAGAACTGACAGAGCACTTCGCGGACGCTGAGCAAACGGATCGCTACGGAGCGCAAATGTGGGCATTTGTCAGAGAGGCCACTTCCCAAGTCGAAGACCTCGTGGACGATGTAAACAACGCGGACGCCATCTATTTGGAGGTGGTCAAGTATTACGGCGAAGATGACAAGCAGATGAATTCGACGGAGTTCTATGGTACCTTCAAGACGTTCGTTACGTCCTATAAAGTGAGCGATGTGCATGCTGATCTTGACAAATGCCACTGACACTATCTGCAGAAATGCAAGTCGGACAATCAGGCCATTGCCGAAGAGCGGCTGGCGGCGGAGAAGAGGAGACATGCTGCTGAGGAATCGAAGGCCAACAGGCAGAAAGCCATCGACGACGCTGCAGCAGACGAAAGCGAGGACACGGCCGTCCTGGACAACCTTTTGGAGAAACTACGTAGTGGTGACACAGCGAGCCGCAAGGCCCGGCGAACACGGCCAAACACGGTGGCACGTCCTGCAGCTCCATTGTCGCTGGATCCAGAGGCTCTCCTGGATGTCGGTTCCGGCGACGCAACGGTCGACATTGCCAAGGACATGCTTGCTCGTCTCAAGTCAGACGGTTTTAGCACTCATCCATCGTCTCCGTCTAGCACTACAGTCAATCAGAGGCGAAGTCGACGCAGGCTCGACGCAGGTTCCGTGGATCTTCTGTCCGAGGAAGTGGATGCATTAGCTGCATCTGAACAGGGGACGATGGTACCTGCTGCGATTGATGATGAGGATTCAGCAGCGGAGGAGTACACGCTCGTCGGTTCAGTTGTGGATCATGACAGTGTGTCGGGTGTATCATAGCATGCTTTGCCTGTCTACATAATCATACTGATGTGGCCAGATCTGGATACCCATTGTTCTGCATTCATATAAATCTCTGATATTAGATGTAGTGTATGACCCCTGATTGTACATCAATTGTACTGGCTTTGTATCATAATGTTTGTGTTCTGTGGTTTTGACTTTGATTGAATTCAAGTTCCAATGAACTTGAATATGAAGACCATGACAGCAAGAAGGGGGTGGGTACAGGGTCTGAGTTCAGTTAACTTTGTCCAACATGTCCACAACATTTGCCCAGCACGATATGATTGTTGCATGCATCGATCCAGAATGGATGGGTTGCCAGTGAGGAAAACTGTGTCTCAAATAGTATGATGTTTGACATGCTAAGGAACTCAGTCAATTGATTGACCCATGCCTCTTTCAGTTGTCTAGGACATCATCCAAGGTGATCTGATTTGTCTTGTCCTTGGGGCAGGGAGGCAAACACGCAAAGAGTAAGTACAGGAAATCGGCACCTTATATATGTAGTATAATTGATGCACAAAGTACATTAAGGGCCGTGGCGGGTACAGTAACAATCCCCCCGTGTTGCGACGCGTCGGCACCTTGGCATTTGGGCATGTGCTTGCCCATAGATCTGTGCCAAATCTCCTGTGCATCAGGAAAGTGTCACCACGCTTAGTAACTCGCCCTGATCTGTCTAACCCACCTAATTTGCACCTAATTCATCTCACTGTCTAACAAGTTCCGGCCTCTGCGGCAAGCTACATATGTACCTTCAGTAGAGCAGTCATCCACATATATTAGATCAATACAAACCATTACAAAGAATTCTGTTTACAAGATCTACAAGCTTAGACTGGCATGCAGATTAGGATAGACGAGCGGTCAGTTGGGCAGGTGGACATGCCTACATATGCAAGCAGTGAGGGGATGTAGGTACAGCCGAGCAAGTGGGCGAGCATGTATACATAAGCGAGCGGGATACTGGGTAGACAGGAACAGGCGGGCAGTGGCGGTTATGACCACTGGGTCATTCCTGGAGCGTGGTTGCAGTCATTGTGGCCACCAGTCTGGCACAACAAGCTCCGCATTTGTAAATGCGTCCATTGGCGGAGAGGCAGGGCGAGGTGAGGATACATCAGACATGCAGCAATGCGTGTCCATTGTATCGCCGCACATTGAATAGAAGACAACTTTTAGACTGTTCCCGGGCATGTCCACGCAATCGACGTAACCACAGTGCGCATGGCAAACATTTCATTCACCAATACACAGGAAGGGTGGCAGTGAGGTAGGTGCGTTCAGCAAGAACATACCTTGCAGTATTGAGCCTCTGTGCTCATTCTGCCTGTACACACAGTACCCTTCCTCCTAATTCCTCTTTGTGATCTCCTCACATCCTCCTCTGAGTTGCTGTGCAGTCCTCACATTCTGTGTGTCTCCTGCTTACCCCCCATTCTTCATGTTCCGCATGGCCTTGTTTCTCAGTGCTGGATTTGCATGCACATTGTGCAAGTTCTGGGCCATGCAGCAGGATATGAGTCGAACAGCCAACAAGGACAATCACGCAGACTTGGCTGTTGTTGATGTTGCATCAGGAAAGTTGCATGTGGCTTCACAGTGGCTTAAGTGGCTTAATTAAGCCATTAAGCCAATCAAGCCAGTAAGCCAAAGTGGCTTAGGTAAGAAGGTCCAGTTGCTTAGTTCAAGTTCTTCCTGCTTAATGAAGCACGGCTAAGCCGCCACTAAGCACACACAAAGCACACACAAAGCCTCATATCAAGCTCACTAAGTATAATTCACAAGTGCTTTATTAAGCTACTATTGTTACATTGACTGATATTTATTTGACTGTCGTACATGCAGGGTAATCTTCGGCAATGCAATTACCAAGACAGCGCAAAGTTGAGCTGTAATGAGGATACCAGATCCACAACGAATACAAAAGAGGGTGGGACTTTAGTCAGTGCTGCTATACAAGTATGCAGTACTGCTCTTCAACTGGGAAGAGTAAGCTAAGAATGGATTTGAGTCGGCAATGAATGGGGATTATTGCCGAGGTTTAGAGCTTTTTAGAATAGAGGATGAAGTCTGAATACAGAGGATTAGTATCCAGAGGTTGATTCTGAAGGAATGGGCTTCTTCGGTTTTGAAGTCACACAACAGAAGTTGAATGGAAGTCTGAACAGCTAGCTTTGACTGCACAGTGACGATGGCAAGTTACAAAACCCTAATGTAGCAGCACGAGGCCGTGCTTCAAGAGGGGCTCACTAAGGCAATTAATCCTCAGCCAGCTAATGGCTATAAGGCTTGCTTTAGTGTCAAGTGAGTTGCTGGTTAGGCTAACCACTTTAATTATAGTAATGCCACTGAGACGTGCTAGTATGGAACTAGTTGATACAGAGATCTATTGATGTTGGTAACAACAAGTTCACAGAAGTAGATGATGACTAAGCACCTTCTCTTACTGAACCCAACTTGTGAAGTCAGTCAATGGGTTACTTAAACCTTACTAGTAGCATGAGGACTGTACTAAGTAAGGTTTCACTGTTGCAGGTCTTAGAGCGCATCGGTAAGAACTCGTACCCGCACCTGCGCCACGCGAACACGATGGTCCACCAATGTGTCAAGCCCCGCACCTGCACACGGACGGCATGCTTGGCAGGCACGCCCCTCCCTCCATCACGCCCTCCGATGCTTGCGCCTCCCCCAACTCTGCACATCCAGCTGCTGCCTCTTGCCCCAGTCTCTCAACTGCACGCAAGACGTCAAGCTCGGACGACTTACGGGATGGCTGCCGGGCTGTGCAAGATCACTGCTCGCCCGGTAGCCTCCCCTCATCTGCCTTGTCTTGCAGACCGGCGCCTGTGTCTACGCCGCACTTTTGCCATCCGCCCAACACACTCGTGTCCGTCCCTCTGTCCTGCAAGGAGCCAGACTTGGCTGGGTTAGACGTAGAGCTCAGGCACAGGATTTGGCAGGTCTGCGCGCATTTGCACCTCGTCACGGAGGACTCTCCCAAGTCAGCGGCCATTGCAGATGAGGAAGCTGCCCTATGGCGTGAAATCTGGAAAGCTTGAGCCCGTGCGCGCCTTGCTCCACACCTTGTCTGAACCCTGGGGGGCATCATTCCCGACACCTTTGTCTTGTCCCAGCCCACCCACCCTCAACTTTTCTCCTCTATCCTCACCACCCTTCTCATTGGAATCTCAAGCTGAAACTCCCTTACTCTGTTCCTTCTGACTTGAGATTGGGGGGCAGGGGGTAGGGGAGGATAGGGTATGGGGGGCAGGTATGCCAGGGCCTAGCCGACCCTAGCCTGAGGGATGCGCGGATCCTCCGCGAGGATGACAGCTAGGGATGCAGTACAAGCAGGAAGTAGCACAGCCTTGCCTAGGGAAGATGGCAAAGCTGCTACAGGTGAGGGAGGTCAGTGGAGCCTGGCCGAGCTTGTGAGGGCTTGACCGACAGAGCCTGTATGCTTTGGTGGATGCACGGCAAGTCTGAATGCTCAGGATGCAGTACTTGCGGGACAGCTCAGCCTTGCGTGGCGGAGCCCAAAATTTTTTTCTTTTTTTCTTCTATTCTCACCTTCTATTCTATGCTCACTCATACTCTTCATTCGCTCTAATCCAACCCCTCACCTTCACACTATGCACTTCATAATGGGGGGGCACTGTCACGTCTTCCGAGTCTGTCGCCTACGTTGGCCAAGGATAGGTCCTCACTGGCTTCTCCAGCGCGTTCTCTTCGAGTCCTACTGCAAGGCGATCACCAATGACCCGAACACTGTCCCATTGCTGTACTCCTTCAACGACGTCATTGAGGTCATGAACTACATTGACGAGGTCTTCCAGCGCCACAAGCTGCCTCATGACCCAGTGGGCACACTCTATCTGACCATCGCCTGGTCCAAGGAGTCCGTCCTGCGTCGACAGGCTCTTGACAAGCCTCTGGCTCCAGTCTCCTATCAGCTCGACCCACTGGCTTTGCCAGAGTATTGTCGCTCGCCCGACACCTTCGATCGCTTGGCTAACGCCATCCACCGCCTGAGTGAGGACCAGCAGGAAGTTCGTAGGACTCTCGGGTCGCTCTCTACAAGTGTTGCAGGACTGGGAGGGCGCAATAGAGGCATTAACTTTGGCGAGCTTGTTTGAGGTGCGGTCAGTAGTAGGGGAGGGTTCCAAGGTCATGGTCATAACACCGGACACTTCGTTGTACGGGACTTCTGCTAGAGTCTTCTTAGCGTAGTCGTAGCATGCTGGCCAATGTTGAGCAATGTCTAAGTCGAGGAATTGCGCGCATGAGCTTGATACCCCACAAATCGGGGTGTAGTCCAGATGGGAGTGTATCAGTGGGTCTCTCAACACTCCAAGTCCAACTTCCCTTGTTGCACTGGCCTTGCTCGCCCCTCCCAAGCATCATGATGCCCGCATTCACAATGAGCCCATGCCAACCGCTATTCGTCGCAACTGCAAGCCGACGCCCGCCAGCACGCACCCACCGCTGACCCGCCATGCTGCTGTGTTTGTGCCGCTGTTGCGCACCCATAATGTGCCTGTGTCGTGCCTGCCTGCCTCTCCCACCGCCGCCGTCCTCTCCTCACTGCCACGGCCCGCAACACCCTCCCTCGCACCGATGCCACTGCCACTGACGCTAGCATCCGCAGGTGCTGCTGCCCGCCAGCACACACCCGCCGCTGCCACGTCATGCCGCCGCCTCCCGCATCTTGCCGCTGTGCTCAATCATCGTGCGTGCTCGCTGACTGCTCCCTCACTGTGTCAGATCACCCATACGCACCGTTGCCATCCCGCCGTCTCTTCTTGCCTGTCCCGCCCCACATGTCCACTCTCTGCTGCATTTCACCGCCCTGCGCTGATGCGCCCAAGCGAGAAGAGTCGATAGACACCCTCAACACCGCACATCGTGTTCTCCGGGCTCATAGAGGTCCGTTTCTCTTCTCATTCAATTGTGTGCATTCATCGAACAAACTTGCCTCTTGCAGTCCCGCCCTACCGCCCACCCTCGCTTTGTACGCACTTCACTTGTCTCCTCCTCCCTTCTTGCGACTCACTCCAATATACAGCACAAATTGTATGAATCGTATACGCATCATTAATACACCCGGCGGGATATGACACTGGGCAGTCGATGCGTACATGGGACTACCAGGGCATTCGCCTTACACCGCACGCCACATGACGCTCGACGCGTGGTATGGCCCCGCGCAATACTATACAAACGCAAATACATATCCTTCGCACAGCAAGCAGCTATGCAGGTCTGGTCTGCACCATGCATTGCTGTACGTGTCAGGCAACCAAGGATGCAGGCACCATCTCCGGTCTCAACCTTCTCCGTATCATCAAGCCAACGGCTACGGGGCCGACAAGAACACCGAGGGTGAGCGGAATGTCTTCATCTTCAAACGACGCGCACAGTAATGCTGAGTATGCAGGGCGGGACGGGCGGCCAAGTGGGTTAGGAGGCAAGTGAACAGGCAGGAGGGTGGGTAGATGCGCAAGCTGGCAGGTGACAGCACACGAATGCCCAGCATGCAGGAACAGCCAATGAATGCACACTCAGGCAGGCGAGTGGGGACGGTGGGCACACACAGGTAGGTGAGCAAGACAGCAGACAGGCACACTGTTAGGGATAGAGGCTTGATAGCCTCAGAGTGCACAGAAACTCGTTAGAAGTGTTTACTTACCGAGTGGCTGCATCAGTGAAGGTTGGTTATGTGCTTATCTTACTCTCCTTATCTTTCCTTTATTCCACTGAATGGACATCAATGTAGCACTTTCATTGTTTTATTACCGAGGTATTGATTACCGATGTTTTGATGCTTTAAAAACACTTGTTACTGTATCTACTAAACGGACTATTACCGAGTTTCTAGTGTGTTCTTACTCATTATGACCAGATGCTTTCAGTACTGATACAAGAACTATTGTATGCTCGGTAAATGATGGTTATTACCGATCAATTACCAAGTTAGAATGGTTTTGTATCGGCATAGAAAGGAATGGCTGTGCGACAATTACCGAGCCATTCCCAAAGCTGTGTTGAAGGGCTGTGCTATCCTTAGGCTGTACACCAAAAATGCGGACCCTTGCATGCCTCAGTAATGCCTCAGGAATCACAGTCCTGAAACAGTGGCTGTACTGTGGCTGTACTAGGATGACTCGGTAACATAGCTTGCCTCGTTGGAAACAATGAACTGTAAGGCTATGATCCTATTGTTCTCCTAGAATGGCCTCTGAAGCGGTGTAAATGAGTCAAGGACATGTACTATACACTTCTATGACACTCCTTGATTTTCTATATACTTCCATGTAGCTCCATTGGCTGTGTCCTTGGTAATGGCATAAAAGGCCATTCCTGAGCACGGTCAAGGACATCTATCATCCAATCCACCATCTACTCTTCACCGAAACACACCCTGTGTGCCACTCAAAGTCTTACTTTGTCTCGAGTGCTAAGTTAGCCATACTAGCCACTCAACCACTCTTGCCGAGTTCTTACCAACGTGCTCTAAGACCTGCGATAGTGAAACCTTACTTAGCACAGTCCTCGCACTACTAGTAAGGTTTAAGTAACCCATTGACTGACTTCACAAGTTGGGTTCAGTAAGAGAAGGTGCTTAGTCATCATCTACTTCTGTGAACTTGTTGTTACCAACATCAATAGATCTCTGTATCAACTAGTTCCATACTAGCACGTCTCAGTGGCATTACTATAATTAAAGTGGTTAGCCTAACCAGCAACTCACTTGACACTAAAGCAAGCCTTATAGCCATTAGCTGGCTGAGGATTAATTGCCTTAGTGAGCCCCTCTTGAAGCACGGCCTCGTGCTGCTACATTAGGGTTTTGTAACTTGCCATCGTCACTGTGCAGTCAAAGCTAGCTGTTCAGACTTCCATTCAACTTCTGTTGTGTGACTTCAAAACCGAAGAAGCCCATTCCTTCAGAATCAACCTCTGGATACTAATCCTCTGTATTCAGACTTCATCCTCTATTCTAAAAAGCTCTAAACCTCGGCAATAATCCCCATTCATTGCCGACTCAAATCCATTCTTAGCTTACTCTTCCCAGTTGAAGGGCAGTACTGCATACTTGTATAGCAGCACTGACTGAAGTCCCACCCTCTTTGCATTTGTTGTGGATCTGGTATCCTCATTACAGCTCAACTTTGTGCCGTCTTGGTAATTGCATTGCCAAAGATTACCGAAGGTTTTACCGTTTGTTACCGCTTTGTATAGGCAATACAAATCTCTATTACCAAGGTTACTATTCCTATTGACTCGGCAATACACTCGGTAACTAGCTGTCTATAAACAAAAACAGAACCATAACAGTGTGCAACTTAGTGTATTGGCCTACTGGTCAGGCACATTTTTGCTCTCAATCTCTGCTGTCACGGTTCTATTGGCCAACCATTGTGCCCATTCCAATACTAGGGGTGTTTCAGCTCGAGCTTTAAAGTGCCTCAGACATCAGGCATGAAATGTCCCAGACATTGGATTCCCTTTCAAGTCAGCAATTCCAGTTCAGCATGCGGCTTACTACTCATCAAGTGGTTCGTCTGCTCGCAGAAGGGATGGGCCGTCTAACCAACTGAAACTTGGTGGTTGCTCTGCGACCAATGAATCATTACTTGAGGGACTTTGAAGACGTAGCAAAGCTAGAGAGCTAAGCTGGAGTGTGCATTGGACGAGGAGTCCACAAGGCAGTCATATGCTGGATGAGGAGTCCGTGTGATGAGCTGGCAAGGAGCACAGATCTAAGTCGATGGGTAGTCAACCTATCAGTATGGCAAGGAGCTTGTGCGGCGCTGGTCGCCCTTGATGGTCGCCCTTGATGCTCTCAATATCAGTCAGTTGCACGTGTACAATGTGGGTTGAAAGCAAGTAAAAGGCGTCTATTTCCCAGGCATGTGCTCCCGGGTAATCTACGTCAGCATGTACGGTGAATACAAGGTTAGTTACACTAAGTAATACATGAGTGATTAATTATATATGAGGTGTAAAGACGTGCTGGTCACAATTATTGAACTGTTGTTTGTATAGCGACGTGAATATGTTACGGATGCGGTCTGCCACATCCATCACACCTTGGCCCCAATGAGATTGAGAAATACACAGAAAATGTTGGCTGCAGTGCGCCGCAGAGCAATTCCAAAGGCCTAAGTTGAGCTCTGTAAAGTCTTAGGGACTTAAGTAGAGCTCGATGAGGCGGACTGTCTACGGCCTGTGTTACGTAATACAGCCTGGCTACATCTGTATAGAACAGCCACAAAGTCGAAATCAACAAACAAGTGAAAAGCGAGTGAGTGCAATGGTTCAAATCCCAGAAGTGTCAAACATTATAGAAAATGGTAGACTGAAGGGAAAGAGGTCGGAAAAAATATAGTATGCACGGTACAGTAATGGCGTCCACGTAGAATAAAGGAGAACACACCAGGACACATATTATGACTTGGACAGGGCAATGGAGCTCAGAATAATCCGCAGAAATGCGTAATAAATTCGAGCTCAACAATTGTGCCTTACTGTGTGGCTGCAACTTGTACATTTCTTAGTTATTTCCCCACCAAATCTAGAGAGCTGTGAGCTCTGCTTGCACCTTGAACTCTGCATTTTCTGGAGCTGGGAGTGCCTCCCTGGTCTGTCAGCACCAACATATCCAGGCTACCGAGGATTATTGAGAGAAGATAGGTATTTGGCACAACTTGAGGAGCAAGGCATCAGAATTCGGAACAAGCGCGAGAGCTACGGGCTACAAGGCTTTGGAGGAAGCATACGGTGCCGCAGAGGGAGCCACAGAACCCCGGACAGGACATGGAACAAGCACAGCGGTGTGCGCCTACGGAACAAGTGTGACGGTGTGACCATGACAGAACGAGCTTGGAACAAAGCTTGGAGGACCAAGGACAGGACCAGTGAGCCATAGTGTTGGCTACGAGGTCTGTCATTGGCATCAGCTCCCTTTGAAACCCCTCATCCACCCCATTCCCCTTTATCCCCATACCCATCTGGTATCCCCCACTATGAACATCGCTTTTGGGAGCAAGCCACTCCCGAGCTACACACCGGACGTACAGCTCGCCATGTAAGTTTAAGGATGCATAGGCTACGTTGATACAGCAACATCTCGATGCCAGCTGCATACGTCCATCTAATTCCAGGCATGCCTCACCCGCATTCCTCATTCTGAAGGCAGACGCAACCGTGTTGCCACGTTGGGTGAATGAGTATAGGCAGCTTGATGTGGAGACGGACAAATTCCCCTTACCTTGCGTGGACAATGTACTTGCAGATTGCACCAAGGGAAAAATTTGGAGCAAAATGGACATGACGAATGTGTTCTTCCAAATGCGGGTCCATCCCAACAATGTTCCTCTCACTGCAGTCTCCACACCGTTTGGTCTCTATGAGTGGCTCGTTATGCCCATGGGGTTGCGCAACACCCCCTCCATTCACCAGTGACGGGTAACGGCGGCACTGCGCAAGTACATTGGCAAGATATGTCACGTATATCTTGATGATATAATTATCTGGTTGAATAGTGTTGAAGAACACGAGGAGCATGTGCGTCTCATCCTACAGGCCTTGCGCGAGGCCCAGCTGTACATTAACACAAAGAAGTGTGAATTCTTTGTGTATGAACTCGACTTCCTCAGTCACCACATCTCACACCGTGGTAACAGA